GAGATTTTTCCATTCATTTAAATAATTTTTCTAGACCAAACAGAAAAAACTACAATGTTCTTTCATTCATATAAACACACACACACACACACACACAAGCATTTTGTTATCTCTTTTATGAAAATAAATGTAGATAAATAGATAATGATAAGTAGAAAAAAACGAATCTTGAATGATTATGATTCATGATGACAAAAACGAAAAACGGAAAAACGAAAATTTCAAGGATACAATTTAATATGCACAACAACAACAACAATTCAATGATTTTATCACTTTTATATACCTTGAACCTTGAAGAAACTATTTTTATTCACATATACAAATGCACACACACACAAGTAAAAAGGTGTGTTCCCCATTTTAAATTCCTATATATAAGTTCTGTTTAGTTATTATTACATTACATATAACATACATCAGGATTTTTTGTGATTTGATTGATATTTAATAATAATTAGAATAATGATAATAACATTACAACAACATTACAACAACAGCAATGAATAGAAACAAGAAACAAAAAAATTGGACAATATGATCGATTTATTTGTCAATCGTAGACAAATTTCACTCTTCTTCTTCTTCTTCTTCTTCAAGATTACCATTTGAAATAATTCAATGACGGAAATGTTTCCAACAAGAAAAAGAAGAAAATTTCCGAACCTACGCCCTTTTTTTTCATTCAACAAAAACTAAAATATTACAATGTAAAACTCATGTTAAAAAAAGAAGAATTGAATCAGAATATGAATGTGGCGAACAAATCTTTTTCGATAGATTTTTTTTTCTACTTTTTTCTCTGTAGAAAATTTCTGCTTACAATAACGATATTTTATATTATGACCATCATCATCATCGTTTTTATCAATTTTTATTATTATTATTGAATGATAAAAACAACAGTAACGATAACGATAATAACAATAATGATAATGATGATGATGATGATGGAAAACAATCTATAACAATAATCATCATCATCTGTATTTCATTGAATGTTTTGTATTTTTTTCAGCCACCACCTTTTTTTTGTTGGTCGCTTATTTTCCGAACGAAACAAAAAAATCTTAAACCTCTTTCTTCATTGAAACTTTTTAAAAAAATAATAATAATAATACAAAAATACAAATTTCCTGTTCCATTTGGTAATTGATGATTATAATAATTTTTTCCGTTTTTTGGTTTTTTGGTTTTTGTTTCATTCACAGTTGAGGTGAGGTTGACTTGTGTGTAACAAAACATACACCCTAACAATTTCATCATCATTTATTTCCCATATGAACTCTCGATAACTTTCTGTTATTTATTATCACAGAAATTATAATGATGATGATAAAGAATTATATTGGCTTTTGATGATAATATTCATAAAAAATGATCAACATAATCATCATGTGATCCATATTCTATTTATCAGTATGAAGGAAAAAAAATTGTTTTGAGATTCATATCATCATCATTATTGATTGAATAATAATCAGAATATCGATGATTATTAATGATTCTATCATGATGAAGGCATGAATGGAATCAACAAAACAAAACATAGTTGATAATCTTAATATTTGAAGTAAGAAATATTAATCAAGATTTTGTTGTTGTTGAATTCGTGATCAATGAAACATTGATAGCACCATCAGAAAAAAAAACCAATAAAAATGACAACAGATCATTCATTTATTTGCGAATCTGGAAGACAATATTCTAAGAATTGCCCATAGTACTTCTATGGTATTTTCGATCAACCCCACTATCACAATATCCAGATAAGAAACCGGTAGAAAGAAAACAATAGAAGAAAATTTATTACCGATATTTATGATTGTAAACACATACACAAACTTAAAAACAAATATCCAAACATGAATCAATAGAATTTTGCTACTATTTTTTTTTCTTCAATCATTTGTTGTGGCAAACCAGAACATTCATTTCCTGATTATTTTTTTATTATGATTAGATTTTACATGGATAAAATGCGATTTCGGTGATTTTATTTTTTTTTGCAAACCAGAGAAAACAACTAATTAGATATGATTTGAAATGAAAAAAAAACATTGAAATAATCATAGATAAAAAGTCTAATAACCTAATCTGAAATGATGATTAAACGTTATTTTTTTTTTTACTTTTTTTGACGACATTCTTTTCGACTACATTCATTAAAACGGTCAACAAGAGAGAGATGATACTAGAAAAAAATGTTTATTTTCCTAAATTATTTATTTCCCGAAAAAAAATTGAATGAATGACGATGTTTCACGATAAACAACATTAACAATACCAAATTCATTTGCAAAAATCTATAGTCAAGAAAAAAAAAATCCAAGAAATCGGATCCAAAGTTAATTAATATGTTTTGTTTTGTTTGGATACTGTTCAATGTTTGTTATCATTATTATAATGTCCGAATAATAATTCTTATCATTTTTTTTCATTCATTCATTCGTTCATTGGTTCATTCGTATTTGTAACATACTTATAACGGATTCAAATTCTAATAATAAAACTAATGATACAAATAAAAAAAAACTAATGATAATAATAATAATAATAATAATAATAATTCTTACAGAATAAAATTGACACAACATTATAAATAAAAAGAAGAAAATCTGTATGGAATGAAGGACAACAACAACGACAACTATGTCTATGGGATTAATTTTTTTTCAATCACATCTATGAAAATATTATTGAATGACTATTGATGTGCAAAGCAATCAATAATAAGTGGATGATGATAATCAAAGAACATATATAACACTACACTACTAGACATTTGTTAACCAGGAAATCAGTGAAATTGGAATAGCAAACAAACAAACGAAAAAATAGATTAGGTAGATATTTTTTTTGGAAAAAATTCCTTATCATTTATCAAAGCAACGAATCTCTCTATAAATCTTCGTGATTGAATAGAAAAAATAAATGTTAGAAATTCATACGAATTTTCTGACCAAAAAACCAGAAGAAAAAAATTGAAAATCCAAGAAATTACTATGTAGTTTTTATGATGATGATAATAAATATAATCCATAATCCTTTTTTTTCCTGAACTGAAAAAAAATGTTCCAAGAAAAATATAAAAATCCATTATGGTGAGAGTTTTTTTTTCTTCTTATTTAATTACCATCATCATCATGATGATAAAAGTTTTCATTACTGTTTAAATTAATGAAAATAAATGATTTTTTGTTGTTCATCTTTTTTTTTCAGTGTTGCTAATAAGCTTTTTGATTAAATAACCTAGAGTTTTTTTTCTTCTCCAAATTGTTATTGTTAACCCCTTTTATAAAGTGATAATCATCAATTATAGAATGATGGAAAAATTTTTACAAAAAAAAACGAAGAAGAAAATTGGATTTTAATCATTTCTTTTTAATCAATTTGGGTTATAAAATATGGAATAAGCCTTGGTGATTTATTCATTTTTTCCTTTATTCAATGGTTAGCAACAAGAAACAAGAAAAAACAATAGAATAGAATACAAAGAATCAGTTTTTAAATTTTCTAATTCAATCAAAAATCCGCTATCCATTCTTTATTCTTTTTTTCTATATTCATTGTCATTGCCAAATCTGCACGAATGAATGATTGATTACATACAGTGTCATTCTTTGTCGCAAACACACACACACACAATGATGTATAGAACAATACTTTTGGTTCTTTATGGCAGTAGTTCATTAATTCATTCATTCTTTCATTTCGTTCGTTCGTTCGTTTGTTTCAAAATTTTTTCATTTTATTTATTTCAAAATTGTCTGGATCATCAACTAAAGAATAACTTTTTTGTTTTGAAAAAAAACAAGATACTTGGTTGCTTGCCAGAATTTATGATGGCAAATTTTTTTTTTCTTTTCTTATTCCATGAACATCATATATTAAAGATCAAGTACAAAAAAAAAACTAACAATAAAGCTTAACAGTCAACCAAAAAGAAACAATGTGAAGGTTTTTTTTTCAAGCATCTTATATTCACTATGTGTGTGGTAGGCAGAAAAATTTTCTGCTTGTTTTCCCGAATATCATTGGATGGATGGTGTTTGTTCCATGAAATCAGATTTTCTTTTGTCGTTATTTGCTACTCTTTTTTTACTTCATTTTTTTTTGTTGAACAATGTTGCTTTTACATAGTTCAATTCGTACTTTTTTTTCTCGTTTATCACAAAGAAAATCAGATAAAATCTATTTATTTAGATGAAAAAAAATCAATACATTTGCTTTGGTAATAAGACTTGACTATACAGATATCTCTCTTTTTTTGGAAATCATCACTATAGTTTAATTTCATTTTGACTTTTTGCTGTTGTTGTTGTTGTTGTTGTATTTGTCCATTTCATTTCTACATACTTAAATTTGATATTTATCACACATATAATGAAGACCTAAGTCTGTTTTGTGTACAGACCTAAGCACAGAATCGTTGTTTTTTTCCCTTGTTTGTTACCTTCAATGCTATCATTTTGGGGGGTATATATGTTGATGACGTGTGTGTGTGTTATATATCGATAAAATTACGTGCCCAGAATAATGATTGTAATGAAAATAACAAAGTAGAATTATTGGATCGGTTTTGTTGTTTGAGAAAATATTCCAGAAAATTTTTTTTTTCATCATACAAAACTGAAGGTTTTGATTAGATTTGAAAATAAAATAAAAAAACTAAAAGAAAAATCGAATATCATAAAATAAAATGATATAGTAGAAATAAATTTGTTTTGATCAAAAAATGACATTCTCTTACTGAAAACGTCATTTTATCATACATTTTACAACAAGAATTACTTTACTAATCCAGAATAATAAAAAATGATTGGAAATTTAAATTTTAGTTTATTTTGCATATAATCATATTAATGATAATTGATAATTGATAACAGTAATAAGAATTTGTTGTAAAAAATATAAATAAACAGAATAATTTGTAATGTTTAACAATTATTGATATGAATAATTGTTTCGTATAAATCAAATTTAAAAACAAATTAAAATTTAAGCCAATATTACAATGATGATTACAATAAAATTAGATTAATTAAGTAATTTTGTCATATCAAAATTTATGGATGTTGTTGTGGTTGCATAGTCATTACTGGTTGTGATGAATGAATCATAACAGGCTGTGGATGATATGGTGGTTGTCGATTTGTTGACATAGCCGGTACCCAACCTGCAGGTGGAGGCCGTGGTACTTGTGGTGGTTGTTGTTGATTATGATGATGATTCGATGATAAAACACTCGGATGAATTGGTTGATTTTGCATCATAGAATGTGTTGAATGATCATGATTATGAACATTATCGAATTGAGAATCATTTACATTTTGTGTAGAAATCAAACCAGAACGATCATTTAGTTCAGAATCTTGATCAAATTCATCAGCATTATCTTGAATAAAATTTGCTTCTGGTTGTAATGGTTCAGGCAAAACTGATGGTTCAGTAGTCGATGACATTGAATCTAATGTTGATACGGTTACATTAACAAGTTCGGAGAATGCAACACGAATTGGTTCAACGGTAGTATGAATTGATTGTGACATATTATTTGATAATCGACTAAGAAATGAATTAGGATCACATTGGCTAAATTTTGCCTGACAATTATGAGCAATCAAACCATTATTAATAGCTTCAAAATAAACATTTTGATTGAATGTAGTAAAATAAACAAGCATTATTTGTTTGAACCAATGTGGTACATGATGAGTAGTAAAATCGGCAACATCACATAATGTTCGTTGGATACATTCATTTTCCATTTCAACAAATGTCAACCAATAATGACCAATTCGTTCGGGTAAACGTTGTAATAATGTTCGAAGAAATTTTGCATCCAACATTTCGCTAAAATTATGTGAACTTAAAAACAATCGAATTTCGACAATTAATTCTTGTAACAATCGTATTGGAGCCTGAATTATGGCACGCATTGTCGGTAAAATTATATTGGTCAATGTAATCATAGCATTTGATGTTGATGATGATGATGATGTAGCTAAAGCGGTAGACGATGAATCAGTTTGTCGACGATAACGTTGAGAAGATGCAGCTTCAGCATTACTTGGTAATAGGATCAATGTTGTTATTAATCCAACAATGATTGCCAAAATGATCCAACGATGATGAAGATTTGATTTAGAAATTGAGTTCAGCATTTTTACTTCTCTTTTTTTCGATTATTCTAAGCGGATAATAAATAGACAACAAATTACAGACAACGGCAAAAACAAACAAATAAATGAAAATCAAAATTACTGTTTGGTAAAATGATAAAAAAATTCTCAACGATTTTGTTGCCGGTTTGCTGATTGATATTGACCACTAATGAAAATAATTGCAATGAAAATATCAAAAAAAAAACTTTCATCGACTTTTATGTAGGATTTTTTTGGAAATCAAGACAAGTATTCAAGTGTAAATTTTTCAAAAAAAATTTGTTTATTTCATAGTTCAATTTATTTATTGATCAACAATAAGATTCATTGTCAATGTTATTATGTTTTAAATTAAAAAAATAAAATGACAGTAAAATCTGATCATCTGATTTTTCACCGGATTAATCAACATGATTTTTATGAATCATTTTTATCAAAAAATTCAATTTTTGCAGCACATTTAGGTATACGTCCTAATTCAGATGACCAATTTCGCATCTCTTCTTCAACCGGACGATAATCAACACATTCAGGTGAACCATCAGCTGATGTACTACGTATTTGATTGAAAAAACGATGAATAGCTTCTTGTTGATGCACATTACAATAGATATTATTATAAGTATATTTAGATAAACATTCTATTTGTGACCATTTTGTACAACAACGTGTTTTCTGTGGATATAAACTGGTTGCATATTGTTCAAATGATTCGGTTAAACATCGTTCACGATGTTTAAGTGGAATATTATCCAAACATTTACGTACAAGATTACTCATTGGAACTTGTGAAAATATAATTTCACGAGAAGCATCCAATTCATCAACAAGTTCTTTTGGTGCTCCATAAATAATATCAATAATGGAAAACAATAAAATCGATACGATCACCAATCTTTGTTGAATAGTAGCCATTATTCTTTTGAATAAAGATGATTGATTGTTTAATTGAATCGAAAAGGTTTTTGGTTTAGGATGATGATGATCAGACTTGATGCTTTACTTAATGATAATGATCCACGATGATCTCCTCTATTTATACCATATTTTTTGCACCTCTATTCACCAGATACTGAACTAGGACGTTTCTGAGAGAAGTTAACATTAATTGTTTAATGAACGGATTTTTTTCTGGTTTAATTTGGTATCCACACATTGAAAAGAAATGAAAAAGTAAAAGCAAAAAAATATGAATAACAGGAAAACATAACTATCGAAAAAACAAAACCAAAAAAATTAGATATTTTTGATTTGTAAACGAGATTTCTAGGATTTGGTGTCAAATTATCACACACACACACACAACCAATTTGCTTGACCAAACTTGAAACAAAATGTGTCTATCCAGAAAAAAAACTCAACAACAACAAACAAACAAACAAAAAAATCAAACCAGATCATCATCTAAATCAAATAAAACAAAACAAAAAAATTTAGATCATTATAAATCCAATTCATTTTTTTTGTTTCTTTCCTGATCATGTTTGTCAGAGAAAAAAAAATTTATTTGTTTATGTATCTTGTGTATCAAGTTTCAAACAATGAGACCATTGGGATAATCAACAAACATTTTGGGTATTTGTTTGCGTGATTGGTAAATTCATTCGTGTTTTCATCAATTTTTTTTATTTTGTTGTGAATTTCATTTTGATTATGATGACCAATCATTATCGATTTTCTTTCATTACTTTTCTCTCTTTCTTTCATTAACAAAAGAATCGATTTTCATTTACCAATTACAATTGATGAAAATCATCATCATCATCATCATGGAATTCCTATCGAACAACTAAATTCTGCCTTTTTCCCTTTAACAAAGGGATTAATTGAAAAGTTTACTATACGAACAAATGAATGAATGAATGAATGAATGAATGTAGGATTCTCAATGTATAATCAAAACAACAACAACAAAAAAGAATCATTCGATACATGTTTGTTTGTTTTTTCGTTTTGATTCTTTTTTGATTCAAATCAAATTCAGACATGCATATTATAATATGCAAAAAAACAAAACGTAGAAATTGTAAATTATCATAATCAAAATGATTTTGTTTCGCTTCGTTATCACTCTTAATCCATTTTTGTTTGTTTGTTTGTTTTGTTTTCGTTTGCATTTTCAAGATTCGATCCAAAACCCAAAATAGCAATGAAAGAAAGAAAGCAAAATAAAACATTAATGAACAAACAAAAGTGGCCCGAATAATAAAAATTTTAATTCACCAAAAGCAAAACAAAAAAAAAACAACAAGAAATTAGAAATATAAGATCCAATGATACCGACAACAACAACAACAACAAAAACCGGAAATTATTTCTTAGTTTGTATGGCTAACGACATTTGTTATTATTATTATTATGCGGATTGTGATGATTCGATAATAATGAAAATTGGCTTGAAGAATAATGTCGAAGATGGCAAAAGAGAGAGGAAAAACAATTTTTATTTTTGCCGAAATTGAACTGAAAAAAAAGTGATGAAAATGACGAGAAAAAAAGACAAATGCTTGTTTTCTCATGATTCGAAGCCTATAGGCCATATAATAATAATAAAAGATTCGTTTAATAAGTTTTTTTCTTTTTTTACAATTGACAACACTTGAAAATTACATTTTAACTGTAAATGGCTATGGTTATGGCTATATTTTTTTGAAATCAATTTTTTTTTCATTTTCTTCTCTCTGAGAACATCCATTATTATTATAATAGAAGAATTGTCACACTACAACGAATCAACAAAAAAATCATTTTGAAGAAAAAGAAAATAAAAAATTTAATTTTGCCAAGAAAAATCTATTTCGGCCAGGTTCTTTCTTTTCAGGAAAATTTGACCAAAAAATTTTAGACAATCAGAACAATGATGATGATGTATTTTGGTTTAAATGAGAACGGATACCCTCAAAAAAAACAAACAAATGATAAAATTATCATTATATCAATGTTTTGTCCGCTTTTTTTTGTTTGACAATTTCAATTAGATGTCACTATCTTTTTTTTAAAAAATGTTGGTCTACATTTGTTTTGTTTGTTAGCCACTGTTTTTCCTCGATAATAATGATATAATAATCAGTTTTTTTTCAGTCTGATCGATTATCAAGCATCAAATTCATTAAATCGATTTTGGATGAAATTCATTCAATTTCATCTATAATGATGTCGATAAAAAAAAACACTGAAAAATTGAAATTATGACAACAACCAAAAAGAAAAAGATCAATAATCGATCTTTATTATTTATTCATCTAGTTTTTCATTTTCATTTGATTCAAAAGTCTTTGGGATCATCATCATCATTTGATATGTGAACAAAAATGTAATGAAATGAATCGGAAATTAACGTATATTTATGATGTATTAATGTATAACATTGTAAATTTCTAATATAAAATTATGGATTGGATTTTTTTTTTGAAAGATAGATTCTGATGATGATGATGATGATGATCGTATTCATATGGATCGTTGTTGATAGTAATAATAATGGTTGTGTGTTGAGAGGGAATTTTCGATTGCTTTTTTTGTTTCTTAGAATTTTTTGATTATATTTGTTGTTTTTTTCATCATCAACATGAATTTTCGATTAACATTTTCTTCATTTGAAATTTGTTGATCAAACGTCATCATCATCATCATCAAAATCATTACAATATAAGCGTGGAAACGAATATTGATCGGTTGGCTGAAGCCAATTAAGCGAATCCCATTGTCGTTTTGGTTTTGATTTTGTTGTTGTTGTTGTTGATTGATGTTCTAAGATTTTTTGCTTATCATCATCATCATCATCAACATCATCATGAAGATATCCTTGATCAAATATATGAAATGTATAAGCTGGTCGTGCTTTATTCGATAAATTTGGATCGCTTCGATGAACGACAAGACCATCAATCAATATACAAGAACCTTTTGGTGCTGGTACGGATACAAAATTTGATTTATTCAATTCGCTTTTTTCTTCATCATTGTTAATCTCATGTTCAATTTTTTCTTGCCCACCATTTGACCAATCACCATATTGATCTTTCATCTGTATACGGCCATCTATAGGATCATGGTGACGTATCCATCGTTTTCGTAACGGATGTGTACGATGTGAACCTGGTATGAATTGTAAACAACCATTCGTTTCCTTTTGGGTATATTTTGATTTGAATGAAAAATAAAAAATTTAAAAAAAATCAATAAATAAAATTTTTGAATGTGAGATTTTTTTTTCACTATCACAGAATAATGTCTTAATTGAATTAAAAGCTTGATCATTGAAATTCATATTGATTGAAATTCAAAACAAAAAAACAAAACTAAAAAACTTACCGTTGCATCTTCAAGCGGTATCCAAATACCAACGACTCGTGGTTCAGGAGTTGAATATAAAAATGTTGCATCTTGATGTTCAGGAACTTCGGCACCAATATATGGATTTTTAAATATAACCATACTTTGTACAATCAATGGATCTTCTAAACCAATTGATCGAGCAATCATTTGAAAACGTTTCTGGAATGTAAATTGTTTGAACACTGGATTCAACCAATGTAATGCATGACCAATTTTATTCAATGAATTTATTTTCGATACACGAAAACAATGATTCTGTTCATCCCATGCATCTTGTTCAAGAAAATAACGTATTTTATCGCTTGAACCAAGAAAATATTCATTAGCTGATTGTTTTTTTCCGGCATTGAATACGGTCACTTCTTCTTCATTTTCTTCATTGTTTAATGTTTGTTGTGGATCATATTGTTCGACTAAATTTTTTGTCTCGATTAACAATTCATCGATCATTGAAATTGGAAGAAAATTTTCTAACAATACATAACCATTACGATTAAATAAAGTGGAAATAGTATCAGGATCGAAATCATTCAAATTTTTCGACATTTTTTTTTTCTTCTTCAGCTATTCAAACTTAATATTATTTGAGTTTAAATTTTCTTCGAATGAACTTTCAAAGTAAAACTCTTTTCTACCAAATACAGAATATTCTTGTTTTCGTTTGTTCTTTCAAATCTAACAGAATTGGAGAGAGAAAAAAATGATTGTTACCACTTTTAGTTTCTGTTATGTTATATAAACAAAAATGAAGAAAAAGAAAGTTTTTTTCATTCGGTCGATTTGTTGATGTTTCTTGAAACTTTTCTTTCCCCTTTTTTTTCCACTAAAGTAATTTATCAATTGACGATAATGTTGATATTTGTTTTTTGTTGTTGTTATGTTTGAATGATGTCGACGACTACGACGACGATGATGATGATGATGATACTCTCGCTATGTTGCAATGATTATCAACGGAGTAAAAAAATATAGCTGTTATTTTTTTGAAAATTCAACAACAACAACAACAAAACTGAATCGTTCAACGTACCATGAAAAAAGTAATGATGATGATTACACAAAGAAGAAGAAGATAAAATGAAATAACAACAAACGAATATCATAAGAATTATAAGTCAGACCTTCTATGTAAGGACAAATATTTATTATGAAACAAGAGAAATTTTCCATCATTATCATTTCCATTATATTTTCATTGCCTTCTGCCTTCTACAACTTCTCAATCTTCGACAAAACTTATCAAAAATTTCAATATTATCATCATATTTTTTTTTATTCGAACTTTATTTAGATAATTATTTTGATTAATGTAGTGATTAGTGTTTGTTTGTTTATCTGTATAATTTCAATAAATAATGATAATGTTATTTGGTGTATCAATTATAACAAAAAAAGATTGAAATATGTTTTATTGAAGAAATAAAGAAAACAAATCAAACAAAATTTGTCATCAAATAGTAAACAAATAAAAAAGTTTTACTTTGGACAACATGGATCCAGAAGAAGAAAAAAAAAGATTTTTTTTTAATATATTGGGAAAAAGGCTTATAATAAAAAGACATTGTCATATTTTTTGTTTGATAATCACAATGTTTGTTTTGTTTTGGTAGTTTCAAGTGCCCTTGGAATTTACGGAGATTTTTTTTTATAAGTGGAAATATGTTTTTTGTATACAATCAATGTGCGTGTGTTTGTTTTCTGGTTCTTTCTGTTTGTTTGTTGACAATCACAAAGTTTCGATAAATATATTTTTCATTCCAGATTTTGTTGACCATATTTTTCCCTTTGATTTATCGAAATACATTCGATCTATAAAGATCAATCATAATTAATATTATTTAGTTATTTAGTACAGAAGATCGAAACGGAATCAGAAACAAAAAATTTGTATCCATTAAATCGATACAAAAAAAAAAATTCTTGTTTGTTTGTCTCCCATGAACAACCCAGGGTTGGATTTTGTTTTCTTTTTTTTTCATGATGATCACAATGTTGAACTTTATGAAAAACAAAAATCAAAATCCAAAAAAAATGAAATGATGTCCCAACAGAGTTGATTATATCTTGTTTTCCTGATGATGATGATGATGATGATGATAGTGGTGTTGGTGGTGGTGGGACTTTGTATGAATTCTTTGGATACATTTTTTTTCGATAAAAGACAACGATGATTTATTATCTTTAACTCACTTTGGTTTCGTTTTGTTTCGTTTTTTTGCCTTGCCTTGCCTTCCAAAATGTTTGTCGCAGAGATTTTTTTTTTCGTTCGTTTGTTGTTGTCTTGATGAAGAAAATGCGATTCATTTTTATTATTTTCATTTTCCGGCTCATTTTTTTTCTGTTTGTTGTTGGCCTGACATAGACACACTGACATACTGCGAATCGATTCGATAGTTTTCTAATTTTTCAGCATTTTTTCTCTTCTTCTTCTTCTTAACGCCTTGGCCCGTTTGGCTTTTTTTGTTTTGTTTTGTTTTGTTTGGGTTGGTTCTGACATTTTTTTCTACAAGTCAAATACCATTGCCATTGTACTACCACATACTGGTACCATATATATGTATCGATCGGAAAGATCGATCGATTGTTAATGTTATATGGATGCATTTTATTATTATATATAAAAAAAAAAATTTTCTTGGTTCTTTTACAATTCAATTGACAAACACTACGAAGAGAGAGAGAAATACGAATTGGACGCTGGAGAAAGTATATCCTAAACAAAAAAAATTCGTGAACACAATTCGTTTTTTTTCAAATGGGGGGATTTGTCTCATTCAATGAAAAAACTATATATCATCATCATCATCATAAAATGTAAGGGTAAAAAAAGAGAAGAAATTTACCGTAAAGCATCTCTTATATGATAAAAAAAGAGAGAGAGAGAATAAAAAAAACGAGATAGGTCAAGCAGAAATTTTTATTTTTATTTTTTTTACTCATTTGTACAAATTATTTCAGTTTGAACATTGAACAAATTATTTATTATCATTCGAAAAACTCATATTCCGTACAAAGAGAGAACCAAAAAGATTCTGATAATTATAGAATCACATTCGAATCTGTATTTTGATCGCAAGATGGCATTGTTGATTGTTTCTTACTTTTTTTTTGGTTTGGATTTTCGGAAATGTTTATCTTCTTTTTTCTGTTGACCTTGTCAGAAAAACTGTCATCAAGAATCAATTATTCTATCAAAAATGAATTGTGGATTGTATGATTATGATAAAATCGATTGATAAATTGATTTCGAAAACAACAACAACAAAAAACTAGATCATTTATAAAGCGGTAATGATCAAAAACAATAAACGAATAAATTTTTTTTTTTGTTGAAAATGTAAACATAAATAAATAATTTAATGATTGACATCCACCAAAGCCAGAAATAGACCTTGATGATGATAATGGAGATATGGAGAATATGGAAACAAACTGGTGAACGATACAAATAAAATTTCCCATACATTTATGAATAAACAGAACAGAAAAAAACCAACGAATTTATTTGATCATATTTAGTTTTTGGATGATTTTATATTTTCTAAATGGAGGAAATATCAAATAATAATAATAATAATAATAATGTAAGAACCATCGTTATCTCTTATCATTGACAGCGGCGTTTGGACTTGTTACATACTCATTTTTATATATACAAATCTTTTTCCATGATGTTTGGATTGTGTCAAAAAAAAAAAAATTTTTTGTTTGATCAAAAATCAAACAAAATATCATATCGATCAATCAATCAATCAAATATATTTTTTTTTGTCGGCGGTAATTATAATAATTGATTGTCGATTAGTGATTTTTTTTTTGTTTTGTTTTGAATTAAATTGATCATTTGAATGTTTTTTCGTTTCTCAACGGTTTTATTATTTTGAAATTGTTGAATCGTGAACAAAGAACATAATAATTATTATATAGTCAAACCAAACCGAACAACCAGAAAAAAAACATCATAATGGTCAATCGACAAATTGAAAATACTTTGGATTTTGAACAAACTTTGGTAAGTGAAATGAATGAATTCTCTATCCGTTTTTTTGCTTGTTTGTTTTGTCTTTTTGTTTGCATTTCAATAATACATGAATTTGGTTGTTCTTTCGGAATGTTTTTTTTTGATATTTAGATGTATGGCCAATATAAAAAAGATTTGGCTAGATTTGCACGTTCACTTGCATCAAGACGTTCAAGGCGTACCAAACCAAAATCATTGATACGAGAATCTAGTTTTTTTCGTGCAATATCAGGTCTGTTATTTTTTTCAAAAAAAGGAATTATTCTCAAGAATATAACGTGATCAAAATATTATTTTCAAACCAAAAAAAAAAAAATCAGGATTTTTGGGTTTCATATGGAAATATACATTAGGTATTATTGGTGAAGATTGGCCATTTTTGGCCTTATTAGGTATCACAATGGCTATCATTAGTTTCACTGTTGATTGTGAGTATTATGGACTTTTTTATTATTTGGGTCCTATTTTTCCCATTTGGAAAAAAATATAAAAAATTTCTAAATAAAATTAGTTTTCATTTCACAATGTCATCAAACACGTATGATATTATATGATCAGCTTTTAACATATAATATTATTACAAGATATTTTGGTTGGATTACAATGCCTATTTTACTTTTGGTATTTGCAACCGGTATTGTTAGTATTATTTCGCCACAGGCAACTGGTTCGGGTATACCTGAAATGAAAACTATATTACGTGGTGTTATTCTACATGAATATTTATCATTTCGTACATTGGTGGCCAAATTGATCGGTTTGGCCTGTTCATTGGGCAGTGGTTTACCATTGGGTAAAGAAGGACCGTAAGTTTTGTTTCTGGTTTATATTACTCGTATATATCCAAATTGATCATTATTATTATTTTTTTTTTAAATTTAGTTTTGTTCATACTGGTTCGATGGTTGCAACATTATTATCCAAAATGATTGGATCATTTAAACGTGTATATGATAGTGATGCAAGAAATACTGAAATGTTGGCCGCTGCTTGTGCCGTAGGCGTTGCAACAACATTTTATGCACCAATTGGTGGTGTATTATTTTCGGTCGAAGTAACCACAGATTTTTTTGCTATACGTAATTATTGGCGTGGATTCTTTTCCGCTTGTTGTGCAGCAACTGTTTGGCGTTTGTTTGCCGTTTGGTTTCGTAAAGAAGGTCTCATATTTCATTTTGTTTTGTTTTGTTCTTGCATGCATATTTGTTTCATTTTATTTATTTTAGAAATATATCCGAAACAAACAAAACAAGGAAACATGATATAGTTTATCATTTTTTTTTGACAATAATAATGATTATTCTTTTCTTTTTTCTTTTCGTTTTTTTTTGTTATTTTCCTATTGTTACTTGTTATAGCTGCATTGACTTCATTGTTTAAAACAAATTTTCGTACTGATTTTCCATTTGATCCACAAGAATTATTAGTATTTGCTTTTATTGGTATTGCTTGTGGTTTTGGTGGTGCTGCATATGTTCGTTGTCATCGTATGGTTGTTCATTATATAAGAAATCATAAAAAATTGAATTCATTTCTTAAAAAAAAGTATGTTCGCAAACAAAACAAAAAAAAAACATGTTTGGTTGATTTGTTTTGATTTAATTTTCCATTTATAGTCGATTTATCTATCCAACATTGGTTACTTTTCTATTGATGTCGGTTTCGTTTCCACCTTTTATGGGACAATATATGGCTTCGATTGTATGTTGTTATATTGATAAAATCTAATTGAAATGTCAAAAAAATTATCTATTTTTGTTAATGATTTTATTTTTTTCCTTAGCTATCCAATCCACAAACATTTAAAGAATTGTTTAGTAACATAACATGGGATGTACATGGTAGTAATGATTCAAATCATTTAATAATGGTAAAACATTGGTCAACTAATCATACAAATATTTATACTAATCTTATCATTACCATTCTCAATACGGTTAGCTTAACAGTCTTTGTATACATCTCATATCCTAATGGAAAAAAATTTGTTTTTGTTTTTTGTTTTTGGTTTCGGCAAATAGTTTTGGATGTCAATTCTAGCATCAACTATACCGGTTCCAAGTGGATTATTTGTACCAAGTATGTATACTTCTTTTTCAATTATTCATAAATTCAATTCAGTAATCGTTTTGTTTTTTCTTGTTTAGTTTTCAAGATTGGTGCCGCTTTTGGTCGATTAGTTGGCGAAATTATGGCTGCTTGTTTTCCAGGCGGTATATCATTTAGTGGTTATACAATACCAATTGTACCCGGTGGTTATTCAGTTGTTGGTATGGCTATCATGTTATGTTCACAAGAAAAACAAACAAAAAATAAACTTGCTACTTGATTATTGATTTACATTATTTCAATATATAGGAGCTGCTGCATTTACCGGTGCCGTAACACATACAATTAGTATTACTGTAATTGTATTTGAAATGACTGGCCAAATGAGCCATATGATACCGGTTATTTTATCTGTACTTATTTCGAATGTAATCAGTCAAAAATTAGAATTATCGATTTATGATTCGGTTATACAGATTAAAAAATTACCATTTTTACCACCAATAATGGGTACCAATTCATTGGCACATAATATTTTTGTCGATGATATTATGGTTCGTAATTTGGTTTATGTATGGCGAAAAAATTGTACTTATCGTGATTTAGTAAATTTATTATCAAAAAATCCTGAAATACGAATATTTCCTTTGGTTGATAATGGCAAAAATATGATTCTGTTAGGTTCAATTCAACGTGATGAATTGGAACGAATTGTTGATAATTTACTTTGTCGTGAACGTCGATTACAAGAAGTTGTACGAAAAAATAGTATCCAACAGAATGCTCTTGATATTGAACCAGAAAGTGATGATGATTCCATTCAATTTATAACACCATCGATCGATGATGAACAAGATTATGAACAGCTTCCATCACCAACTAATAAATCTCGATTTGATGTCAGTTTGGTTCCAACGAACGATGATGAAGATAAACGTTTTAATCAATCATCGATCGATCGTGGATCACCAGTAAGGCCTAAATCAATTTTGAAACCAACATTTACCATAACAACTTATTCACCTCATTCAACAATCAATACCAATTCAAGTATACATAAAGATTCACGATTACGACAAGTATTTGAAGATATTTTTCAAAAAAGTTTACATCTTGAAGCTGCACATCCGAATTCAGTAAGCAAATTGTTTTCAATTTTCGAAAATAAAATTTTTTAATAAAATTTTTTTTTCAAGTTAAAACAATCGTCTGAAAGTATGATGATCAAACCGGCTATCATTGAACGAAGAGTTCGATTGGTAAAGTATATCATATGTTTGAAAATAATACATCACTTCATTCATATATGAACATTTTAGCCACGTGAACGAGTCATCGATATGACAGCAGAAGAACAACGAAAATGGGAAGAAGAACAATTGAATACTGTTGTAGATTTTAATGAATGTTGTATTGATCCGGCACCATTTCAATTGGTTGAACGTACAACAATCTATAAAGTTCATCTATTATTTTCAATGTTAAGTTTATCAAGAGCATATGTTACATCAGTTGGTCGTTTAGTTGGTCTTGTTGATCTTGCCGATGTAAGTAATAATCAGATAACTTTATCATTTTTCATAAATTATGATTTTCTTTTTTTCGGAAATAAGCTCAAAAATGGTATAGATAAATTGAATCAAGGTCTATTGAAACCGCATGAAGATTCTGAAGAAGCTAACAATTATTTGGATAATATTGAATTTGATCCGTTCGATGATGATACATTGACAACATTGACTAATAGCGACAAATAATCTAAATGATCATTACCACTGTCCACTGTGTATATTGTATTGTTGATTTTTTTAAAAAATCTCTGATATTAAAAATTTTTTTTATCATTTCTCGTTTTGCAATGACATTTTCTTGACCAAAAAGAAACGAAACAAACAAAAAACTTCCTATTGCGATAGACTTAATTATTGAAAAGTTTTTTTTTAGTAAAGTAAATATAAGTATTTTTACGGAAATCTCTTTTTTTTCTCGAAAATAAAATTTCCTCACAATTATCGATTGGATGGATCTGTGGTTGAAAAATCATCATCATTTTTTTCTGTTAAAAAAAAGAAGGAAAGATGCAAAAAAAAAGAAATTTATTGAGAGAAAGTTTTCAGTAATATTTTGAATGGTAGTATATAAATCAAACGGTTGTAAACGGCGGTCATTGATGAGATAACGTTCGACTTTAATACATTTTTTTTTTGGTTTTGTTTTATCAATTTTTTTTCTTCAACTTTATCATATAAATTTTCAACAAATTTCAACATTTCATATATGAATTTGTGTGCTAATTAAATTCATTATGCGTATTATATTCTGGTTGATTGCCACAATTGTTGTGGTCATTATTTCAATATTTTCACAGGAAGTTGAATGTAAGAATCGTAGGAAAATGAAAGTTGATTTTTTTTTAAATTTAAATTTTAAATTTTGTAATTTTTTTCTAATTTTTTTAGCTCATAGTAAAAAAACCAAACGTTTGCTTCTCTATATACTTTTGAATGTATTGAATAAAAAAAAGATTATTCTTCCGTTGCCATTGCCATTGCCACTGCCCATTCCGTAAGTTTGATATATTCACTTAATTATTTTTATCATTTTTTGTTTTGTTTTGTTTATCTAAAGAATTATAGAAAAAAAGAAACATTATATTCAAAAAGAACCGATTCCAGTTCCAATCAAAGTAAAAGAACATGTACCAATCAAAATTGCCGTTAAAGAACCGGTTCCAATACCGATACCAGTTAAAGAGCCTGTCTATATCAAAGATAATTATGATCATTCATATAAAGATTCACACAAAGATTCATATAAAGATTCGTATAAAGATTCGCATAAAGATTCGTATAAAGATCCATATAAAGATTCATATAAAGATTCATACAAAGATTCATATAAAGATTCATACAAAGATTCATATAAAGATACAGGATATGATCATTATGATGATGGTTATGATGCTGGTTATGGTGCTGAATACTAATCAGTTGATTATATAAATTCTCATAATCATCATTAATAAAAATGAAATGGAACAAAAAAATTTTTAATGAAAATTCTGCCCGATCATCATCGAGTCATCGAAACAAGACGAAGAAGAATAAAAAAAAATTGGAATCCTGTCATGATATTCATAAATACAGTCTGTTTTTTCTGTTGAATGAAAACCTTTTTTTTGCCAAACAACGAATTGACATTCAAAATGATAGAAAATATTTTTATAGTATTAATAATTTTCATGTTGTCCTGGATCTCCTTTTTTTAACTTTTGTAATGTATTTGTGCTTATTACCCAGTTGTATTAATTATCCGTTCAATTGTTATATAATTTGACATTTACATTTATCATTTATTCATTTTTCAACCACAATAAATAGATACAATAAATTTTTGTTTGAATAACCGGAAACATCCGATGATTTCTCATCATTGAAGCAATGGGAAAAATTTTTTTGACTGAATTAACGAAATGAAAGAAATAGGGAAACAAAAACAAGAAAAAAAAACTGGACTTTCTTGATTCCCACCAATAATGCAATGATGATGATGATGATATGAATGACAAAAATAGCCACGCAAAAACAAAAATAAGTTAGTTTTTTTTCGTAGAAAAAAAACTTCCTTCTTACTATGATGTATTGGATTTCATGTGGTTTTCGTTTTTTTTTTCAAAATTAATTGATCCTGTTTTGTTTTATTATTAATAAAGTTGTTTTTGACTTTTCATTTTTTTTTGGGAATTCAATGAAACAAAATTCTCAAATTCATTGAAATCAAATTGTTATTGAATCACTACTTGTTTGTTTGTAAAATCTTTTCTTTTTTGTTTTGTACAAAGAATAATAATAATTTTGTTTTTTTTTGTTTGTAATTTAAATCCAGGTTATAAAGGTCTAATTTTGATCATTAAGCAATAAACGCAAATAATCCTTATATGAAATGAGAACAAGAATGCCGATTTTTTTTCTCTCGTTGTTGTTATTTTATGATTGACAGTTGTGTAATGAAAAATTAATTTTATCGCCAAAGCAAAGCAAAAAAAAATGGATCAAAATTTTGAAAAATCTTTTGAAAAGATTTTTTTCACAAAATCAAATTGTCATTGGGTTGAGGGAAAACATTGAGATGCAGGTTCAACAAAGAAAACAAAAATTTGATGAAATAAGAATCTTTTTGATCGATATCTTTTTTTTTATTAAATCCTTTAAACAAAATATTTTCGATTTAAACAATTACAATTTTGTATTTTGGTAGCTAAATCCTGATCTTGTTACAATAACAATTATACCATATTTTCGCTATTGATGACCGTGTTTTTTTTATGATTATTGCAACGAGGATCTATAAAACAAAAAAAGATTAAAGTTGAATATGCCTAACAATTGGCATGGTACTTAAGACTTTGGATCAACAGGATCGGTAATTTTGATTTTTTTCTTTCTTTCTTTGTCGATCATCATTATTACATATCGCATCATTTTATGTTATAAAGACAATACAAAAAACTTGGATTTTTTTTCATTTTCTGTTTTTGTTTAAACTGTTTCACTCAATAATAACAAAAAAAAATCTAACATCGAACGAATAAAGTCATTTCCTTTGCTTTTTTTTTAAAAAAATACATTATTTCAATATTCAAACGTTGAATTATTTCATCTGTATTTGACGGAAAAATCCAAAATTTTCTCTCGAATCGCATGAATACTTTTACTAAAGTAAAATTTATGTTAAACATACGTACGATTGATCGATCGTTGTTATTTTTCATCACGATCTGTCTGAATCCAAGTTAAATCAATAGAAGAAGATTTCAAAAAAATAGAGAAATATTATTCACAAGCAAAAAAAAATATGCATAAAGGGAAAAAATTTTCTAAAGAGACCAAAATTAATGAACGAACATCGGCTACATTGGGACAAATCGTAAGTGTTTATTTTTTTTGAATCAATTTTTTTAGAATGATTTCATTTATAAACTAAAATTTTTTAGCTAAAATATGCAACAAATTATGATTATTTATTCATATTTATTGGAATTTTTGGCTCTGCATTGGCCGGTGTAAATTGGCCATTATTGAATATAACGTTCGGTAAAGTTGTTGGTGTATTTGTAAAATTTGAACATCGAAATTCAAATCAAACAGAAATTAATGATGAAATACGTGATATATTTATGAAAGATGTTTATTATTGGTCTGGATTAACATTTATTTCATTTATATTGTTTGTCATTGGAAATCTTCTCACCTTATATTCATTTCAATTATTGGCCTTCAATCTGACGAACAATATAAAACGAAAATATTTTCATTCAATTATCACGCAAGAGTTAGCATGGCATGATCAACGTAATTCTGGAGAGTTTGCCGCAAGAATAGCCAGGTTGGTTGGTTGATTGTTGTTTTTGTTTTCTATTAATCAATCAAATTGACAATCGATGACATTGTGTCGATTCGGTTGATTGAATTTATTTTTAATTTTCATTAATTGATTAATTTTTTTTCTTTCCTCTCTGATTAAGTGATTTCAAAAAATTCGAAAATGGTTTCAACGAAAATCTTGGACTTTTAATCTATAATGTTGTTGGTGCAGTAATGAATCTTATAATCGGATTTTATTATGGTTGGAAACTATCATTAGCTATTGTAGCTATGGCTCCGTTAATTGTTATCACTTCATTTGTTATGACAAAGGTATGCGAATTGTCATTCAAAAATATATTATTTTAATACTTTATTTAACAGTTTCAAAGTCATTATACACAAAAAGAATTGTCAGCATATTCTTCGGCTAGTTCGGTAGCCGAGGAAGCTATTTCAGCCATACGAACTGTATTTGCTTTTAGTGGTCAATATAAAGAATTGAAACGTTATGAAACAAGATTACATCCAGCAATGATATATGGATTCAAAAGAAATATTGTTAATGCTATTGGAAATTCAATAAATTGGGCAACATTATATGTAAGTTTTGCTGTTGGATTATGGTATGGTGTAAAATTGATCATCTCACCGATCGATATCTATACAATCGATGATATTGTCATCATATTTTGGGGTATAACCGGTTGTGGTTATAATATTGGTTATGCAGCACCGTTTTATGAATCATTTCAGATTGGTAAAACGTCTGCCAAATCAATTATGGATATACTTGAACGACAATCAAAAATTGATTCAATGCATTCTATGGGAAAAACTTTACGATCAAATTTCAAAACTGATATAGAATTTAAAAATGTTCATTTCCATTATCCGACCAGACCAGGCATTCAAATTTTACAAGGTTTGAATTTAAAAATTAAAAGCGATGAAATTGTAGCCTTAGTAGGGCCATCTGGTTGTGGTAAAAGTACCATTATTCAATTAATTCAACGTTATTATGATCCGGATTGTGGTGAAATTCTTTTGGATGGTGTAAATACTCGTGATATTCATACGGGTTGGCTTCGTGGACAATTAGGTGTTGTTGGACAAGAACCGGTTTTATTTGAAACATCGATAGCTGAAAATATTCGTCTTGGAATGCCTTTCGACCGTATGAACGAAATAACACAAACAGATATTGAACGTGCAGCAAAAGAAGCAAACGCACATGAATTCATATCAAAATTACCAAATGGATATGATACATATGTTGGTGATCGAGGTAAACAATTATCAGGCGGACAAAAACAACGTATAGCTATTGCTCGTGCATTAATTTCTAATCCAAAGATTCTATTATTGGATGAAGCAACATCAGCATTAGATTTAGAAAGTGAACATATTGTACAGGAAGCATTGGATCATGCTAGTAAAGGTCGAACAACCATAATAATTGCTCATCGATTATCGACAATTAAAAATGCTGATCGTATTTTGTATATTGAACAAGGTCGTCTTGTTGAACAAGGAACACATCAACATTTAATGGAACTTAAAAATAAATATTTTAATTTGGTAATGGCTCAACAGATTGAACCACATGAACCGGTTCCACCAAAAAAACAGCCATTATCAATGTCACAATCATCAACATTAGAAGTGCGTACATTACAGCAAAAACGTCGTGCAACAAATTCACAATTCGATAGTTTAACATCACCAAGTCGACCGATACCAGTTTCTCGAACCCGAACATTAACATATGAAAATGTGGTCAGACAAAAAGGTGGAACAATTGGTAGCGAAAATGGAAGTGTTTATAATGATGATGAAGAAATTACCAAAGAAGATTTAGAGAAGCTTGAAAAAAATAAATTTCCACACAAACGACTTTTTAAATTGATTTGGATAGATAAATTTTATTTTCTCATAGCATTTATCGCCGCATTAATTTATGGTCTTTCTACGCCAATCTATGCATTCATTTTTGGAGAATTTGTTCAATTATTCACAATTTACGATATCAAATTGGATTCTGATTTTATTCAAAAACAAACCAACATTTATGCCATGTATTTCTTAATATTGGCTATCGCTATTCTTATATGTTGTATAATTCAAATTTCATTATTTGGAATTGTTGGAGAAAAATTAACAAAACGTCTTCGTATTATGGCATATTCGGCTATTCTTCAACAGGAAATAACATTTTTTGATAATCCTGAAAATAGTCCCGGTGCTTTATGTGCTCGATTAGCTAACGATGCTGCAAATGTTCAAGGAGCTACTGGATTACGTGTTTCAATGATTTGTCAAGCATTATCAACATTGATCGTTTCAGTAATCATGGGATTTATGTGTAATTGGCGTCTATCACTTGTATCTATGACATTATTACCATTGATTGCAATTTCATCGCTTATCAGTAGTTCAGCATATTCATCTCAAACCGGTAGTGAAAATGAATCATCAGAAAAATCATCCAAAATTATTATCGAAGTAATTAATTCAATTCGAACAGTAGTTTCATTACATAAAGAAGAATATTTTCTTGAAAAATTTGAAGATACATTGATGAAAAAATATCGATCATACAAATGGAAATGTTTCATCAAAGCATCGATGATTTCGTTTTCGTTGGGTGTACAATTTTTTGCATATACCATAGTTTTTCTTTATGGAGGATTTTTGATCTCAAAAGGATTGCTTGATTCTGGAGATTTTTTCAAGTAAGCTACACAGTGTATATATTAAAGATAAAATCTTTAATCAAGTAATACGAAAAAAACTCATTTTTTGTCAGAATTGTCGAATCAATGATCTGGGGAGCTGTTGTCGTGGGACAAAGTGCTGTCTTATCATCCGATTATACAAAGGCTAAAATTGCTGCAATGAATATATTCATGATGATTGATCGAAAACCGATTAAAGATCTAATACCAGCATATTTGATACAAGAAAAATTCAAAAATCAAGGTCGATCAGATGGTAAAATTTCACTTCGTGGTGTTTATTTTCATTATCCATTACGACCAAATTTACCAATCTTAAATGGATTGTCATTCAAAGCTTCCAAAGGTGAAAAAGTTGCACTAGTTGGTAGCAGTGGATGTGGTAAATCAACTACAATACAAATTTTGGAACGTTTTTATGATTGCGTACAAGGCAAAGTGGTAAGTCATTTTTTTTTGTCATTCATTTTGGAAATTAAATTTTTTTTCTTTTTTGCCTTTTTTTTCAAAAGTTTCTCGACGACAAGAATATTGCAGAATTGGATGTTGATTGGCTTCGATCACAGATGGCATTAGTATCACAAGAACCTATACTTTTTAGTCACAGTATACGTGACAATATTGCTTATGGTGATAATTTCCGTGAAACTGTTCCATTCGATGAAATAGTTCATGCAGCACAGATGGCAAATATTCATGATTTTATTAAAAATTTACCACAAGGTTATGATACACCTGTTGGCTCAAAAGGTGCTCAGCTTTCTGGTGGTCAAAAACAACGAATTGCTATTGCCCGTGCATTAGTTCGTGATCCACCAATATTATTGTTGGATGAAGCTACATCCGCATTGGATACAGGTTCCGAACAAATCGTTCAGGATGCATTAGATCAAGCGGCAAAAGGTCGTACCTGTATAACTATTGCACATCGATTGAAAACTATTGTCCATTCTGACAAGATAGTTGTATTACATAAAGGACAAAATGTTGAAGAAGGTACACATGATGAATTAATAGCAATGAAAAAAAATTATTGGAAACTTCATAATAGTGGTGAATCTTAGTCGATTTCTTTGATAAATTATCAATATTATTTGTAGCCAAGATTTTTGGCTATCCGATTATCAATTATTTGTTAGGATAAATATTGTTATTTCAAATTTTTTCAAAAAAAAACACTGCAATAAAAACCAATTAAAATTCGAATCATTTTTTTGAAAATCGATAGAAAACTGTTTTCCGTACGTATAGATTACTACTGTTTATTTTGCAACAAGTATTTGGTGAAATTTATTAAATTTTTGATCCTTCACTGTTCTAACATCGTGTTATGTGATTCCTTAATCTTAAGCTGAATGATAATGATTAAAAGATTAAAATCTTATTATTATCCGAAAATTTCCGGAACCGATTCTATTATCCTTTTATTTGTGTGCAAGAATATTGGCAACCAAAAAAAAAAGAGACGCTCCTTCTCCGGTTTAAAAAAAAAAAATCACTCAATATGAATATCGACCATGTGAATAGTTGAAGAGAAATGGCTATTATCCTTCTCCTTTTTGTATTCTTCTTTACTCCTCCTCAATATATACCACAATATATTAATTTCAGAAAAGATATGAGTCCATCCATACAATATTACTCAGTTTATTGAAAAATCATCACCATCATCATCATCAAACTCAATTTTTTACTTTTGTCAATACCACTACTTTTTTTTGATAAACTGTTCAAAAATGACGTACATTTTGTATGCGTATTGTTGTATGTATTTGTGAGCGTCAATATATACTCAGTTTATTTTTTCTTTTGCTTTTGCTTTTGCCACCACCAACAGCAGTAATTTATGTTTATGTATCTTTTCTATCTGTCTGTCTGTCTGTCCCCTCTCCCTCTTTCGATTCTGGCTATATCTGTATATGTGTGTGTGTGTGTGTGTTTACCAATAATAATAAAAAAAAAGAAAGAAAATTTATTCGTTCCCTCTATTTCTTTTTTTATGTTATTAGATAATTATTAAAAATAACCATCCAAAATTCATGATCTGATCCAAAATTATATTTGGACAAATTTATAAGTTTCAGTTAAAGTTCTATTTATCCTGGATTTTCCAGTTTATTTTCGACCTGTAGGATTCTGTTTCATTTGTCAACATCGATTCTTTGCCGCATCAAAATTTTTTTCATTCGATCGTTTTTTTTTATTATTGTTTATCACCCAGTTTTGTTTATTAACCATAATTCAACCTATTATTACAGTTCGATTATGATTTGTATAGTTTTCTTTATGATTCACGTGAATATCGCAAATTAATTCGATTGAATCGAATGTTTTTGAAGAGTAAAAATATTTTTGTTATACATCATCATCTGGGTTTTTGTTGCCGTTTTAAGTGATAATCAAAAGTTTATACAATGGAAATGTTATCATCAAAATATTGAACAATATTACATTCATGATCTAATAAATTTGTTCTGACATCATATGGTGATCAGCTGCTAAATGTACATGTTAAACGGGAAGTTTTGACATGCATGCTTATTCATTCAAAGTTTAAAGAAAGAATATTGTATTATCACACGAATCGACAACAATGGTTTTTTATCGTTATTAATAATCAATCCGATTCATCATTAAGTTAAGAATATCCATCCAAACTTTTTTTTACTTTGTCGATGGCGTTTCTGGTATGTGCATTTCAACTATTTTCAATTTGATTTTGTCATTTCATTTTTTATTTAATAAAATAGTTATGGATTCGTTGACATCGTCATTCTCGAAAGATATTAGTATCAACAATAACAAGAATCAAAAAATTCTACAAAATAAAAAACAAATTAATTCATCATCAATAAATACGATCATCAAATCGAAACAATTATTTTTAAATCCAAACAAAATAATCGATTCTACACCAACAATAAGATCATCAATTAAAAGACATCATTTATTATCAAAACGAAAATTAGTACGGCTTACTTGTGAAGGAAATTTGAATGATACAAATTTCCCGAACAAGTTACGTAAAATTATAACCAAATTAAAAATTATTTTGTTGAATGGTAATTGTGTTTTCTAATCTAATAAAATAAGTTATTTAATAAATTTTTTTCAATAAATAGGTAAGAATCTCATCAAGGTAACCAAAGTGGAGCCTTGGAATAGTGTACGAGTGACCTTAAACCTATCGGACGATGCTGCTCAACAATTACGGCAGCTTGCCGAACATGGAGATTCAACACTCCGCAATATCGGCATACTGTCGGTACAAGTCGATGGTCAACAGGTAATATCATTGACCGGTACAAATGATGTAAATAGCAACAACTATGTTACATCCACATCCAATACCTGCATAACAAACAACAATCCAAATGATGCTTTTACCATTGAAAATCATATCGGACGTGAAAAGAATTCCCATTTAAACATATCGTCCGTTAAAAATGATAATAATTATTTTGAACATACGAATAATCAAATCAATGGCATCGCGCTACCTACAACAGCGATCAATTGTGAAAATAGCAATAGTAGTACTAATATTCACAGTGGTGGTGGAGGTTCTAATGGATCATCATCCAACAATGAAACACCTATCACTATATTACCTCCACCGTTACTGTCGTCTACGACGACTACAAATGTGCCTATGATCATACCAAAGTTAGCAACCTCGAAAACAGCAACGACAACATTAATCACATCATCTGCATCATCATTCACTAATTCTCAATTCGGTATAAATAATAATAATAATAATAGCAGTAATAGTCAACAGCCGATGCACCAATATCAACAACAGCAACAGATCAAATTTAATTTTATCATCGATAACAATAATAAATGCCAGAATACCTCAGAATCTCAATCAACCAATAACAATGAAGAACAAGTCATGAATCAAACAGTTACGCTACCAACAACAACAGGTGTGCAACAATCACTGATAGGACCGAGGCAATTATTATTGAATCGTCAACAATTATCATCTACACTTATGACACAAATGATCCCTGCGGATCAATCATCGTCAACTCCATCGAAATTATTAGTGCCTAATACAACAACAATTACATCATGTCAATTAGCTGTCACTGAATGTGGTGGTGGTATTGCAAGTACTCCATCAGTTTCAGCTACGACAACTATGACAAATAAAAAATTAGCTGATCTGTTACCTTCATTACCTTCACAATCACCGACATTGAATTCATCTGCTTATAAAGCACAGGAATCGCAATCAAATCCACGACATCGGCAACAAGTTTTGATGCATAATCAATCGTCTACTGGTAGTATTGGTAGTGAAAGTAATCGGCAAAATTCTAGTGATATCTTATTGGAATCAAAAATAGATGCCGTTGATGATGATCTTCTTGTTTCTGTTGCGGCTGAAGATCCAAATGTTGATTTTCCTACTGATCTAAATGATCTTAATTTATTGTTGGAAGAAATGGAATCCTCATCATTGACGACGACAACTACATCTGCATCATCGGTAGTCACTACCCCGATAGCGGCAACCACGACTATTACGGTTAATCAAACACAACCTATTATGTCGAACCAAACAAATGTCAATAAACAACAGCATACACTATTAGCAATGAATTCGGATCCTAATAACAAAAGTCAAAATCTTCCATTTTTCATCACTCATCATCAACAGCATCCGATACAACCACCTTCCTTACAATCAAATATGTCGCTAATTAGTAATAGCAGAAATGGTGTTGGACAGCAACAGCAATCAATACAGATGATACAGAATAATAATAACAATGTATCAGTATTACCAGTGACTACTACATTACCAGATCAAACTTCTTCTGGATCATTAGTTATGACAACGACTTCCACCATCAATGTTGGGCAATTTCAGCAACAGTTATCTAATGATAATGCCATCTATTCATCACCATCGAATAAATCTCAGCAACAACCACCAATTTCCTGCATTCAACAATCGCAGACCGGTAGTCCAAGGCAAATATATGTGCCAGCCAGAACGCAACATTCTTGGCGTACGGTAGCAGCAGCAGCTGTTGCGACAAATTCAAATGTGTCACCGCAACCATCACCCTCTATTGTTTCAACGCCTCCGCCGCCACCTAAAGTTCGAACTCCAACTTCTCTTTCAGGAGGAAGTGAAATGTTAGTTCATCAACAACCTCCATCACCACAAACTAGTGCAACACGGTTCATATCGGTTAGTAATAATAATAATAATAGTGGTATGGCAACTCCTCCACCCTCATGTCCGTCACCATTAATTCGACAACAAACATTAAATTCTTCAACGTCGAATGCTGCCATAGCAAAACCTCAACAGATATTAATTCGTTCCGGTGGTCCTGGTCAATCATTCTCGATTAGCCAACAACAACAATCTTCGACGTCGAACGCCGTTATAACATCATCATCGAATGCTGTTGCTTTATCCAGCCCATTGTTGGTAAATTTATTACAAAACGATGTGCCGGCCGTATCGTGTTCATCATCATCGTCAAATAATTCATCAACTTCATTTCCACAACAAATAACATCGAATGTTGCCACATTAGGAGGAAATAATAACGGTAATTCTCAGCAGCAACAAATTCATCTGTTAAGTAGTCATCGTCATCATCAAAGCAGTGGTGATAGTAATACTGCTGCTGCTTTGGGTCAAGTGACACATCAATTAATGATGGTACAAGTATCCTCGGCTGGTGCTGGTCAAGCAACTACAACAACTATCCATCAGATAAGTAATCCTGTTGCCGGAAATGTTATTCACCATCCAGCCATGTCTGCATCTTCCACTTCTGCCAAACATCAATCGACCAATGATCAATCACAATCAAATGCGAATAATAGTGGTGCTTCGACACCAACAACACCATTGGCCAAACCAAAAAAACAACGCAAATCAAGGAAAAAGGCAAATCAAACAACAGAAACGATTATTATGACGGATTGTTCATCTTCCTCATCTTCGATGCCATCAACGCCAACAACACAATCAAATCAATTTACACCCAGTGGAGGCATTTCAATTTGTCAAACTCCAAATTCTGATTTATCAGCTAGGTAAATTCCATACTTCTTTTAGAAATAATTAATTTTAAATTGACAATTTTTATTATTTAGAATGCAATCCAATTCGGGAACAACGTTTTTAACGATACCGGCCAATGCACAGCTAATACAGCAGCAAAAATTACAGCAACAACAACATTCTCAATCATCAGCCAATCAGTCGACGTTAATTACAAATCAACAGACATCGCAACAATCGTTGCGATTCCATCATCAAAAACCAAGATTAATGATGATTGCAACGAATGCCGCTCATCATCAAATGATCAATGCTGCTAGTGGTGGTAACGAACAAATGACTGCTGTATCATCAGTATCGACAATGGGAAATCCAACTATTGTTTCATCTCCATCTGGTGGAACGTTCATCATAGCAAATGTGCCGGCCAGTTCATTGCAGAATGCAGTTACATCTTCTGCCGCGGGGACAACAATGATGACAGCCGTATCTCAATCAAATGTATCGCCTGGTGTTCAATTGGGTGGGAATAGGAAACAGATATTTTTGGCTACAAAATCAAATTCATTTCCTGTATCATCAGCATTATCCGCTGGCGCTATCGTAAGGTTCGCTAATCAATCGCTTGTCAATGCTGGTGTTGGTGCTTCCTCATCATCATCATCTACTCCGAATTTAGTACCTTCTCAAACAGTGAAATTGGTTTCATCGTCATCACAGCAAACACTTAATCAGTCAAATCAAAATTTCCAACAATCTCTTCAGCAGCAATCCACAATAACGACCCAACATCAGCAACAACTGTTAAGTTCTGTTTCGGCAATCGTTAATACATCTCCAAATAAATCTAGTCAACATACGTTGCTGCCAACATCGACAGCCTCGCCATCGTTGCTTCATCAATCAACTACCATGCAATTGAATCAATCATTATCAATATCAAATTCTAATACGAACAGCAACAATAATAACAATTTTTCCATTAATCAGCCAGCATCAGTTTCCATCGCACCATCCATCTCTATAGCTTCGTCATCATCATCATCATCATCGCCGATTCGTGCGACTAAATCTCTTCACCAACAATCGGAACAATTATTACTTACGCCCGTTGTTGCCAGTTCGATGCAATCATCGTCGACATCGGTTACTAATTTGAACCCGCAACAATTCCATAAGTCGTTTCAAGTACAGGCCACAGGCTCAATTTCAAAAAACAATCCATCAAGTTTATTGTTGAATAAATTAAGTCAGCGACAGCACTCAACTACTGTAAATCCACCTATGTACACCAAAATCGCATTACCAACTGCGGCTACTGTTTCCTCTTGTGTATCCTCACCAGGCAATATGGTGGCAACAAAAGTTCCGTTTCATACAAAAGTATCTGTTACGTCAGATGTAGTCACGAAATCGGGAGAAAGTGTCTTAGACAATGCCACTTTTGTTGTAAAAAATCAGGAAGTTCCGTTGTTACTTGTAGATCAGCAAAAATCAGCAGCTGTGGCTGCTCCAACAACTACCTTTACTAAGACCACAAGTGCCGACCAATCATCAACTCTTCAACAAAAAACAGAAATGATTACCACTGGAAATAAACCGCAAATGCATGTTAACTTCAAACAATCATTATCAGAAATGCTGAGTAGTAACGTTGAAAGCAACACTGGCGGGCAACAGTCAAGAACTTCACCAGATTCAGTATTTATGGATGATCCAGGTGTTGGTCGAACATCGACAGTCAATGAATCATCGGCACCAATATCGCCTTCATATTTTCTAGCACCGGCATCTGCATTCGATAGATCTGCAAAAGATCCATCACCTTCTGCTGTTCAAATTGATGATGTTTCCCGAATTGATGTCAGATCTTTTCAAGAGGATTCTAAAATAAAAATCGAAAAAATTAATTCTGATGATGAAAAATCTGGAATAAAAGGTACAATTTCTGCTAAAAAGGAACCAGAATCTTCTACGGTGATCACTTCATTAACCATTTCTTCGTCTACGACAACAACATCTGAATCAACATCTATGGCCAAAGCAGTTGATACGTCATCCACAACAATCACACAAAAATCCAATTCATTCTATGTTATTAAGCATGATTATTCTCAAGAATTACCTGATCATATTTTAGATGATGATGATGAAGAAGACGGTGATGATGATAGTGATGCTGATGATTACGGTTTCTATTCAAGTCGTCCATCGCATTTCCTAAGCGGAAGTATCGGTAGTATTGGTGGAACATCTAAGAACCCAGTGTCAACGAATGATCGTAATTCGAATATGAACAAGAATCCTGTGCCGGAATGTGATGATTTAGGAAAAACGACTGGGAATGCTCCTGAAAAATCATCTTCGTCTGATTTTTCAGCAGCAAAATCCATTGAAGAATCTAATTCGGAAGTTAAATTGTCTGTTCAAACTGACTCGGAATTATCAGCTAAGCAAGAATCGTCCTCGATGATCAATGGTGATGTGTCATCTCAAAAATCACCATCCTCAAGCATTGATTCAGACAACGAAAAATCTTTGATAAAGCCATCAACTCAATCACCCCCAGTCTCTTTATCTACCACCGTTCCATTATCCGTTGCATCAAAAAGTTGCCCAATTTCAACAACCGTGACCACTTTTTCAACAAATGAAACAAACCAAACAAAAGATTTGACTAATATTGTATCTGGTATTGTAAACAATGAATTAGATGAGACTAAAGTATCGAAACTTCCAATTACATCTTCGGATATTTCTAATTCATCAACAGTTGACAAAAATCAGCAAATTTTATTATCTGCTCCTAAACCTTTAGCTAGCAAATCGACAACAACGACAGCTGCTAAATCTCGACGTAAAACTCACTCCCCATCGGAAACCTCATCTTCGTTGCTTGCTCCAAGTAACAAAGATTCAACATCGCTTATAATATCGAATTCGAAAATAGAAACAAGGAATGAATCACCATCACCGAATGAAAAACAACAACCACAACAACAGCCGGTATTGGTGCATTTCAAACATCCAACGTCACAAACACTTTCAACAACAAGTACCGCTATACAGTTAACAAATACAATGAATACCTTTTTGACTGCTGCAACATCATCCGCGGCAACAATAGCTGATAATAATAACACTTCCTCTATATCAACAACGACGGCTTCGATGGTGACAACAACTGTACCGACACCACCTAATCAAAAGATTCGTGTTGTCTATAATCCTCCAATGTATCGAACTGTTTTACCGACATCAACTGGAGGACAGCAGCAACAATTTCCACAAATTCAATTACTTTCGATCAAACAATCATCATCATCATCAGCGACTCCAACATCATTCAAAATTATATCTAATAAACTACCCATGGTTAGTCAACAAGGATCATCACAGCCACTATTGATACCGATGGCCGTTTCAAATAATCAAGGAACCGTTTTTTCGGTAAAAGCTCCAACATCATCAGCAGCAATAACAACAAACTCCATTTCTCAATCACCAACTGCCGCAACCGTCCAATCGGATTATCTGCAAGAAATTAATATTAACAATAATAAACAATCATCATCCGATTCAGTAGATTCATCAAATCTGAAAACAAAAGATTCTGAGATAATAAAAAATGAAGAAATCGACAAGAAATCTGATGATATAATTCTGTTGTCGGATAATTCTATCGACAATGGTACCAAAAATGATGCTTTTCCTACCGAACCAATCATTTTTTCGAACCTGAATGAAAAGACTACAGAATCTGCTATAACTCATCAATCATCTACGGAAGAAATAGAAACTAAACAGACCCTAAGCCGACAAAGTCTCGATACATCAATTCTGAAGCCAACATCACAAACTGATAATCCACCAACGACCAACAAGGTAACAATTCAACCTCAAACTTCGATAGCACGTACAGTGATAATGTTACCAAGCGGTTCGGATTCGATTGCTGGTTCAAATGTAGTTATTTTGAAAGCAGAAAGTTCACGATTATCTAAAGCTGATAATGTAGTGACTACCACTACTAATAGCCTTAGTAATAGTCCTTTGAGACGTCAGATATTAATATCAAAACCGACAACGCATCATCATTATTCTTCAAATCAGGATTCGACAACGCAACAACAAGGATCTATCTATGCTACTAAATCTGCTACTAATAATAATAAAACTGTGACAGCGACAAAAACATTGCCTAGTATTCTTCGTCAACGAAAACGGAAAAACGATGCAACTAATTTGTCACAGCAACAAGTTTTTCAAACATCCACTATATCAACGATCACGATTGATCCTATAAAATCATCACCCTCTTCTATTGAACAATCGGTTAATGTTCCTGTTAATACGAATGATTGTAGCGTTCTATTATCTTCTGAATCTGATGAGGCAGAATCACACTCTACACCGACTGTCCAACATGGTTCTTTGACTTTCAAACAGCACAAATATCAATCTATATTATCTACTTCAACAATGAATGATGATATTGATGCTACAAATGTTTCTGATCAAATAGATTCTGCAACACAGGTTACGGCAACAACAAGACCTCTAAAACGAGCAAGAAAAAGTAAAATTACAACCATACAACAACAACATATTGGATCAATGGCATTACCAACATCATCACCAGTTTATGTAAATTTTGTAACTAACCCTTGTTCAGATCTACAAATATCAAAATCTAATCAGGACGGTAAAAATGAAACAACACCGACGGTGTCGACTTCTCGAATATTAAGAAATTCAACTACTCTAACCTTACAACCCAGTACGCAATCACCGCCTAAAACAATCGTCAAACGTGGCCAACGTAATCAACGAACCACATCGATTCCGGTTCAAATGAACGAATCAACAAGTGTCTCGGTTTCATTATTTCCAACCACTTCAACGAATACGATGAACGAATCTATTAAATTGAATGATAAACCAAAAAGAGGTAATCATCATCTTTGATTTCTTAATATTTTTTAAAAAGTTATTTCCCTTACATTAGCGGCTGCTGTCGGAAACCCAAGCGCTACTACACCTACAAATCGACAAACACGATCGAATCGTGGGCGAAAAAAACCAAACGAATCATCATCATTAGATCAAACAATGACTGATGCAACTTCAATGATTAGTTCATCAGATCCTGTTCCTGTTTCCGAAAAACTTGTTACTGATGATACTGTCGATCCACACCAACCCCAATCATTAATCGATCCGAATATAATTGATAAAAATCTCGACTCAAGGTCGCCATCATCATCCACAATGCTCTCACATAATATTAGTACAACAACTACTTCATCAGTTGTATCGAATAATCCAACAATAACACACGTAATTTCAGTTTCAAGTTCTGGGGAACCTTTGGTTTCTTTATTGGATAGTAGTATTAATGTTAATTCAACTGGTGGTAATAATCCTGTGACCACTTCTGGTGGTGGCAACAATAATTCTCTTCTTGTTAAACGATCTCGAAAAACCTTACTTACCGCAGTAACATCTGCCACAATACAATCGCGACCATCTTTAAGAAATAGTTCTGTTTCAGGTATTCACTTTTTATCACTGTATATGAATTTTCATTTTTATTAATATTTTTATTCATTTTTTTATTTAGAAACCATATCTCCACCACCACCTTCAGCAAAACGTCGTAGATTGGCCAAAGATGTTTCTAAATGATTGATGAAAACTTTTTAAAATTGTTATTTGGTTTGACTTTGAAAGAAAATGAACGAATCAAAAAATTCTTTTTTTTTGTTGTAGATATTTCAACCTTATTATAATGCATTTTTTCTTTTGCAACAATATACATTTGCCCTCAATGACCATTCACTTGTTTTATTTAAGAATTTCCATTAATTATTGATTAATTACCTTTGCATCCTTATTTTCGTCAAAGCTTTAAATTGTATTTTATCAATTGTTTGTACATAATATGGACATCATCATAATTATTTGATTGAGTGATTCATTAACACTCATGTTATGAATCCTGTTTGTAAAATGTTCAAATCGCACCACAAACAAGTTCATAGCGAATTTTCAATTCATTTTATATGATCATCATTATTTTGCATTCAGCACTCATCATTGTTATAATCAGTATATTTTTATTTTTTTGTTTTAATGAAAATACATTTGATTGATAATTATTAATATTATTATCAGAAACAAGCGTTTTTTATATAAAAAAAACTAGTAATTTATCATTTTGAATTTATGCTACCATTTTGCTCATATTATATTCTTGTAATGCTACCGTGATTGAACATTGATAGCGACAACGAATCCATTTTATTAACCATTTCCATCCATCTTTATTGTTGGCGAAAAAGCGTTTTTGATTGATGAAAAGCGATTCGATTCGTTTCTTATCATCTAGGAGTAATAGCAATCCATCTTGACATTTTTCGTTCACAATTTCTGACCACCATTTGGTTAGACCCGATGTGTCGTTTTTTTCATCATATTCAATGGTTTGTAGAATGCCCTTGGTCAAAGGATTTGAATTAAAATGTAGGACTATAGGTTGCCAATCATTCAATGTATTCGTTGGAGCTATCAATGTGAGAACGTTTCCATCCAATAATAAGTTGAAACAGAATATTGATAACATGTTCAATGTTGAAACATACTCCTCAATACTTTCATTCTTTTTATCTAAATGAATGATTATATTACCCAGTGGCATTTTGTAATTTAGTTGTATCAGACTTGCAGCAACGTAATCTTCATATTCTTGGAACGAATGATTCAAACCTCGAGATGTTGAATAGCATTCGATGTTGAAGCGTAATAATTCGATTTTTATGCTGCCGTCATATGGAACTGCGTCTAATGATTCCATGAGCAATTGCGAGCGATTTTTCAATGTTGACCAGCTATGCAGATTAATCATGCATAAATTAAACAAAAATATTAATTGTTTGATTCAAGATTTAAAATACCTTTTGTTTAACATCACTTTAGATTTGGTGGCCTGAGCGTATCTATGATATGATTCATGAGGTAGCAACTCTAATGACCATGATTGTAATAATTTTTGTAGGTTGAGGGGACAACAGTTAATCGATACATTTCGGGTAGTTTGAATCTGTCGTGCTATTTTATGTCCAATTCCTATGTCTTCACTTGACCAGATTGACACAAATGAAGAACCTTTAAAACGATTGATCATATTGATTGATTCATCAGCAAAACGATAATAATGAAATCCAATTCCTTGGTCATGATAATCAACACAGATAGCATCAAAATTCAAAAAAGCTTTTGAATTTATTGAAAAAGGTTCATTTTCTGCAAACAAAGAATTGTTTACGTATTGATTTTTCAATTTTTGTCTGATGATTGTTTCGATTGTCGATCGCAATGATTCTTGAGCAAAAACTTTTATGCAAGATAAGTTGCTCACAATGTAAACATCAAATAAATTATCCAGCGCTGAATGAATATCGGCTGTTTCCGTTAGAATATAAGTGCCAATCTGTCCTTGATTTGTTATTTTAAAATCAATCAAATGTCCGAAAACTGATGCGGGGCCGCCACTTTCGATGAACATTTCACGCAATAAAGCAACCGGAATAGTTGAATACAAATCTGTGCGCAAAATAAATGGGGTTCCATGCATTATTTCAACCAAAACATCATAAAAACAAGCCAATATCGATATTTTGGTGCAATTAATCACACGATAATGACACACTTTTGGTAATTTTTGATTTTGAGTTTCAGCTTTTTTCAAAATTACATTCAAAGCTTGTAAACGTTGTTGAAACTTTAAATTATCGATGCTCGATATTTCAGCGACCTTGGCCATGGGTTTGAGCTGCGATAATTTAGCCATTAATGTTTCCGCAACACGAATTCGGACTTGGCTATCATCACGCCAATTATCATTGCGAACAACAATTGGATATATTAATGTAAAATCATTTTCAATAAAAGAAATTTTATCCAACAGTGTTCGAGAACTTTGATGAATTTTTACTGAATACTTATCGATAGACAGTGTTTCAAAGTGATCAGCATCGCCACCTGAATCATCTTTGATGTTCAAATGATTTGATAGCCACTTGTCCAGATCTAAATAATTAGACATTTTTACTCTTTCAAAAATTTTTAACAATTCATTCAATGTGAATGAATGAAGTACACCATAAAAAATTCTTTTTATATGTTAAGTTCAAAGTCTACACATCAGTGTTCATTTATGGCAGCGTACAAATATGACGAGCATAAAAGATAAGTACAAAATTTTCATAATCTTTACAGACCAAGATGTTTTTATTTCAATTCAAATGATAATTGCTATTGAGTATCAATCATGGCCATAATTTCATTGATAACTAAAAAAATCATAACCCTTGGTTTATTATTTTCGCTAACAGTTATTCACTGAAAAACGACTGTATTGTAGTCGATGAAATAAAATCCTTGATGACAATCATAATCAAGATTCTATTTGGTCAAACTCATCTTGAATTCATTGCAATAAATGAATAATTGATAATAATCAAGATGCGAATTTGTCAGCCAAACTATTAGAGAATACTGTCGGTTGAGACTTGTTATTGATATTACCGTGATAAATTTGAGTTTTACGAATCGATTGATGATCATTAAAGTTGGAAAATTGACGGACCGTATTCTTGCCAAATGACGATGTTGTCGCAGATTTATTACTAGCGATCATATTTGCATTGACTACAGGTTTCATATTAATATCGGAATCAAATGTATTTTTATTATTTGAACCATTTGTGGTGTTCATCGATGGAACGTTATTATTCCAATTAGTTCCCGTGTTGGAATTAGTACTCGAATTACTTGACGTACTACTGCTACTATTGTAATAATTTGGTCGCCTCGATGATGATAAATTTGAATTTGTCGTTATATTAGAAAGGCCATTCGTATTGATTGAACTATTATTATTATTATTACTGCTGTTACTATATCTTCTATTTGAAATCATTCCATTTGATGATGAACGCTGTGATGACGAATGTGGTGGAGGCTGCGGAATCTGGGCCGCTTGTGATTGATGTTGAATGTAATTAGAATGAACTAATGGAAGATGATGATGATAATGCGGTGATAAGCTAACGGGAACAGGCTGTTGTTGATGTGTTATTGTCTGCTGCATGGCGATATGATGATGCATTGCATTCGGATATGGCGATAAAAATGGTGTAGGTATTGATTGAAATTGATTTGACGGCTGAAACAGAACGGGCGGTTGTGGCTGATTCGTCAACATTAATGACTGAATAGAGCAGCTGCTATCGTTCGTTTTTGTGTCCTGGGAAGACGTGATTGTGTCTAACTGAAAACAATGAAAAAATGTTTCATCTTTAATAAAACAAAATACACTGAACATACCATTGAAGGAAGTGAATTGGATTTCGTTGAATTTGTATCACAGATGAAATCATCGCTATCACTTGAATCTTTATCGAAATCTGTCGAATTCAGATTACAATTTGTCGTTTTATGATGGTTATGTCGAGGAGATTTGGTCTGACGATGATGATTGCTGTTAGTCAGTGATCCACCAAAATATTTACTACTTGCGCTATCTAGATTTGTTCCGGAATTTTTTCCGCTGCTTCCACCACCATTTGGATTATTGTCATTATTGTTGTCTATACTCGTTAAATCTGAATATGGCAGCGGAAACTTTTCGATGATAGAATTTCTGTAATCAATTACTTCATCTGTGACACGAACTATACGACCCAATATAGATTTCGTTTGATCGACAGTTGTCGATAATGGACCGACAGCTTGATGTAAGGTAGTGAATGCATACTCGAACGCTTGTTTGACCATCAAAGCACCGTAAGAATTTTTGCCGATATCATTAGACGGATTTAAAGGATCTTCGATACATAAAATGGAAGGACGATAATTGGAATCCATATTTTTCTGAATTTCACATTTAGGTACAAAATTACCACCATCTTTGACACGTATACCAACGCGATAATAATTGAAATAACGCCCAAATAATTCGAAAAATTCAATCAACAAAACTCCCAAATTAGCATCAGGCAAGCGTGCTTCGATACGTGGATGTAATTGAATGAAACTAATGACCATCAATATTAACGAATATGAACTAATACCACCAGTGAAAACTTCTTTCAAGTCTCGTTGCAGAAGAAATTGCTTCAACACAAAGACTAGTTTTTCTAGGTTAGGATATTTTTGTTTATAATCCTATGGAAAAAAAGACAAACATAAATACAATTATAAATGATGGATAAAAATACATACTTTGATTAATTTTGCGCTTTTAATTCCATTACTAGTATTGAAACTGATATCCACACGAACTTTGGTCTCTTGATCAGTTAATTTAATGATAGGCACACTAGCTTTGTCCAACACTTTAATACTATTATCTTCGGCAATACCAGATTCTAACAATTTTTTTTCTAATGTGAACAATGGTATGGTTTCCCATTTACCGAATACAACCATATCTATATCGCTTGTCGGTAAATATAAACCGGTACGAAAACTGCCAAAATAATCCACCTGTTTACGATTAATTATAAATCAAATCTTAATTAGAATTATATAGTTTATTATTATACATACTTTGGCTTCAGGCCAAAAATTATTGATAACGGTAGAAATTCTTTTGACAACGTTTTGTCGCATAAATTGTTCTTCTGGTGTTGGTTTCATATAATTATAAAAATCTTCGATTTCTTGATGTAGGCCAATAATTCCAGGACTGTAATGCCCACGTATTGTACGCCAAGGTGTACCATTATATTTAGCACAAATATTTTGATTATCGTTAAAATTATATGTAGATGCCGGATTATCCGAATGATTTCGTTTAGCCATATGATTTAAATAAAATGGATGATAGGGTCCATTTGGAAACATAGAAATAGGCGTGATTGTGGAAGGCATTGTTTGGTCTGGTTGATGTTTATGACAATCCTCAGTATTATTATTATCATTCATTTGATGTCCAAGATGAGTATGATGATGATCATTATGATGGTGAACACCATTAATATTATTGGTGATAGGGACAAAATCGGGTTGATTTTCGATGGCCGTATGGTGGCTCATTTTGGCACGTTTCCATAAGGAAACCCATAATTTTAATGCCGGTCCTTCTTGTTCAGGCTGAAACCAGCCAATATTAGGATCCATCATTTTCAATTTCAAATGAGGAATTTAAAATCTTTAATTTAATGAATTTAAAAAGAATGTTTTTTTTCAATGATCAAGAAATCAGTTTAAACTTGAAGGAAAATCGACACGATGTTTTTTTTCAAGATGAATCAAACTGAAATTAACGGCTTCAGTTGAATAACTTAAATTATTGTTCAAAAAAAATTCTAACTCACAAAATGAATAAAATTCACCTTTAAATTTGTATTAGTTGATAAAATGTGAAAATTAGACCACAATTTCAATACGTTGAGATGTTATTTTAAAAAAAAATATTAAAAAATAATATTTGATTGGCTTTGCCTTTTGTATAATTACAATTTTTTTTTTTGATCATCACACATTATTCTGTGCTGTTAATGTATAGTTTTGCCACTCGTGCTCGTTGTCACCATTGATCATTGAGTAAAAAATACATACAGAAGTCGATGAGCGAATGTATGGTCTGTGTGTATATATTTGTTATGTGGATGTATAATGTGCTGTGTTAGCATTTATAATGCATGGTGATGTACACACATTGGTCGATTTGGTTGGGATGCGGAATATGCTTTATTTAATGCTTTATTCACAAGTTTAAGCTCAATAATGCGCATGGCTGTGGTCTTAGCACCTTATTAACAGATATTGTTGAATTGAAAAAAATGAAATTATAATTTGAATTTTTTCTTTAAATTGAATTATATAAATTTATTAAATCAAAGAATATATAAAATTTAAAATTAAAAGAAAATTCTAACGATAAAAAAACAGTTGTTAGAATAGAGATGAATATTGATAGTAAATGTTTTAGCTGTGATTCATTTCTTATTGATTCCAATGATGAACAATTTATCGAATGTTTGGATCAATATTATCATGTTAAATGTTTTGTATGTAATCAATGTGGACATTTATTATCATCAGAAGAATATGAATCGATTTATCAATCGATGAATATTGATGAACAAATAAAAGCATTTATATGTCAAAAATGTCAGGACAGTATTATAAATAGCGAATTTAAATGTGAGAAATGTGACCAAAAAATCACCTGCCACGATGAATATCTTATCCAATCAGACAAAAACGATAAAGATAAATTTATTCACATGAATTGTATTCAAATTAAATGTATCGGATGTCAGGAACAAATTATCTTTCAAAATGACACCAAATACTGGATGCTTGACAATGGTCTTAATTATCATTTAGAATGTTTGAAATGTCATTTTTGCCAAAAACCAATGGACGAAAATTTTGCACTCGAACAGTGCCAAGCATCAACAGTATCTGGAACATTTGTGTTTTGTTGCGATGAATGTTTCAAATCTGAAACTAAAAAACACGGGATTGTTACTCCAAAAAATCGTCCAATTTCTACATCAACAACAAGCAATGGGCGAAAACATCCAAATTCTTGTTGTAGCCTTCGAATTTCTACGAATCAAACAGCATCACCATTGACACCAAAGGCAATAATAGCCAATCGACAACGTCAAAATCTTCAAACGGCACTGCGAAAAGTCGATCAAAAAAAATATTTACAAATGAAATGATGGGAAAAAATAGGAAGATTGACCAAATTCCAAATTTATTATTTTTTGATTAAATAATTGTTTATTGTACAGAGAAAAAAACAGCAAAAATCGATTAGGTGACCAGAATAAAAAATAAGACCACTTTAGAAAAAATTAGAAAAAAAAAATTAAGACGAGGCACCAAAAGTAGCATTATGGCGATGTCTATTTGTATGGCGATGACGATGATGATGATGATGGTGACGATGTGACGGTTGTTGATCATGATTTGATTGTTGTTGTTGTTGATGATGGATGAAACACTCATCACAAACACGCACCGGTTTAGCATATCCGAAACATTTCAATGCAACGAAATTTGATGAACATTGATGACAAAAAATACGACCACAACGGCGACAATGATGTCTTCGTCGCATGAATGTGAATGGTTGCGAACAAGATTCACAACTTGTTACAGAATCATCCGGCTTCCAAACTGGTGGTATCAACAATCGGGTTGCGGTTGTGTTCATCATGGCTGATGATTGCTCCAACATACTTATTGCAGAACCAAGAATAGGAATCATTCCATGCTGAGAATCAGTATTAGTAAACTGAAGAAATGGTGGAAGTTCACCATTATTGATGCGAGTTTCATCGATCGTCGTTGCACTCGAAGATGTGAAATGGGATGGCTGCAAACTATGAGACGATTGATTGGAGGATGATATCGATGTAGAGGTTGAATGGGATGAATTCAGAGAAATGTTTGTTTGACTATTCTGATGATGTTCATGGTCAGTAACACCATTTGTACGAATAGCACTTTTAATTCGAATGTTATGTTGATTTGTGGATAAACTGGAAGTTGATCCTTGATGATTTTGGAACTTAGGCCGTATATCATCTAATGATGAATAAGTACGGTCCGAATAATGACAAAGATCACGATTATAACGAGTGTTTGTCGTTCTATCACAGCTCGTATTATCATCATCATCATCATCATCAGTTGTTGATTCCGAAATGATTCTATCAACGAAAGCCCTTGCTTTTGATGAAGCTGGGCTGCGCGATCGTTGTTTTTTGTGACTAGAATGATTACTGGTGGATTGATTCCTTTCATTCATCGTTAGATCATTCATATTCGTCTGGTTCATTACAAGATATTCATGACAAGCATCGATTGCTTCTTCAATTTCACGATTATCCATCGGATGATATCCATTAGTATTATGATCATTGCAATTATTATCACTATTATCAACATATAATTGACCGATTTGAACTTCGATTGGCTGCATCATCATCTTTGATTGATTATTTTGTATTTGAAGTTTACGTTTTTCTTCTTCTTCCTCTTGGATATCCTGTAACATGAAAACAGTACGCAATATATTGCGCAATTCACTGGCGTAGTTTGTCTGGAATTCATCGGCAATTCCTATTTGTGAGAAAGGTTTTAAAATTTTATCAATCAAATAAATTAATAGAATATTACTTGAAATCATCACAAAAACTTGATGTAAAATTTTTCTTGTATATAATGTCAATTGAGAAAGATCGTCAGTATAAAATGAATCTGGATAAAAATGAAAAATTCAAGTCAATTACAAAATGTAAAAAAATAAGTTTCGATTTTTTAAATACCTAAATCAAAATGAACGGAGTTGTTAGAAAATGTCGATGTTGTAGGCGTAAACATGGCAGCCGTGCTCGTCTTTTGTGCAGAGTGTTGATCACCGCAATGGTTGTTCGAAGCGATATCATTGTGATGAAGATGGTGATGATGACAACGACGACGATCTGCTGCTGTTTTTGCCCGAGGATTAGCAAGAATTTCATTCAAAGGCTGGACATTAGAATTGGTAGCCACACCACCACTCGAGGTTGATCGATGCTGCGTTTGTTGTTGTTGTTGCGGACAACAGTTACGATTTTTTGTCAAAGTTTTTAATTGCGTTCGTTTGAGCATATCTTTGATTTGTTTAAGGAAATCCAATTCAACCGATATGGATGATGATGAACAGGTTATTGATACCGATGGACATGATGATGAAGTTGATGTCGTTGTAGCTGATGATGAATAATCACGTGAAATACTTGATGAACGCTTATGGACAGGATTGCGAATATCAGAATTATCATCATCCATATCATTAGTCAAATTGAAATTAATATTTGGCAACGAATTAAAGCGGAAAAGTGCTTCGTTTGATTTATATGGACTATAACGTTGTGGATGTACAATATTGTTGTTGCCTGATTCATCGTTACCATTGTTAGCCGAATCATTACGAACGTTATTGGTTAGTAGAAAATCAACTGATGCCGATATATAACGATTGGTGAGTAAAGATTTCCGAAATATGGTTGAAGTAGTTGTTGATTGGTGTTTTTTCATAGATTGTAATTGATTATCATCCTCTTCATCATGATAGTTATGACTGTGATGAAGATGATTTGCAGTTAGTTCAGGATTTCGTGGACAAGAATCTTTCATTCGTTTAGCATGACGGAAAAATTTATTGAATATAGCCAATAGGCTATCTTGATGCTGTTGATGAGAATTTTGATCTGTCTGACCAGAATCTATCATCATTAATGAAGAAATATTTGCCGAATGATTATCTACCGAATAGTCGATCAGATTATCATGATTAGTCGATAGTAATCTTTCAAGAAAAAAAACTTCATCATCACTAAGATTCATCAGAAATTCGTGAAATTCTAACAATAAATTATGATAAGGCCGCAAAATTGTTGTCAATTCTGCTGGATCGTGTTTACAAACAACTGAACCGAAACCTTGTAATAAACCTCGAACAATCGACAGACGTGGTAAGGCAATCATAACTGATGGTTGGCAACCATCAACTTCATCTTTGGAAATTAAACCTTTTTCAAGTGAATATGATAATGTTTCACTGAACAGTATGGTCAATTCTTGTAAATTTTCAATATCTTCACAGTTTTTGATCTGTAACATTGCTTTTACGTAATCATACTCAAATGAGGAAAAAAGATTATCAAAGTTTTCCAATTTTCGAATCAAATCTTTTGAAATTCGAGGGCTGAACAAAGAGAAAAAAATAATGATATAATTTTTGGATAAGGATTATTTTTCTTACGTTTTGGGTAAATAATTACAACAGGATCGTAATTCATAACGAATCTGATCCAACGTTGTTGTCAAATTGATTGCGATGGGTCTCAAATAATTCGACTTATCCTGGTTATTCGTTATAGTAGATCCAGCTGTCAGACATTCAGCTCCAAACCAAATTTGACTGTTGAGTGATTCGATACCTTCGCCAGTGAGTAATTCATCGGGAAATTTTAGCCGATATTCTCTTGAAGCACGTTCACAACCGATTTCGTCCATTATACTAAATATTAAACTTATAACACGATCTTGAGTTTTTTTAAGACTATTCACCAAGGCAGAACAACGATCGGTATCTTTACGGCCATCAAATGTATCCAATTCAGATGATGTATAATTCAATTCTTCATTTGCTTGATAAAATTGGTACATTAATGTTATTAAGAATTTATCATTCGGTTGTATTGTTGCTGTTTGTATCTGATGTTTACGAATTCGAGAATTATAATGATGATATATGACGGAAAAATATGATTGATTTTCAACATTGGATGATGACGAATCTAATGTTGAAAATATTGTTGCAGTATGATCTTGTGATGATCCTGGAATTGCAAATCCATCTCCATTTCTATTTATAGCACCTGCACCAGATGATGATGTAGATGGATTTGAAAATGGAGAACCGAATAGAGAAGAGAATCCACCATTATCACCGTTAGTGTGCGATCCATTTGAATCATTCAAATGATGATGACCATCATTGGAAAGAACTGATGAAAATACTTTTGATGCTAACCATTTTCGTATCGAAGACATTTTATCGAATGGCTTTCTGAAATTTCCTATAAAAATAGACTTTTTATGTTGTTGTAAATTTTTTTCAGGAATGTTGGCAAAAATCCTAATAAATCCAAGTTTCAATTAATAATTTTCATTATAATTGACATTTCGTTTTTCGTATTCATAGTCGCTGGTGAATTATGTACGGAAATTTATCTATTGACTGCATTAGATGAAAATTGCTTTGACGTCAAAAAAATGCTAAGCAAAAAAAAAATTTGATGAACAAAATCACCAGGTACATGGAACGCGACGTTCTTCTATCTACTTCTCCGGCTTTTTGTTGATGATTAAAATATTTATTTTTTGTTGATTATATCGCTGATAATATTAATGTTGATATCTTGTCTTTTTTTTTGTTGATGAAATAGTAAAAACATAATATTTTAAGCGTTTTAGTTCTTTTAACTTTTTTTTCTGAATATCAAAATCATTTACAGATTTCAAGAAATGATTCAGAAAAAGCACAGTTATTTTATTCAATTGTCCATGATAAAGGAAATATGATGAAACAAAAAACAAAAAAACAACAATAAACAAATCTCAACATCAAAAAAAACATGAGCATTAAATTGTTGAAATTTTTGCTATTTTTCTTTTGGAGATATCCTACAAGTAAAGATATGGCGCATTTAGTTTTTAGCTAAATAACAAACAACAATCAGGTCAACTAAAAATCATCATTCAATTGAATGAGAAAAAAATCCAATGGAACAAATCGAATGAGAGACCAAAAAAGCAACTCTATTTTCTAAATAACATAAATAACATAAACAGCTCCAAAAAGATTGCGTTCCATTTCAGATTATTGTCACTAGATGGCAAATCATTTGTTTTGGATCTTTTATGGAATAGATTTCAAATACGATCGAATATAAAAGTGTACAATAAAATTATAAAAATTTTTTTATTCAAAAAATCATTTTTTTTAATTTTGGATGTTACATTAAATTTTATTTAGATGGTTATTATTTGTTATCATCCGTTTATGCCTCCAATTGTCCCAATTCTCTGGCCTTTGCTTTTTCTAATTTAGCAATTTTAGCCCGTGATTTGGCCGACATAACACCACCACCCCAATGTTTACGAATTTCATCAAAACGATCATTGAAATTTGTTCGAATAACTTCCACCAAATTTGTCAATGCAGTCTATTAATGAGATGTGTGTAATGAATAAGTTTTGCAGATCATAAAAAAATCAAAATAATCATACCTTATCTTCTGGATTTACTTGTGTTAATGCTAATGCAGCACAGGATTTTAATCGTGCAACTTGTCCCAAACGAGATCGACCACCTCGAACAATACAATATGGAATACCCATTTTTCGGCATAAGCTTGGCAAATGTAACACAATTTCGATTGGTTCACAATCTGCAGAAATACAAACCAATTGAGCCGTTTTCTTTTCGATGGCCGTAGTTACAGCATTAGCGCCTAATCAATTGTCATTTTTTCAATGAATTACAATCAATTTAAAAAAGGAGATTAGGTGAATACATACCAACTTTGACGACTGGTGGTCGTTTAGTGGGTGCTACTTCTTTTCCTTCAGCTTTCGATTTAGCTTTTTGACGCAAACGTTCAAGTTTTGCTTGTTTCGTTTCTGGACGATATTTATCCAACAAACGGAACAATTGAGTAGCTGTTTGACGATCCAAAAGATTACTGCGAAATTGATTGATGCTTGGTGGAACCTTAAGTCGTTGATACAAAACTGCGCGGCGACGTTGGATGCGGACATATTTTGGCCATTTAAAGAATCTGGTCAAATCACGCTTCGGTTGAATGTTGCCACCTGTAAAGAAAAGACAGAAAAATTTATTCTCCACTTTAAAAACAATGCAAAGATTCAAACAAACCAATGGAAAAATTTTTTGGTCGTTTTTGGATCAATGGATCGACGACTTTTTTCTCCTTTTGTATTTTCGATGCAATGGCTGCTGGCAACGGTGCCGTCTTTTTCTTGACAATCTTCTGTACAAATCAAATAATAATGTAAAATTAAAATTTCTAAAAGAAATCTTCAAAAATACCTTGACTTTTTTAACCATTTTGGATTAAAATTCTTGGTAAAACAAAATCAAAATGAAAAAAAAAATCTAATTTACAAAAACAATCGTGTCACACACACACAACGAAAACGTGTAGGAAAAGGAAGACTTTTTTTCGAATGCGTGTGCATAAGTAAATTGATTGAACGCCATTGCCATCTATCGGATCAAATTTTTATTTTTTATATTTATAAACCACGAAATACGAAATAAAAAAAGTATGTCTTTTAAAATTAAAAAACTTTACGAAATGAAAATACCAAATATAATGTTACTGCTTCCCATTCGGATTTCGATAAAGTACCAATCGTATTAATAACCTGGCCGGATGATTTTTGTAGATATTCACGAATATGCCGATAATCTTCTGGTTTGCCCATTGGTCGTTCACGATCTTTTGGAGGATATTTTTCCAATGCTTCCATGAAATTTAACAATTGTAAATTATCTTCACCTTCACGATTTTCTTCATAAAATTCATCAAATCTTTTTTTGAATATTAATTTAAGTCCATATTCTTCACAGATTTTTTCCATGATTGGAAAATAGACTACAAATTCGGGACAATCAACCACTTCTTCAAGATGAAAATCATATTTAGCTCCAAATAATGGTATACCAGCGGCAACTATTTCTTCATAGGTTTTATCAAACTTAATGGAATATACATCATTACCAAATTGATTTGTACCACATTCTTTCAATCGTCGCATTATTTCAATAGAATCGGGCATTGTACCACAGAAAATGCCACCAATTTTTAAACATTCAGATGCATTACGAACCATAGTTCGAACTTGATCATATGATTCAAAACAGTAATGAAATGAAAACTGACAACTAGTCATATCAAAACGAATATTTGTATCGGATAATTTATCACGAATAATTTCACGAGAACAATCCGCATTAATAAATTCGGCTTTGAAATGTTTACGAGAATTACCATATCGTTCTTTGCAATGTTCAATCGAAACACTTGCAATATCCGTTCCAATGAAATGTGTGATTTCACTTTTTTCATATTTGGTCAAGTCACCACCTTTACCACAGGCAAGATCATGTACGACAAATTCATTATCATTTTTATCTTCTCTTTCGGATCGTAATAATTTTATAGTATCACCTGAAACGAGAATCGATTTTCAAAATGAATAAAGTTTACCCGTGTTAGTTTGATTATACTTACGTATGATTATACTTTTGACCCAATTGTTGAAATTTCTCATATAATAAATACGACTCTTTTTTCGTTCTTGAATATCATTATTATGGATACTATTATAATGATTGGCTACAATCGATGAAATCGATGACGGATGATTGTCAGATGTTTGATGTTGATATCGATCCGAACGATGTTCTCGTTGGGAATTATATTCATATCTACGATGTTTATAAGGATTTCGATGATGATCATCTCGATTGCCATCATCATCTCCATGATTATTTCGATGATAATTTGATTGTCGTGAATCCATATTCCTGTTTGAGCTTGTTGATCCAATATTGATACTGATATCAGTCAAAAAAATGTTGCAACAAAAAAATCGGAACTGTTCATAAACACTATGTGAAAATATATTTGTTTGTTTTTCATCATGTGGATCATGTTTGGATTTTAAAATATTTTTTTTTTCAAATTGATTCATGTTGTTAACGACGATAATAAAATGTCTATAAAATATATTTTCAACAATCGACAAAAATCGATTGTTCCTTTGTTTCAGACAATAATACGATCATGTTATTTCTATCCTACTGATACTGGTGAAGGAAATTTTGAGAAAAAACATTTTGCTAATCGATCGAAAAATGAACCTTTACCACAGAAAAAAGCTCGTTTAATTTATCAAAGCCGAAAGAGAGGTAATTGTTATATAAAATAATTGAATGATTGATCTTCTCACAAATGATTGATTGATATTTAGGTATGCTCGAAAATGATTTATTATTGTCAACATTTGCCGATAAATATCTTGCTTCAATGTCTCAAGAAGAATTGGATATGTATGATCGATTAATTAATACAGTTTCTAATGATTGGGATCTATATTATTGGGCAGTTGGTACGAAAGAAATTCCTGAAGAATATCGAAATTCAATAATGGATAAATTTAGTCAACATGTTAAAAATGTGAATCGTGAACAACGCCTTAGGCAGCCTGATCTTTGATTTACATTTGTTTTTACCACTGTATTTGTATTTACTCATTTGTTTTCGATGGAAAATTTTTTTTCCGAAAAACAACATTTAAATAAAGTACTTAGATTTAATTAATGGACTTTGCATTACATGTTAGGGGTATCAAAACAAGCGCCAATTTAGAAAAAAAATAATCATATCAATAAAGCGATGGTTTGTTTATAGGAAAAATGTAAGCAAATGTAATCATTCATTCATCGAAATCGTATACGCGACGGAATGATGATCTTTATTGTTACCAATTGCAATAATAATCCAAAATATTTCTCGTGATCATTTTTTATCCAATAACCTTGATATTGATGTCTCGTTTGTTGCAAACGACAGGCATGTTGAAACATTTTGGAATTCCCTTAAAGATGTTTAGCTAATAGATAAAGAAGGACTTTTTCCATTTATACTCAGAAATAATTATCCGGAAGAAACGCGTTCATAGAGATTATCAATAATCAAATATTGATATTATGTGATCATTGCCTGATTTACATTATGGTGATGATCATGGTTGATGTCTAAAGTTTAAAACTTGATGATCATTTTGGTTTTGTTACAATTTTGATAAATGATAGGTAATTCAATGTTTTTTTTTCTTTTGATAAAATGACATCATAAAGTAGAGGCATGTATACAAAACAATACATTATTGATCACATGCATATATATTTAACCATCATATCAGACGAGTACATCAACATTAATAACGTGATTAACATATTTGCTCTTATGTTGGGTACACAATAAAACTATAATTCATTTTCACTGCTCATTTAGAATTTGATGATTATTTTGTTAACGTGTTGCTTTCGAATGTTTTAAAAATTCAATGAAAATCGAATCTTAGCTTTTTTCTTTCAATATTTTTCCAATATTCTTTTTTAAAGTATTCTTCGAAATGAAATCTACCAGATTATTCTCTACCATAATCGGTAGGTAATATTTCTATGTTATGGATTGAATTAAAGTTGTTTTGTTTTTTGTTGAAAAACTTTCTTAGGCAATGTCATTTCACAAAATTGTCGGATAGCCAATGATTTTAAATCGATCAGGCTAAATTTATTACGAAATTATTCATCGGCTGCTTATACAAGTCGTTATGCCGATTATGAACATATACAAGTGACCGCACCACATGATCATATATTGCATGTTGAACTTAATCGTCCCGATAAACGTAATGCCATCAATCGAGATATGTTTCGTGAGATATCCGAATGTTTTTCGGATATCGGAGCTGATCAACAATGTCGTGCAGTTGTTATTTCAGGTGCTGGTAAAATGTTCTGTTCTGGTATCGATTATATGGACATGTTGGAACAGATGACATCAATGCATTCAAGCAGTGATGCTGGTGGGCGGGAAGATGTTGCCGCGCGTGCCAAATATATTCGTAAAACAATCGTTTTGTTACAAAATTCATTTAACAGTATCGTCAAATGTCCAAAACCGGTAATTGCAGCCATCCATTCTGGTTGTATTGGAGCTGGTGTTGATTTGATTAGTGCTGTCGATATTCGTTATGCATCAAAAGATGCTTATTTTTCCATTCGTGAAGTTGCCGTTGGTTTAGCTGCTGATCTTGGTACATTACAACGAATGCCAAAATTGATTGGCAATGATAGTGTTATGCGAGAATTGGCTTATACTGCTCGAGATATGCAAGCTGATGAAGCAAAAGAGGTTAGTTTGTTTTTTACTTGAAATAGTGATTATTTCATTATTGATTTTTTGTTGCACAATTAAAAAAATAGATTGGTCTTCTGGGCAAAGTTTTCAACGATCCGAATAGCTGCGTACAGGGTGCTATCGATGTAGCTCGTATAATTGCATCAAGATCACCTGTTGCTGTGCAAGGTACCAAAGTTGCATTGAATTATTCTCGTGATCATTCAGAAAAGGATGGCTTAGAATTTATGCAAATATGGAACATGTGTATGCTACAATCCGAAGATTTTATTATTGCTAGTTCATCACAAGCATCCAAATCTACTGAAGAACCACCATTTGCCGATTTCTAGATCGTTGAATGGAAATCCCCTCATTCCTTTATTAATTTGAATTTTATCATCTTTATTTTCATTCGAGTTATGTTGTAAAAAAAATAATAAAATAAAATATACTAATTTTCGTATGTAGAAAACGAAAAAAAAGAACTAAGTTTCCAATGCAATCACTTTGATGAATCCTTCATTATTTGATTGACTGTTTACAAAAACGGCAGCTGATTTGTTGTTTGTATTGCAATAACGTGAACTTGAAAATACGGTTATCAATAAGCCAGAATGACGAAATCGATAACCATCGGTTTCAAGTTCATGAGCACGAATTATATGAGATAGATTATTAGCTTTGAGAAAGTTACGCGATGCTTTCTCGGCAAAATAATATCCGGTCGATCTACGAAGATTATCTACAAATCCAGTTTCAGTCGATTGATTTTTAAATTGACAAACTTGGTTAAATTCTTCATCGGTAACTGGATCGGACCATAAGATTTCCCAGGCTGGTTTCGATTGAATTTCTGGTTCAGGTAATGGTAATGGTATTTTGTACAAATCTTCTATCTTTGCAACCGAATATGGAATTCCACCATGTGCACAAAATATCGATTCATCAATTATACCGACCAATGGAAGATGATCGAATGCCTGATTGAATTCTTCAAGCACACGTTGTCCATTTTGATATAAGTATCTGATTATTTCAAAAACAAAACAAAAAAATCAAAAATAAACAATTGGCATAAACAGTAATCACTTTTTTACTTACTTGACCATACATTCACGAGCGAATGTAAAATTTCGCTGTATAGAACGAATTTCATGATTACCACGTAGTAAAAAGAATTTGGTTGGTGCTAAAATTTTCATAGCAAACAGGTAACTAATCACTTCGATACTATAATCACCACGATCAACGTAATCACCAAGAAAAAGTATATTGGGCGCATTAGCCGTAGGCGCTAATGGCCATAACTGTCTTTCATACGTAAGAAGATCGTTAATATTACCATGAAGATCACCAAGCACAATACATGGTGAATTTACTTTGACAACACGCGGTTCGATTAGTAAAATTTCCGTTACTTCTTTACACAATTGTACGATTAGATCCACCGTTAGCTTATTGATGACGTATTGTGCTACTTCTGTTTTTCGTTCATGAGGCAACTTGTTGAAATCAACCATTCGCCTTATGATTGACAGCACTTGATTTGCCACAGAGTTTTCATTGAACACAACTTCCATCGAATGTTTGACACGAATTTCGTTAGTTTTCTTTTTAAATTGAAGTTCTACATCAATTTCACCACAATTCATTTGAATTAAAGGTCTGGATTCTTCTATTCTACCTTGACTACTAAGTTTGACAGCATTGTATGCCAACGAATATGCTTTTGGACGACATTTTGGACATGTGCCCAACAATTTAGGTGCAAAAGGTTTGCCATTTTTATTAAAAATATATTCATACAAATGTCTTGAATGAATTGTTTCAAGTACGGGACGATTGGCACGAAATAATTGTCCGACTCCAGTCAATCGACCACTGGTCACTTCTCGTGTAAAATTTTGACTTGTGATACGTTTCTTATCATCCATTAGCTTTAAATGAGTCAAACGTGTTTGACAATCTTTTTGTACTGCTGCCGGTTCTGTTGACATCATTGATGCATCACGTATATCGAAAACAATTTTTTTAAAATCTTCTTCATCTAAAAAGTTATCCGAATTCTGATCATAATAACGGAATATATATCCACAACGTAATGGAGTATTGTTTGATGAATCAAGTGCTGCCAATCCCAAAAGAAATTCATTAAAAAACATAAAATTACGATTACGCCAAGAAGGTGATATTGCTCGATATACAGATCTGATAATGTTTTCATCATTTGTTAGTAAATCCATTTTATTGATGTATTCAGCAAAAGCACAATATGTCATATTAGCGGATGGATAACAATGTTGTATAAATTCACAATACACTTTGATAACATCTTTTTCGGTAAATTTAGCATCGGACAACATGACCAAAGTTTGATTAGTAGTTGCCGATCTGTTAGGACTAATAGTTGTTGAAGTTGTATATTTTAAAACTTCACTGCTTGTAAATTCCGATATGTTTGGAAATTTATTGGATACTGGTTTGTTTAAATGAAGTTCATTAAGTACGGTTGCTGTCATATTAACTTCATTGCCCCATAATATATCGGCAATTTTTTTCGAATTTATTGCTTCTGCTAATGGTAACCATTTAATTTGAGCATTTTCTTTGCAACAGATATAATTTGGATTCGAATTATTCCATTGTGCAAGAAAAATATATCGTGAAACAAATTGTCCATCCGGTATTTGTGATCGATGTATATTGTAAAGTTGAACATTTGTCAAAATTTTTGCCAATGTTTCTTTTGATTTAGAACTGGTTGATTTGTTATTATTATCTGATGTTGGTTTTGTTTCATTTTGAAAACATTCAAGAACAATATCGATTGTTTTAGAATATTTTTCATCTTCATTAGCATATGCAAATGGTAACCAATAACCAGAATGATTTTTTAATTTTTGAATTGGCATTTGGCCATGTGAACAACGTATTGCATAAGCACAAACTGTACGTAAAATTGTTTGATAAAGTTCAGGACCATCACGTATGACCAATGATTGTGGATTTGTACCATCTGCATCGCCCGGTATTTCAAAACCTAAACTCATTTCACTTCCAATAGAATCCAGTCGATCATTCTGTGAAAGCAATGATCGTTGATTTGTATTTGTTTTTGATTCAGCATCAATTTTTGGCATTTCTTCTTTCAAAGACATTAATCCACCGCTCATAACTTCGCTTGGTTGATAAGTAGGCACTGTTGATTTTGCATCATTAGTATCGACAGCAAGAAATGATGCATCATGTTTAGCACCAGTGAACAAAGTTGATCTATCTGCTTCAATCTCTGTCATACTTTTAGGCGTAAATATTTTCGACACATCTGATACTTTAGAAATTTCTTCATCACGTTTTTGTTCTTCACCCTTTCCAGCATCTTTGCTGTTAGTAGTATCCATTTATTACAACAAAAAAAAAACAAAAACAAAAAAGAAAGAAAAACTCAAAACAACCAATTTCAAGACCAAAAATGATTTACATTTCATTTGAAAATTTATGAAAAAAATTATTCATTGTTGTTGTAATATAAATTACATTCAATTATTAAATTCCATTTTTTGTTTTTTCGATTTTATTAAATTCCGATTCCGGTGAATAATACAAAAAAAAAAAAAATAAAAGATGATTCTCGAAGACAGTATCGATAAAATCGAAAAGAGTCGTTCATCATTCAATACATTGTATATGTACGCGGTATTTTTTTTTTCGTTTTTTGCGATTGTGTTTGTGTGTGTGTGTGCTCTCTCTTTCTTGAATTTCACCACTGTCCCAAGTTGTTGTTGTTGGCTATGTGTGGCTCTTCGCCATGACTGGCTGCAGATGTGAATCTTTTGGTTTAGCAGGCATGCATGCATGGTCTCAATTTATTTTTGTTTAATAATTTACTTTCATTGCGGTCATAATTTTGCCGAAATTCTAATAAAACAAATTTCAACGGATGAAATTTGAATTTAAAATAAGAATTTGATCCATTTTCAGTATGTATACTATTTAGATTTATTTGTTTCATTAATCGATTATTATTATTATTTAGTAATGAAAATTATTTTTTTTTTTGTATTTTTCATTTTCTAAAAAAAGATCAAGCAACGAATTCAACCAACCATAATCGAAAAAAAGTTTTCTCTATGTGTGATTATTATTATTTGAACTAAAGCATAAATATTTGTTGCCAAGTTCTTCATTTTTTTACTCATCATCATCATCATTATCATACAATTTGTTCTACTATAATTAATCAATAAATTTGTTTGTGTGTGTGTATGTGTGTGAGTTTGTGTTGATTGTCTGGTTTTAAAAAAATGTCGAACAATGATAATGGACCAAGAGGAACTATATTTGATAAAATTTATCCGAAAGGATCAACTTTATCAAGTTTATCCAGACAAAATAATCAATCAGAGGAATCGATTAATTCGGATACATCAACATCAAAGTCAAATTGGACACCACAACCACCTCCTCCATTATCAACATCATCATCAGGTGTTGGCCCAGGCTATTCAACATCTTCATTATATTCAAGTGTAAAACGATTAAATCTATTCCCTAAAAGATTAGCTGATACTGATTCGGGTGTAATTTATAATTCAAATTCATTTAAACGTTTTCGAAACAACAATAATATCGATAATTTAAGCGATTCAGTAAATGAACCGTCCGCACGTTCACGTGTAAGTCATGTTTCAACTCCATCATCAACTTCATCGGTTGCTTTTGGTTATTTAACCGGCGAATTTGGCCGAAAACGATATCCAAGAACACCTTTATCGGTCACTGGTCGTGATTCACCATCATTAATCATGAATAGTCTTAATCTTTCATCATCAGCAAGTAATAGTGGTCGAAATGCAATGCCAATGAATCAAAATCGTAAACCAACTACTGGCTCATATTTTTATACCGGCAAAACAACATTCGGCGGTTCGAATCTTCGTAAAAATATCCACCGATTAAGCATGACACCTTATTCGCCTTATTCACGTGTTAATGTAAAATGTATTGAACCAACAGCCGTTCAGCGACCACCATCTGCAACGGGTAAAAGTATCAGCCATTCGACTATCAATGAAGAATTACCATTAAGTTCGGTCACACAACGTATTCTAGATCGATTAGATAAAGCTGCCGCACCGATTTCTGATGCAAAATCAAGAATACCAATTTCAACATTGATAAGTAATTCAGCTAAAAAATTTGATATAAGTCGAACGCCAAAGTTGTTCGATACACCTACGCCTATTATTGAAAATCGTGACCGTTCTCATATAGATTCAAATTTTAAGCCAATGAAATATATTCTTAAACCATCATCATCATTCAACGACGAAACATCAACGGTAATGGCCGGTGACAAATCGATTGATGATGACATTCAAAAATTGAATCAAATTAAACAAGCTGAAAAAGAATTAAAAGAACAACAAGAAAAAGTACAGACAAAGACATTTGTCGAGCCAACATTAAGAACAATGAAAAATTTTGCACAATCATCATTATCGACAAGTTCAGGAAAAATTACAGCACGTGATGTGAAAAAAGGTCGTAAAATTGATGATGTTCTCGAAATGGACGACTCACATCTTAAATCATTGGCCAATGTACAGCCACTGGCCACAATGACAACCGGTATAACATTGAAACCATTTTCATTGAATTCATCTACACCAATGAATCATAGTGATAAATCTAATACATTTGATATTCGATCCACATGTGATAAAACCAACGTACCGAATTGTAGTACAATCAATAATGAATTTTCATTCAAATTTTCATCACCTAAATTAGTGGCCTCGCTATCACCAATGGCTGTTCGGCCAACATTCCAGGAAATTGATTTCAGTTCACCGATACAAATAAGTGAATCTAAACCAATCGTCCAATCCGTTTCATCAACGCCCACAACAACAAAATCATTGTTTGATCAATTTAAACATCGTATACAATCTACCGATTCATGGACATGTCAAATTTGTTGTACCCAAAATGATGATATCAATGCAGATAAATGTATTGCCTGTGAAGAGCATAATCCTCATAAAAAATCGTCAAAAAATAACGATTCCACATCATCAACCGTGGCACAAAAACCTGAAACTATTAAATTTGGTGATTGCAATAAATTAGCACAAAATCCTTCATTTTCATCATCTTTGCCTTCATTGAATCATTTGTTCAAAAAAGATACTAGTAAAAATTGGACATGTCCAACATGTTCGGTATCGAATAATATTGAAGAGAATCGTTGCATTTCATGTGAGGAACCTAATCCTCATAGTAATGCAAAAACATCCACATCGAATAATCAAATGAACAATTTGACAAAATTTTCTTTTGGTTCAATTTCGACCGGTATCAATTCGGATACTTCATCCTCCACTGATAATTCATCAACAATAACTAAACAACCATCGTTGTTTGATGTAATTCAGAAGAAAAAAACTCAAGATAAACAACAATGGACCTGTCCTACTTGCATGGTACCAAATGAATCAAATGTTGATCGATGTGTATCATGTGAAGAACCTAATCCCAATCAGCCAGTTGCAAATCAAACCAAGTCATCGACCACCACGTCATTTGGATTTAAATTTGGAGTTTCAAACACAGATAGTAATAATAGTTGCCCGAAAGATCATTCAACAACAATTGCAGAAGAATGGCAATGTTTTTATTGTAAAGCTCTGAATAAAAGCGACGATATCAGTAAGAATGTTTGCAATGAATGTGGGAAAATTAAAGTTATGGCAGCTACAAAAGATCAAGTGCAAAAATTCTATCAAACACAAACATTTAAATTTGGTCTGTCCACTGGTGTTACCAACAAAGATGTTAAAACTGTTGAAACTAAATCTGAAAAACAAGATAAAACATCAAATGACATAACAACATCATCATCTACAAGTGGGGGATTCAAATTTGGTGCACCTTCATCATGTAATGTTAGTAATTCACCAACGATGACATCTCCATTTGCATCTTCGAAAACAGCCGTCCCATTTTTATCGTTTGGTTCATCACCATCATTATCCTCATCATTAGTCAAGCCTATCGAATCGAAGACGGAAAGTAAGCAAAGTCATTGGTTTTACAATATATTTAATTTAATCCGAATATTTTTTTTTAGAATCATCAAGCTTGTTCAGTTTTGGAACAACAACAAATTCGGCCATCGATGCACCATCATTGGAAAAAACAACTAAACCAAATACTGGTACTACACCAACAGCGTCTGTATCATCGTCTTCATCAAATTTGTTCGTATTTGGTGACAATTCATCCAAATCTGGTACTACGGCCAATAATAATGAAAAGGAATCACTAAATGAAGACAATAACAACAAGACCATCACTCCTTTTGGTTTTAATGCGATCAGTTCGACATCGTCGACAAATATTAAACCTCCAATGGCCACTGGTTTATTTAGCTTTGGCGGCGCTAAACCATTGGATTCATCAAAGCCTAGTCTATCATCAAGTTTTTCAAAAGGTATGAAAATAATTTTGTGTAAATTTTATAATTTTTTATCCTCATCAAATTGTTATTATAGACACTTCTACGAGCTCTTCATTCACATTCGGTGGAGCTGTGACATCGACAACGAATATATCAACTTCTACTACGACAACAAAATCCACTAGTGGAACTCTATTTGGTAAAGAGCTAAATTTTGGGTCGCCAATTACTGTGCCAAAGATTGATTCTGGACCACCAATTCCTAAAATAACGATTAGTTTTGCTCAGCCAGGTACAGCAACGTCATCTACTACAACTGCAGGAAGTGTTGGTCAGTCATCAACTTCGAATACTTTGTTCACTTTTGGAAGTTCACCAAACATTACGCTCTCTGCGAATCCTACACCTACTGCACCAGTTTTCGGTTCTAATTCGTTACCATCGAGTTTTAATTTCATGGGAACAAATACCACTAATAATAACAATGGGCCTATGGGCACCAGTTCCCTATTCACGTTTGGCGCCAAGCCAAACAATGAACCACAACCATCGATAGATAAGCCTGCATCAGTTGGTTTCAATTTCGGGGCACCTAGCAATCCATTAAGTTTCGGTGGTGCCGGTGTTTCCTCTAACAATAACCCTGTGATGCCTTCGTTTAATACGACTACATCATCGGGATTGTTTAAATTTGGATCACAGGAACCGGCATCAAATCTAAGTTTTCAATCGTTTCCGAATTCTGCAGTTGAAGGTAACAATAATTTATCATTTCCTACGTCATTACTTGATCCTCAACAACAACAGCCGGACATGCAACAGCAACCGACTGGCATATTTCAGTTTCAATCGTAAGTTACTATCATATCAGCATCATTAATCAGTCAGAATTTTAATTTTGATTTGTTTTCATTTAGTTCGAACGCAGCAAACATGCAACAACGACCAAATCCAGCATCAAGAGCAATCAAAAAAGCTAAAAGACGTCTCAAATAAAAGCATTTGGCTAAAATTAAATTGTCGTTTATTTTTTTATTTAAATATAATCGTACTAATTTATATTCACAACATGCCTTCACAGACTTACACACCCATCACCCTTCCCAAATATAAAATACATTTAAACAAACAAAAACATTCATAACAGAGAATAACACACTTACACTCACACACACCATTCATCCCTTGTCATTATCATTGAACTTTTAACTGTGACCATTTTTGTGACACACATTGAAACACCTATTCATGTTTTTCTTTTTTTGTTTGAGCCTCATTGAAATTGTATGTACGAATTTAAATAATGTAATCTTTATGATTCTATTACTAATCAATTGATGTAAACTCTGCTGTAAACTTGTTCAATCAATTCTCTATTCATTATCATTATCATCTGACATAATTATCGTCATTTGTTCATGAAAAAAATTGAAAAAGAAAAAAATCAATTTTTTCGTATTTTAATGATTGTGGTAATCGATTTCGAATGATCCAACTGTAAAAAAAATGACAAAAATTGCTCGATCATGAAATACTTTATGGCTTTTTTTTAATGATTTGCTTTGATCAATGATGATGGTCAAAATGGATTGTTTGTGACTTTTTTTTTGAAATTGAGCTCATAATCGATCGAATTCGATTGTCCATCCTAAATTCATGATAATAACGTCAAATATAATGATATATGATGACGATATTTATGTTCATTATATATGTTAATAATGATGCTTTTCTCTCTTTTATTCTATTCTCTTCTTTTTTTTTGTCCATCGTTCCTTAATTGATTAAATATTGAAACGTTTTTTTTTTTGAATTATTTCATCATTTGAATCGATTTGATCGGAAATATTTACGTTTGAAAAAAACATGGATCATGTTTTTAAAATTGTTTTCTTGGTCTAAATATTAATTATTTTCCACAACAAAAAAAACAGAAAATGATGATTATTTTTCTATATTTCCAAAAGTCATAGATCAATTATTGATCAGGAAGTGAATATAAGTAGTAATAGTAATAGTAGCTGTTGTTAATTTTGTTCATAATGATTTTAATGATTTGTAGTAATCTCCGGCAGCCATCGAAATCATAATCCTTTTTATACATAATTCTTATACTTCAATTCGATACATAGTGATTAAATCCAATGTTGAATAGAAATTGGCAAAGCATTATGATTTAGCAACAAAAAAAAAACAAGGGTTTGTCTTTGTATATACAACTATCTAATAACTACCATCATCATCATCTTAATGTGGACCATTTCGATAAGTCTGGTATTGTGTGTGTGTGTGGTTTTTCTTTTTGTCTTGTCGGGTTTGATTGAGAAACACTTGTTGTTTGTTTATTACTTGATTGAATGAATTATTTGATTGATTGCTACTATCATTACCATTGTTATTTGTATATAAATCGGGTTAGATTTAGCATGAAAAATTCTAAACCGCTTATGCTTACCAAATATGGAAAACTAATGATGACAATCAGGTCATCAATGAATGGGATTTTTTTTGCGGTAAAGAAAGAAAAATGTATGTCAAATTCAATTTCAATTTGATCAGATTTTGAACAAAAATCTTGCATTCTTTGAATTGACGAACTAATAATGTCGATTTTTGATTAAAACTAAAAAAAAAATGCTGTTTGTTCTTGTATCCGGAGAGGAAAAAGAAAATTAATGGTGATAATAGCAACAAGCGATAACATGGCAATGAATGCGTTTACATTCATTGAATGCAATTCCATACAAATTCTTATCAAAATTTAAAAAAAATGTCAATTGCTGGCGCCAAATACTATTTGATCATATTATTTACATTCACAATCAAATCTATATAGAGAGCTGTCATCACAATTTGTTGTCGTTCATAAAAAAAATTTGTTAATGATAAGATTATGGTCGTCAAAGAAAAAAAAATTGCTTTAGATCTTTTATGTGAATGATATTTGTTTTTAGAATACACACAGAGAGAAAAAACACTTGTGTACAGTTTCTATAAATGTTGGTGGTTATGTTTAGCTCATTATCTATGGCCAATGAAAATGTCATTTTTTTTTCCTAAATATATAATTGGAAAAAAAATTAACCAATAAAATTTTGGTTAGTTATTCGGTTTTTCTTTTGGCTATTTCAATCAATATCATTGATGATCATATGGTCAATTTATATTATAATCATCATCATGAGTGGCCAGATGGATCAAATTAAAATGTTATGAGTCACGCTTGCTTTATTTGTTGATAGGAAACTTATTTTTTTGATTTGATCATATTTTCTAAAGGCGGAGGATCTATTTGTTTGTTTGTTTGTTTTTTTGTCTCAACAAATACCAGTATCTACAAAAAAAAAAATTGAATGAATGCAATCGAAATTATTATTATGATTATCATAATAATAATCGAATGTAGCAAGTGTCCATATATAAGATTAATATGTTTGATGTTGTGGTTTTCAAATGCAAAAAAAAAACAGAAAATCAAATGGAAACCAATAACATTAAACAATAATGGCAATGCACTTTTTTTCCTTTCCAATTTATATTATCCATGTTGCAAGGCCCTAAAAATAATATTTGGCCTTATGAGATGAACAAAATTCTTTTCTTTTTTTGTTGTGCCTAACAGATGCACAAATATATACAGATTGGATAGCAGATCCACTTCTCTTACATTCTTTGTATATACAATTCAAACAAACAAACAAACAAGAAAAAAAAATAACATGAAAAGGCCATATATTCAAAGCAATAGGCCACCACCAATACATACAACCATTATTTTACAAACACCGCCGCCCTGTCTGCTCGATACCAATGGCCTTTTGTTTTGTCCAATAGCTTATTTGATGATAATAGTTCGAGCTATACAAAATCTATTTGGTTCCAATCTGGAAACAAAAAAGGCAGGCAAGCAGTCTGTTAACATTCGAAAAAAAAAACAAAATTTATTATTCGACCAACAACCATAAGGATACCGCTATTTCATTTTTTTTTTGTTATCGTTGATAGATTCCTGTTTTTTTCTTCTTCTTGTTTTACACTCATCACCAAAATCGTGTCTATGATCTGTGTGTGTGTGTTTGTTTCTGGGAAGCAAAACGATGATGAAAACTATAAAGTGATGTTAAGATTTTAATAATGATATAAGGATGCTTATATATTGTACCACTCTATAGAGTGGATTGTGTTTGTGTGTGTATATTGAATAAAGCGGGCACCATTCCTGATACTCTTTTTTTTGTATAAGTAACTTTATTCTCAATCCAATTTGCCGATAAAATTTTCACCCTAAATTGAGTCCCTCTGTCTCTTCTTTTTTATATTAATGATGAGGATTTTCCGTGCATCCATTCTTCAGTTTTACCCTGCTTTTTAAAGTGAATTTTTTTCCTTGTTGTTGTTGTTGTTGTTTGTTAGTTCAAACTGTGTTCAACGATCGCGCCTTTTGGATTCTAAAATTGTACGCCCGTATTTCTATATGGCCCATAGCAAAAGTATTGATGGTGCGCATCCATGAATTCTCAACTATTCTATCACATTGTTCAGCTATGTTAATATGGTGAACTAAATTCTCTCCTGTTCCTTTTTTTTCCATTAATAAAATACAATAAAGAGAAGCATAACGAAACATGGATAACATGATATAGAAATGAACCATTATTTTTGACTCCCTATAGTATGGGTCGAATGATTAGTATATGATTTGAACTCGCTGGATTTATTTTCAACACATAAACATACAAATCCATCTTAATTGTATCGTTTTTTTTCTTCAAACCATTCATCACTTATGAATCGAATTTGTTGTTGTGTTTGTTATATTCATAAATATTCGCCATTAATTTTAAATTGATTTTGTTTTGTATCAAACAACATGATCTTTACAAATAAAAGTTCAATATTCATCGACAATAATATTCGAAGTTTTCTATGATATGTAGGTTTTTTTCGGACATCTGGCTCAATTTAAAATTCTTTTGCGATGCATTTAATCCTTTGAATCTATTGATAGAACAAACAAACAAACAAACAAAAAAAAGATTTCCGAAACTCGTCTGGCTTACGATTATATCAGAGTTAATGTTGCTCGATATGAGTCATCACATTATAATCATCACTAATGATCATCATCACGATTGCAATTCTACAACATATTGTGGTTCCGTCATATTCTAATAGTCTTTAATAAGTGATCTCTTTGTCATTTAATTTTTTTTTTGTTGGTTCTCAAAAGAATCAAAAATGTCATTTCAACAACAAGAACAACAACATCAAGTACAGTCACAATCATTGAGCGAAATGTATTTCGTTACTGTGACTAAAATCGAGGATTTCCTCGACGATCTTACCACAATGATTACCAATCAATTGTCAATGAATGATCCATCATTAACAGTGACTACACATGAAAGCCTATACAATATGTCCATTGTTGCCGAATGGTTTCATTCGATACCACATGTTGACATTAAATTAAGGCCACTGCCAGCCAACATAACATTCGATCCAAATGATAATGAATATCTAGAATCATTGGGAATATTGGTAGCCATACCTGGATTCTGGCTCATACTTACCTTAATATTTTTTCTGGTATTCTTTCTTTGCCGTTGTTGTGATGGACCAAGTTCAAAAGATCAACAAAAACAATTCCATCAACAAGCAACATTAGTGAGCAAAACACCGAAACCAAAACGATTGACTGGATGTAAAATATGTTTAGCATTGTTAGCCGTTATTGCCGGTTTTGCTATTACCGTAAGCCTTTTAGGCTCCATAATCGTTCATCGTGGTATGGTTAGATTGGGTAATTCAACAGCCGATATAGCCAATATCATCGAAACAGTTCAGAACGATACTCGTACCGCCGCATATTATCTCCACGATGAAATTGATGTCAATATTGAATCATTAAAAGGTGCTGTAGAAAAAATGCTAGTCAAAGACGTAGCAGTTAAAGCAAATTTAGAAAATCAAGTCTTCTTCCTTAAACGTAATGTCAGTCGATGTAAGTATTGATATCTATAAAAAGCATAATAAATGTTCCAACTAAAATCAAATTTTTTTGACAGGTATGCGCAGAGTAGATGATATTTATTCACGAATCGAAAAATTAAACATCAGACCCGTACCAGATAACGTACAATTGATCGAAAAGATTCGATGGCCATCAACATTTGCATTTGCTTTCTATCTGATTATTTTCTGTCTGATTCTCCTTTGCGGATTAGTCCGACATTCCCGATGTACGCTGATCCTGTTCTCAGTATTTGGTCTTTTGGCTTTAGTACTTGGTTGGGTTCTATCATCGCTCTATCTTGGTTTATTAGTCGCTGGCTCAGATTTTTGTGCCGAACCTGATGCATTCTTGGACGATCGTTTCAGTAATGAAGCTGAAATGGCTATTCTTGATTATTATATCCGTTGCCGTTTACCTACTCATCAACAACAGCAACCAATCGGTTCAAATCATCCGTTTCGAGTACAAACTCGAGCTTCATTAATTGCATTAGATCATATGTCTGAATTGATTCGAGCATTAGAAATGCTATGTATTAGCTATTGTAGTCCTGATCAAAGTGTTGTACGACCACAAATCAATTCTATTGTACAGCATTTAAATTCCACCGAAAGACTTCTCAAATCCGTTCAAGCATTACTCGATTGTCGACGAATACATGATGATTTTGTTCATTCAATGTCAGCTACATGTAAAGATTTGATAGAAGGATTGTTTTTGCTATTAATAACATCATCAGCCATTGGACTTTTATTTACATTGTTGGTTCTTTGTGCATCACATACATGGATTCATATTCGTTCCGTACAATCAAATAGTACGACAAGTTTAATTAGTACTGGTCAAGCTGGATCATCAACTCTTATGGGTCAATTAGATAATGCAGATGAAACTGATCCGTTTCTTCCGCCAACACCTCGAAATCTTCTTACCAGCCAACATCCTCATCATACTATTTTGTCCAATAATTCGACTAGTTCATCATTGACAAATGCATCACTCAGTGGTAAACGTTTCCGCGATTCATACAGCAGTGCCTATGGAACCACTGGACGCGGAAGGTTAGTGTATGTGATATTCTTAAATAAACTATTTTTCATTCTTTTTCATTTAACAAAGATTCAGCCACACTCCACCTCAGACACCTCATTTTACCACTTTGGGTGGTGGCGTTATGAATACCACAACTACATTGAATCCTGTTCATCAGCAACAACATAGTCAATCGACCCTTACGCATCATGGAACGATTGGACGTATTTTACCGCGTTCTGAAGAACAATTAGCATTTCTAAGTCCCCCGCCTGCCTATGATCAATTAAATCAACAACAGCTTCAACAACAACAACAACTACAACTACAACAACAGCAGCAGCAACAATTACAACATCAACAACAACAGCATCAACACCAACAACAACAACAGCAATTACATTATCATCATCAACATCAACTTTATGGAACACATCATACCGGAACATTACCACATGCACATCATCATCATAGTCATTTGCCAACCACATCTACTACAACCCAACAACATCAAGCCCCTATGGTTGGACATAATCAAAGTGCAATTGGCCACTATATGGTAAGTGATGATATTTTGTCTTTTAATCAAATCCTCGAATAGTTCCGATTTAGTTGCCCTTTATGTTGTTATTGTTGGATCTTTTTTTTTCACATTTCCTATTGTCTTGCACTATTTGGTATTGTCATAATTCTCAATATTCTTTGTCTCTTTCTTTCCCTTTCCTGTTCTGGCCTTTTTCTCATTGTCTGTCTCCATTTTATTGTTTATTTGTTTCCTTTTCCTAATAACCACTACTTTTTCCCCTTTCATAATTATGGGGAATAAAAAATCTGCCGACAGGCGAATCCAACTGCTGACATAATGATGAGGGCACCGACACAGGCAACTAAATTTTAAATTTTACAAAAATCATATACACGCACATGAATTAACATTCATTAAAAGGCATCTATTTGTCGATTGGAAGTAAATTTCTAATGTATTTTCCCTTTATCTTTCTTTTCATTTTATTCTTCATGATTCTGCAATGGTGATTTTCAATTTATCAAACAACCGTATCAACAGTATTCATCGTTTGGTCATCCATCATGAATGAACAAAAACCAAAAATTATGTCCAACATATGCCCGATCTTTTTCCATAAATTCGTAAATTTTTTTATATAGCCCAAACAATTTATTTATCGAAACGCTCACACATACCCAAATCCACAATTAATCCAGATGAAAGTAAATGATGATGATTGAAACACTGATGATGATTGCTCAGTAAACAAACTTGGGACCACTTATAAATATTTTTACCTGTATCTGTTTTTTTTAAATCTTTGCTAACCATTTAATTTTTTCTGTGAATTGCCAAAAAACCTAAATTATGACTGAAAATTTTCATTTTTTTTTAAAATCCCTATTTAATGGTCTCATCTACCTCTATACTGGATAACATTCGAACTGAAAAAAACAGCTACATTATTGATTCAAAACATTCAACTAATCATAATTCAATGCTGTACAAAGAAAAAATATATATTCAATAAATACTCATCAAAATTGATCATAAAACAAAATGTCCAATATTGCCAAAATGATAAATAGAATCATCTACAAATAAGAATGACAAATCAAATCAATAATTGATACGATAACCAGCGAACAATTAAATCATCATTTTTTTTTTGATTTATATTTTGCTCATTATTTTACTCATTCATTATCGAAATATATGTCATATGAAATTTTTTTAAAACAAAAATTTTAACTGAAAAAAAACTTTGATTTTTTTGGGTTTTTATTGTAAATATATCATGATTATAGGACTCACCGATCATCATCCTCATCATTTACTCCTTGATCTTTTTTTAAAAAATGATTCCCATGCCAGTAGTAACATTTTTTTGCACATTACATATTACCAAACACGAACACAAGCTAAATTGTAAGTACGATTCGTTGTATCTCTCATTCATTTGAACATCAATCCAATTCCAAATAAAATGAAATTCACAAACAAACAAAAGACAATAAATTATTTCTCAAATATTCATTATTGAAAATGTCTTTTAAAAAACTTTATAAAAAAAATGCTTGTATACATGTTAATCGATAAGATTCATAGAGATCTTATAACGTCGGACAATTAATCAAATTCATTGTTATCAATATTTATTCAAACCGAGTTTTTTGGCTTCAATCTCGTAGATTAATAATCGCCATAATTTCACAACGAATACCTGTGCCTCATCATCTAAAACCATGGCGACATCATCCAATAGACTTTGAGCTTCAGCTTTGGCCAATAATTTTTGACAGATAAAATCCAAAAATGTAGTTTCCTCTTCGCCAATATAATCTCTAATTTTCTTACTTATCCATGGTCGAATTCTCCGTTCCATTAAATTCTGTTGGATGAAATGGATAAAAATTATAAATTCACTTTTTTCTTCGAAAATACTTACATTATCCAAAAGATCCCAATCAAGTACGTAGCTAAATAATTCACTTTTTGATGTAGGAATTTTATCAATTAGATTTTTGATCTGAATTTTCTTTTCTTCTTGAGTCATTTGTGATGATGAATTTACTGTCGCCGACATTTGTTGTCTTGTATTGCTTGTTGTGCTGAGATTGCTGTCTGTATTGCTATCTTCAAACAATGTATTAGGTGGTGGCCGACGTTTCCTCGCTAATGAATTGATGTCATCATCGTCGTTTGAATTGAACACATCGGATACGGTTATCTTTTTTCGTTTGGCTGCATCAATCATCGATTTTGATATATGAGAGGACGATGATGATCCTTGTTGATGTTTATTATTTTGTTGAGCCGATATCAAAGTCATCCGATCCGAGTTTACAATGGCAGCATCTGAGTGAGTAGTACCACCATTGGTAGCAACGTCAAGATTCTGTCCAGTAGATATTTTCATGCCGGCAAAACCAAAAGTTTTGACTGATTGTCCACCAACAGCGTTCGACGCCGAACCTTGACTATCATCATCACCAGTGAATAAATTTTTTGATCGAACTTCATCCATCAATGAATTTAATCGATCCAATTCATTCGAACTATCACCCACATGAAATCGTTTCCGTACTTCAGATTCCGGATCGGGATGTCCTTCTTGATTTAATTTTTTTCTCAATTCTTCCAATTCTTTTCGTTCTTGTGATCGTTCATATTCATCTTGTTCTATTTCTTTTCGTCGTTCCATTTGACGTTGAAGTAGAGCTTTACCGCTATAATACTTTTCATCATGTCTGTGTGTGAAAAAAATCAAATAAAATGAAAAACTAATATTTTATGTTGATTAACTTACTTAGAATCATCATAATCTTGTAGAAATTGTTTCAATTTTTGCTTCTCAATTTCTTCTTCTTTTTTACGACGCAATTCTTTTTGACGTTCACGCTCATATTCTCGAGCTTTTCTTTTCTCTCTGCTCTCCCAGTCGCGTAATCGTCGCTGATATGAAATCTCTTTTTCACGATTTTGTTCTTGCCTTCGACGTCTGATTAATGATTCCTCTTCATCCACTGGTGATTGCGAACGATCTCGTTCAAGAGTTTCCAATTCATATGATGATGATCGACGGTCACGATTTCTTCGATCACGGTCATCTTTAGATGATCCACCTTTCCGTCTGCTACGGCTATCGCCGTCACGATCTCTGGATCGAGATCTTTTTTTACTATCACCACGACGATCACTACGTCTGGTACGTTCTTCCTCTTTTTTTCGTTTTTCCTCTTCCTTTTCTTCATCATATTTTTTATACGTATCACGGAATTTATCAATTTCTCTATGTATTAGATTACGCTTATCATCTTCTATGTCCATATCAGATAGATTCTAAAATTTGAAATAAACAATCTTAGTCCATAAAAACAATAAACATAGGTTGTACTTACCTCGAGTTTAGGATCCTTATCTTTATTGTGTCGATTTTTTTTCTCTTTGTTATCCGGTTCTTTGGATAGTTCGATTTCATGTTCTCGTAACACATACAATAGCTGTCCTTTGATTATTTTATCCTCTTCATCTAGATCATTTTTGTCACCATCACCGGATTTTATATTTTTATTATATTCATCTAATTTTTCTTGCGTTTTTGCATCAGCTTTCACAATTAATTTTTTATCAGAAATAGTAAATTCATGTAACAGTCTGATGGCACGCATAGCCGATTCCGGATCAGCATAGTCACAAAAACCAAAAGCTTGTAGTTTGCCATCGGGTCCTTGAATCCGTTTCCAGTTATGTACAGAACCACATTTCTATTTGAATGAATTCAAATTAGACATTGAAATCTATCCAATAAATAATTACCGAAAGAAGTTGTCGAATTAACATATCCGAAGCTCGATCTGTGATATTTCCTACGAAAACAGTAGTGATGGCCAATTTTTTATTCGAATCAGGAAGAGATAAAACAGCAGCAGGTGCTGTTTGTACTTTGGGCAATAACTAAATTTATAATGAAATTAGTAAATTTCTATTTGAAACAAGAATTAAATCAACTCACTGGATTAGTTTGAGCATAAAGCATTGTCGGTTGTGGATTGACAGCGATAACAGGAGGGGCAGCTATAACAGCAGTATTTTGTTTTCTTACGGGTGGTGCCGATATCGATGTTACACCGGCCGGAACAGTTACACCCATTGGTAATGGTACCAATGGACGAGCTAGACCAGCTATATTTTGTTTTAAATTGAATTTTTAGTATTCTGTTTTTTTGCTTTATCAAAATAAAAACGAATAAAATAACTCACCCATAGGAATAGGAAATCGTGGCAATTGTGGAACATTTGGTGGAGGAAAGCCCGGTGGAAATAATGGATTGTTTGGTGGTAAAGATGGAGGGAACGACATCCTTTTTTCACTATTTTTAATGTGATATTTATTGAATCACTATCCAATGTTAGATATCTGCTGTAAAATTATATCAATTTTTAACTAATAATTTTTCAATCAGATTCTGAACTTTCAGACACAATTGTTGTGTTCCAATCTCGATTTTTCATTCAACAACATTGAGCATGCGTTTGTTTTGGAGGACTTTTCATAAACAATGTTTTCCAAAAATATCGATAGTTTATTCGATGTAAATAATCGATTAAAGTAGTGGCATAAAAATGACAAGAAAAAACGAAATTCTAAAAAATTGCGCGCGCGCGGGCTTAAATTCGATTGGTTGAACGCAAGCAAGGTAAAGGCGTGCATGTTGTTGTATTTTGTATTTGTATATTGAATATACAATGCGTTTGCGCATATAATTGAAAAATCATTTTTTGGAGGCTCTTTTGTGATGTGACGGACTTGAACGAACAAGAAATTGTGAAAACTGAATTTTTTTATTGAGTCAAAAGCACATGCAAGTTTCACATTCAACCCGAATAAAATAATAACGAGATGATCCACACTCTTCGCCATCATCATCATCATTGTTGTTGTGATTGTCAAATAAGTATGGTTAAAAGAATCGAATGATTTATCCAAAATTCTTGATTCATCGAATTCATTTCGAATAATCTTTCGGTTATCATTCACTTTATAACAATATTCGTTTTGTGTTTGCTAATGATTTTAACTTTTCTATAAACCTGATAATAATTATCGATATAAATGGAAATGATTAATAACAATCGAATCATTTAGTCATTGAATAATAGAAAAAAACCGTTTGTTATTTCAAATTTGAACATTGCGATTTCATTTTTTTGTGTCTGTTTTGTGTAATGTAAGTATGCTGTTACGAGCATGCTGGTTTTTTCTATTGGTGCGTTAAATTCATTTTTATGTTTATTTGTGTATGTGTATCTGAGTGTTTAAATTCGCTTTCATCATCCTCATCATCATCATCATCAGCTCTCCAAGTATTTTTCTATTTTTTTCGACTCGATTAATCGACTCAAAATCTTTCTTGCTCATCAACAACAACAACGACATCATATTCTCCGACATAAAAAAGAAAACCAAACAAATTAGATTTTGTAATCATTGATCCAAATTAATAAGTTTTTTTATATATGACCGGAAAAAAGTCATACAGCTTTTCAATTCAATTCTTAACCATTCTTTGAATCGAATTGTTTATTGTGTATAAATAATAATTGTCAAATATCAGAATTAAATTATTAGTTCGATTGAAAAAAGATGCCTCTATTAGGAAAAGAAGAATTCTGCCTTAAATCATTACCGGATAATCTATCACCGGATGAACAAGTATTTTATTGCCAGATAACCGGCGAAGCATTTTTGTCATATGAGTAAGTTCACATTTTATGGTTTATAATTTACCATAGTAATTTTGTTTTCACTTTTGAACATAGTGAATATTTTGAACGACAATTCCTGTATTCATCATTATTATGGACTTGTTCAGTAACAGGTCGTACTGGATTAACATATTCGGAAGCATTAAAATCCGAACAAGAATCACAAGCTCTTGTATCTTCGATACCAACAGTGTTGCAAAAAGCGATGTTACATTTGATGACCTATATGAATAATTTTAGCACCAATGTTACTTTATCAATTCTAATTGAGTATACGAATTTTCGGTATTTTATCGGTGAACATGTACAAATTTCACCTAAAAACAAAAAGTCAGTATTCTAATTGAAAATTTATCTAAAATCTAATCGACTTTTCTGTCAAAATAGTAAAAGATTCAATGGTATTATTCGTGATGTGATACCACCAGAAAATTATGAAAAATCATCGAGTATAGCTTATGGAATCGATCCATTAGCCTATAATTATCAGGTAGAATATATTGACCAGCCTGATAAACATGATGGAAACGGATGTATTATCATTCCAGCTGCTCGTATTTCTCGATCCAAATTTTTATTAACACGAGAGAAAATACGTCTATTTCTTAAACAACATCTAGCACCTAAAAATGGCCGCTATCAAGCCCTAAGTATCAAAACTGAAAGTTTGCAAAAATTTGGCGTTGACCAACTAAACTGGGAAAATATATTCAAAGGACCAACACCAAATTTTTCCGATGATACTTTAATTGTGAAAGCTTTAAGCCGGCAACGTTATTCGGAAGAAAACAATTCCCATAATCTTGATTCATTAAAAGAAAATGATGAAAATCGCGAAAAAAAACTAATACAAATATTGAAAAAGAAAAGCAATCTTTTATCATCACAAAAACAGAAATTAAAACGAAGAGAAACTAAACAAGGTAATTCTAATAACACAACAAAAGAATCGAATGATGGTAAACGAAAATATCGTAAAAATTTGAAAAAGGATGCTAAATCAAAGCGACAGAATTCGAAAAACAAATCCGGTAAAGTTAGTAAAAAAACAACTTCGGATGCTACTGATTCGAATGAAACGCAAGAATCGAAATCTTCAAAACAAAAAGATAATGATAAAGATCTGAAAAATCGAGAACGAGAATGTCGTAAACAATATGAAGAAGATCTGAAAAATTGGACTGAAAAACGTGATGATCTACTTTGCGACGATCTTTTACCTTTGCCAGAGGTTACGCCCATCGAGTGTGATATCCCATCCGAAATGATTGGCGATGCCTTGGTCATAGTCGATTTTCTTAACGTTTTTCATGAATTTCTTGCATTTGAGGAAAACACATTTCCATCGCATTTAACATTGGATTATTTCATTAAGATTTTACAAGATAACAATGTCAATTCCCGAGCTGGTTTTGCTGATTTAATTATGGCTATCTTGCGAACAATTTTTCAATCCAATATGAAAGATTCACATGATGGAAATGATGATCTAAAAATTCAGGATATCAACAATGAAGATTTCGATCTATTTAATGCTGATAATGATGAGGAATCGACAGCATCACAAGTAAATTGTTTCGCCAATCATTTTGTTACGACGTATTTTTCTACATTGGAACAATTGGCCCGATTACAGATGGATCCATTTACAATCACAGAAATACTGCGAATTTATATATTGAAAACCAGAAACTTTGATGGAAAACGTACAACGAAAATCTGTCTGGATGATATGGCATTAGTGATGCGGTTGGCCACGCAGACAATTTTCGAATTGAATCAAACTGATCGTATTAAAATATTGAAAATTGTACTTAACGATGTCGTTGTTCAAGTATCAGATATTCGACAAAAAATTGAAACTTCAATGGATGAGATGTTCAAATTGAAAATACGAATCCGCCATTTGAATGCTGCATATACTCGATGGCTACGAGAGAATCCTATTCGACAAAGGATGAGAAGAAAGAAAACATGCCCTAATAATGATAATGAACAGCAACAAACCGAACCAGAACCTGAATTAACCAAAGAGGAAAAAGAACAGTACAAAAACGATAAAGCGGAAAGGGAAAAAAAGATGAAAGATGATATTGCAGAATTAAAAACAAAAATCCGTCGCCTCTCAGCGTTTTGTCGATCACGTCCTTTGGGTACTGATCGTCGATATCGAAAATATTGGATTTTTGAAACAATACCCGGATTATTTGTTGAACAACCTGTTCATGATGAATATAATTCGAATACGTGCTTTGATGATCCTGTACCGGTTGTTAAACCAATATTTAATGATTATCTTGCCAATGCAAAACGCCGGAAGAAAAAAATTGGAACAATCGTACCTACCGAAGAGACAGAAACGAATAAAGTCGTTGAGGAGAATATTGATCGATGTACTGGAAATCCTTCTACTTGTAAAGTGCATGATACAATGTCCAGGACGACAACACAACTTTGGTCATTCTATTCGAAAGAACAATTTGATAATCTGCTAAATTCGTTGAATTCTCGAGGTTTTCGGGAATCCGAATTAAAAAATGCATTGGAAATCGAAAAGCAATCCATACTGGACAATCACTTTGCCGAATTCGATCCATTCACATTCAATCCAAATTATATCCCACCGCCTGTAATTGAAATGATCGAACCCGAAATGAGTGATGATGTAAATCCTGTTCGTAAATCCGAACGTTTACAGATTCATGATCGAACAGCTTTCAATAATAAAAGACGATCAACACGTAGCGAATTTTGTCTGGAATTTTCAGATCAAACACCGGTGGAAGTATTCGATGTCAATTTTCAAAACCAATTAGCAATTTTCGAGGATAATGTTTTTAATGGTTGTTTCTGTAAGTAATCGATTTCTATTTTGACTAGACTCTCTTTCAATCTGTTTTTCTTCTTAGGTTCATTCTCAATTTCTGATCGTGATGCATGGTATCATGGATTGAATCGAACGTATTGTCAAGATAAGATCAATTCTTTACAAATGTTGACCGATAAATTAGCTACATTAGCACGATCAATTAGGCCATTTTGTTTGATGCCACCATTATCTGTATATCCGGAATCCACTATGTCATCACCGTCTGAAAAGGAAAATATTGATAATAATCAAGCATTGAAATTTCGTGTGCCTATGCTTTCTGAAAAATGGTTGGATGTACTCAAAGTTCCGGATAGTTCAGAATTAACCGAATTCGAATCAAGTTATGGTATAACTAATCATTCTCAATTGTTTCTCAACCTGTACATATTTGAACGTTCATTGAATTGGGAAATGTCAGCTCTAAAAACCGCCAATAAATGCGGCATTTGTCGTCGTAAAGCTAATGATGAAATGATTTTGTGTGACTTTTGTAATCGTGGTTATCATATCTATTGTTTGACACCACCAATCTCATCAATAAATGAAATCGAAGGAGATTGGTATTGTCCAAAATGTTTACCACGTTCATCACCTGATCATGAATCCTCAAGTAATAGAAGAACTGCTCAAACAACAAAAGTTGAAGTTGAAGAAACGCACCAACAAGATACAGAGCAGCAAGTGTCGCCGATTTCTAATGACAAAATCAGTCAACAAACGGTAAATGAAAGCCTACTGGAACGATGTAAATCATGTCGAAAACATATTTTTGATTCTTTTTCTGAGGTATTTAGTTTTAAATTTTTAAATTTTACCCATTCAACTGACACTTGTTCGTTTCTTTAGGTATCATGTAAAACCTGCTGCGAATATTTTCATCTTCGATGTGTGAATTTGGTCCGTGTTCCCCGTTCATGGAATTGTGCTGCCTGTGCTGAAAAAGAACGTTATGATGAACAATATAACAATAATCCTCATAATGATAATGATAATAACGAATTACGACGATCGCAACGAAAACGCAAACCAAATCATTACCATGAATTCGAACCGAATGACGATCATTATCATCATCATCAATCGACAACAAGCAATCATCTTAAGTCAAGACGATGTTCAGATGGTCAAAATTCAGAATATCATAGGATCATTGTTAAATAGTTTACAATAATAATAAAAAAATTCTAATCGGCCATCGATACTTTAATTATTTTTTTAATTAATTGAATTATTATTCATTCTCTTGATTATTTTTTCCGATTTTACTCATTATCTGTATGCATTATTATCAATACTCTCACTCTCTGCAAAATGATGATGTGTAATAAAATTATCCTTATGAAAAATTTTATTTAGTTTTTTTCATTTTTTTTCCATTCTAAATTGGCAAAATTTGTCCATTATCAAAGGTGATGGATTCTGATTTAATGTTAACGCTGTGGTTGGTATGACAGATCTTTGATTGGCTCATTATGATCAGCTATAGCTATTATGATGATGATCGAAGATGCACATCTTAGTAAGTTATAGATGCCATTTATCTTACAAAATGTATGAGAAGATTATCAATTCAGATGAACCTCTGGACAACCACTGATTGAATGAATATTTTTTCATTATAACCATATATGAGGGTAAATGCTCGGCATGGGGTAGCTATACACACGCACACACACATTCCAATCGTGCCATGCATGGCAGCTCTTGTCAAGCTTCAAGAATTGAATTCAATGCTAATCTTTGATATGAAATGAAACAATCACACACAAACACCAAGAGGCACTCCTCGGAAAAGAGACTGATCAATGGACAATGAACTTGAATGCCATAGGTTTCCTCTTTTTAGCACAATTTTTTTTCTTTGACTAGGTCCTAGATTTTGCCATAGCAAATCGACATTCTCGCTCCATTTTTTCTTTACTTGATATCGTTTTGTTTTCTTAAAATTTCAAACATAGTGACGCGGCAGTGGCGGGTGATGGTTGCTGACCAAAAATCCTAAGTTGTTGAACAACATTCCCACCTGGCTAGTGGTCTTCGATGTGTGTGTATCTGTATGTATGACTGAAAATATTCACGATCTTCAATGGTTTGAATGTCGACCTATAGCCTGTAATATGGTCGTTGTGTTTATAATAGTAAAATGCCATGGCCAACCCGCGTAACATTGTGTAGGTTGAGGTATGTACATGGGTATGGCAAACACTCATTCAACCATCAAAGATACATCTTGACTATACGATCTTGTTTTGTTTGAGATAGGTAGATGTTCAATTTGTATACATTCATATCAAGAATTTGATTAAAACTGCAACAACGATAAACAAATCTTAAAAATCAAAAACATTTTCTGCCTCTTTTTAATATTCATTGTTATTATTAGCATGGCATTGTTCTTGTTTCACGTAATGAGAGGATTATAAATAAAAAACAAAAGCTTTGAATATATTTATTCCGAATCATCAATCAATCTGTCACTTGCAAATATGACTCATCATCATCATCATCAACAAGTTGGTAGTTTCGATTGTGATGATGATATTCATTCCATCATCACAATCAATACATCTAATCATAATCATTCGGTAAACAACGATGGAATAATTCAAAATTCTTTAGCGCATTCAGCCTACTTGAATTCTCAGAACTATTCGACAAATATTGAAGACGGAATCGTCTTCGAAAATATAAATCCTAACTCAAATTCTTATCATTTTCATCATTATCCATCATCAACCAACATGATCGCAACAAAAGATTCGAAACGATTAGCTCGAGTTTTTCTTGATACAAGTCAATTGGATGATCAACAGCAACAGCCCAATGAAGTCAGAAGTGATTGTAATGCAAACATCTATACTGAACCAACCGTAATTAATACGACACTCACAAATCAACAGCCACCACCTCAGATTCCGTTTAACTTTTCAGAATCACCGCCATCAATGAACAATGCAATGAATGATTTTGGAAATGAATCATTAACTATCGTAGGACAAGATATTGCTATTACTTTGCGACAAGGCCAATTAACTCAAACATTATTGGCAAATGCACCTTCGGTCAATTCTGCTGCTGTGAACGAAATCTTGCAAACGAATCCCCGACAACCAACTCATATTCCAAAGCAGAATCAACAAGTAGTTTTTTATCCAAACCGAATAGAATTTCTACCACTATGTGATTTATTGTTCAATATCATATCTCTTGCTGCATATTTTTGCGATGTTGTATTCGATTCAGTTACGGCATATACATTGTATTTAAATCGTCAATTCACATGGTTAAGTGTTTCATTGTTTCTCATTTTAATGACGGCTATAATCAGTCAAATCTTATCATATCGTTGGTATCGAAGAGATATCCGGGAACAATATGGTAATAATGACCCAAAACCTAATCAACATTGTTCATCAGCCAATCACATCATGTCACATCCTGATCGATGGAAAGATAATTCTTCACAGATGATGATCATTATACATTTACTTCAATGTGGTGTTTTATGGCGATATTTCAAATTATTTGCTCCTGTCAATCTAGCCACAGTGAAACGGGAAGTTAGTGAACTATGTATTCTCCGGATGGTACATGCTTTCTTTCAGGCTGGACCAATGCTTTTATTACAAACGTATCTGGTTTGGCGTAAACCATCGTTGAACATGATCACAGATTTGAATATCATTTCAATATTCTTATCATTGTTCTCTATATGTTGGGCATTATCATCGTTCAACAAAAATATCAGACCAGATAAAATACACAGACTGGTACTAACTTGGTTCGGTGTCATTTTTCAATTTTTTTGGCGTGTTGGGTTTGTTTTTATTTCATTACTCCATTAACAGTTTTCATATAACTATTGTTATCACTTTTTTCCAGAACAATTACATCACGAATCGTAGCATTAACCGTATATGCTGTACTATACGAACAATGGGTTTTTGTCGTTATCTTTCTACATTGGTTTTCCATGTTACTTTGGTTACTTACACCTCATATGTTGCAACATTTTGATCATCATGCTGATGGTACAACTCATCAGAAATGCAATCGTAAGAAAAAATTGTTTGGTGCTTCAGCTTTAGCATGGATTTATGTATTCTGCTTTGTTAACATGGAAGATGTAAGTGCTAGTTTTTGATGATATTCTCCATAAATGACCTTTTCTTTCTTTTATTATAGAATCATTCCCGATATCGAATGTTAGCATTTTATATGATGATGTTTGCTGAAAACATTTTGTTACTTAGCATATCCATGTTTTTCGATAATCGTCTATCAAAAGTACATGGATATCGAAGTTTGGCCATTTGTCTAGTATTTGGTTCGTTTTTATTTGGCGTCATATTCATGTGCATCTATTATCGTTATTTTCATATTCGTAATCTTAAAAATTCTATACAATGTTCTTCTGTTGCAACTGGAAAAACTATGGATTTTGAAAATTGTTTATCTTCACGGCCCGATCAAATATCAATAAAAGAAAAATCTCTATTAGATCAATTAGTCATGAATCAAACCCAAACATTTGCCATGAATCATAAAGACATGGATCCTAAATTGTTGCCATTCGCTATAAATACGATTCCATTTTTGAATCAGCACTCTCAGTCATTATGCAATAACCTGAATCACATGAATGCTGATGGTAATTCTTCAATCAATGACAAAAATATTCCCGGTGTGTTCAATTGTCGATTGAATCCAGCATTAAAACGTAAGAAGAAAAAACCATCAACCATCCCTCCATTACCTCAAGAGATGTTCATGAATGTCGTTGATGCTAATGATCAATTTACAAATAAATTACCATCAAAGAATGCACTCGAATCCATTTCAGAGAATGGTGCCATAGTTAATAAAAATAGTACCCACAATCAAAGACCTGCTTTAGATTCTTGGAAACCTGGTATTCATAGTAAAAATTTTATCCAACAAATTCAACGACCATTTACAAATTCGAGCGCTTTGATGCGTTCATATCGACAAAGTCCAGCCGAAACATGTTGGCGTAAACCAGAAATATCTGGTCGATCTTGGTCCATATCACCAACAGCCATGATGAAAATTAGTGAATCATCAAAATTTAAATCAGATATTATTCAACCAAAAAATTCGATCTCAATTCAACAACCGACGACAAGATTCACAGACAAACTAGATTTTGCCCTTATGAATCAATTGAAATCTGAATCAAACGAAATAATGAAAAATAACAAAATCGTTCGACCCAAACCAATTGTACAACATTCAATTAATATTGATTCGATTAGCGAAATGAACATCGATATGGATCTTTCGGATCGACAGGCTTTAAATTGTGGAAATTTTTCGACTGATAAGCATAATCAAGAAGCCATTTTAAATTACTATGAATATCTAAATTCATTGAAAAATCCCAAAAAAGATCATTCCGGTTCTTCAGATAATAATCCTGAAATGTTCAACATGTTACATCAACGTCCACCTGTTCCAGGTCGAGAAAGTCGTAATAAAATGAAAGAAGATCAAGATATTCATCAATCAGCAAATAACTATGATGAGGGTAAAAAATCTTTGCTTAATAGTAATACGGGTAAAAATCAAGCATTTAAAACAACCGTACTAACATCGTCTTTAAAACAACCACATCAGCATCATAGGCACTCTACACGAAAAAAAAGATTTCATCAAAGTGGAAAGAATAGTAAAAATCGTATAAAATCGAATCAAAAATATCGATCACGATCGACGAATTCATTCACCACTTCTGATTCATCCAGTGCGCTTTCCTTAAAATCCGATTTCTCTAGCGGCGAAGATGGTGATATTGAATCAGATGTTAATCATCATACCGATGCTCAACGAAAATACATTAATAGTAATCGAACAAAACTACATTCACCTTCAACATCGACAAACTTTTACGATCAAGTGAATCAAGATTATGATAGAATAATCGTATCCGGAGATCTTAATAATGTTCAAAATGATTGTCAAGCACATCTTGTAATCGATTCTGGATATGGACAAATTGCTACCACTAATGTTAATATGTTTAACCATGTATTGCCATCAACTGCTGCCAAATATTCGTCAAATTTTCATCATTCAAACAGCAACAGACCACAAAAATTGTTGCATGAACAAATTGCCAAAAAACATAATACCCCTTTGTAATATATTGATTTATATTTTTTTAATTTGTTGGTTACTTTTTTTTATAATGTAGTATTATAGCCATGTTCGAAAGACAACCGAGCTCTCGAACAATAAAATTATTAATGTAAGTTCGGTAATCGAACTACAATACAGTATATAAACCCAATGAAATATTTAATAACGTTGACTTGTGATTTGGAGTTGTAATATGTATAGTTTAATTGATAATGGTGCCAAAATTTCTGTTTCCGTTATCGTTTCCCTCTCAAAAACGACTTGAAAGTTCTCCAATTAAAATCATTGGTGAAGCGAAGGTGGTACTTAACTTTGGTGGTTGTATTTTTATATTGAATTTTGTTATGGAGAAAATGGTAATTAATGCCCACTAACGAAAAAAAAACGGGAAAATAGAATTTTCCTTTGAGAAATTCTATGCACAAAACAAATTATCAATCGATAGTTTCACATGAGCTAATTGCTTTTAATAAAGTTAAAACAAGTCAAACTGATATTTAAAAAATTAATAAATCAAAATAGATTCACAAAATCGATTAATCGATCGGAAAATTTTGACTCATTTCGAATCAGTTCATTTTGAAATTCGGAATGATAAGTCATCTGCAATGAATACGAAATTCGATTTTAAACCTAAATCCTATAACGTTGGCTTTATCAATGTAAGGATAATTTTAATTCCATCTTTATGATAATGAAATTTTTTCCTCAGAATGCTCCATTTACTGATATACATGCAAATAAGAATTTATGGGATGGATTTGAATCACGTTTGATTCAAACATTAGCATCATATTGCAACTTGACATTACATTATGAACAATTTAATGGTCAATATGGCAGCCGACATTCAAATGGGACTTGGTCAGGAATCATTCAAAAAATTTTTGTTAAGGTTTGTTATCATCATTCATGTTTTTATAAAAATTTTCATTATTGAAAATAGGATTTTGATTTTGCTTTTGGTGGCATTGCTTTGACCTATGATAGATTGTCTGTCGTTAATTTCCTTTATCCACATTATATTGACCAATTTACTTATGCCACCGTACCCATTCACAGTGATATTGAATTGGATGTTTTCATCAAACCATTTGATTGGATCGAATGGTTAATGTTTTTTATTGCATTTTTTGTGTTCTTAATATTTGACCAATTGATAAACATTGTTGAGCACAGAAAATTCCATGATCATTTCATTTGGATTTCATTGTGCATAATATTTCGCCAGTCATATAAATTAATAAATCGATTGAATTTATCTAGAAAAATCTGTGCCATTACATGGTTATTTTCGGTATTTGTTATGCACAATGTGTACAGTTGTCAATTATATTCTATATTGATAATCCGTAATAGCTATGTTATTGATACTGTTAATAAATTGGCTGAAGCCGCTGTACAAAATCTAATCATACCAGTTGGTTTGGATTCAAGTGTTTATCAAATGTTACACAATTCTGGCATTACTGCATTCGATTCGATAGATGAAAAATCGATAAAAGTGGCCAGACCAAGTGATGGCATCAATTTAATTACACAGACTAGCAACCGGATGAAGAAATCTTTTATGATAAAGAAACAAACACATGCATTTATAGCCTCACGTATTACACTTGAATTTGCACAATTGAAATTTGGTGAAAATTTGATTTACGTTCCGCCAACAACGATGGAAGCGGATTTTTATCCATTATTCATAGTCATACCGTTTGGAAAAGCATTCGATCATCGAGAAGAATTTAATATCATGTATGATAAAAAACAATTTTATCCAATAATCAAACTAAATTGAAAATATTTTAATAAAATTACAGGATATCTTATCTTCGATCTACTGGAATTATAAACTATTGGAAATCTATAGAATTCTCCAGAACCAAATACAAAGTTTCGTATCAAAATGCTATTAATGATGAATCTATATCCGAAGAACAACTCAGTATTGAACATTATCAGAGTTTATTTTTTCTATTGGAAATTTTAATATTGGTTTCAACGATTATATTTTGTCTGGAATTGTTGAAAAAAATAATAAATAATAAACTGATGACTGATGTTCAGTGAGAGTGATATTTGAGAATGTTTCGAATGACTATCCATAGGTAAAGTTAATAGTGAGTTTAGTCAAATTTGATACGTCGTCTTATTAACATATAATTTCTCGTTAAATATGAAATCTGATAAAATTAAAACTTCAAATCGATTAGATGCTATCATCAATGGCCACTTAGCTCTTTACAGTGTTTATTTTGGCCAACTAATCATATTATCATCAGTTGGTTATAGTATTATCGAAAAATATCTTGGTCCAATTCAATGTCAAGGTAATTCGCGAATTCGTGATCAATTCGTAAGAGATGTTTGTTTACAAGGAAAAAATGAATTCGTTGAACATCGAATGTTTTTGTCATCAAAACATTTGGTTGATGACTCGAATCGATCATATTCTTATTATCCTTGGATTATTCTTTTACTTTTTGTTCAGGTATGATATTTTATTTCAATCAATCATTTAAATTCAACATAAAAAAATATTTGAAGGGTATGTCAGCTAAATTATCAGGTGAATGGCTAGAACGAAGTCAACATCATAAATTGAAACAATTGAATCATATCGAACGATATGTTCGATTTGCACGAATCACACGGAAATCGTTTTGCTATTCAAGCCGTTATTTAAAACGGAAGAGACGTGTGCAGAAAATAATGAATTTTTTTCACAATTTTCTTGCTGATACATCGGGAAATCAAAATTGTCTTATTGATTATCTTACATCCTTGATATTTTGCTTGTTTACTTTATCCATACAAATGGTAATCCTTGATTCAAGTTTCAATGGTCAATATCTAAGCTTAGGCATACGGTTCTTGTCATCATTTCATAATGAACAAGACAAGTCTTTGAAGATTTTTCAATCAGTTGACGGTATGAATCCAATATCTCAACTGTTTCCTTATGTAATTGGCTGTCGATTTAAAAATTTTGGCCCTTCTGGTTCTTCATTTTTTGCTGATTATGTTTGTACATTCAACATGAACATTGTCAATGCCTACATTTATCTAACCGGTTGGTTTATTCTTATTTCTATCGGTATATGTTTAATATTGTCCATATTAAAATTACCGATCCTATTACTATGGACAATAAGATCATCGGATATTGAAAGAGAGTTGAATACCAAATATAAACTAATGATTGCTGATTCTAATGACTATTATCAACAATTTTTTGAAAATTCAAATATATCTGCATCGACCATCGTTTTGGTATGTTTTGTTATCAATTATTTCTTGAATTAATATTGTTTGAAACAGATTCACCTGGCTTGCATTGATTTAAAACATTTAGCTGAAACGTTAGAGCTACTAAAGCATATCCATCAATTGGAACCCGAAAAATAGCTAGATGTTCAATTTTTTTGTTGTCAGACTATGAACAATTAATTTGAACATTCAGCAATAAAAATTCACGATCAACATCACCAGAAAATGTATGTCACTATCAAACGCCATCAATGCTTCTACCACAAAAAAAAAATCATGATGAATATGCAAACATTTTTTTTTGTTGGTAGATTTGTATTTAGACTGAGTTCAAAGATACTCAAATTTTTTTCTGTATTGCAGATATTCGACGAAATTTAAACTATCCGTAAATATCACCGTAATCAAAACAAATCACAACAACGCAACAAGTTTTATCATTCATTGTAATTTTTTTTTGTTTTGTTCGAAACAATAGAGAAACTAATTTGCCATAATAGGCCAAAATGTCAAAAAACAAATCCATTTCATGTTTGGTTATTATCACTATCTTTTGCCTGTTATTCGTAACCGATGTCGATAGTCAAAGTTTTCCTGCCAGTTTATTTAAATCATGTTGTTATTATGTAACGATTCGTAATTGTACGGGCAACAATGAAGTATCGCATCTATGTCCGGATTGTACCAAACCCACACCATTTTGTGGTGAAAACAGATGCAACATTTTTGGCTGTAATTGTGATTCATGTCGACCACAAAAAGAACATACAACAATTGTTGGTATGGCCACTTGGTTAACTGAACATTTTTGAAATTCGAATTAAAAAATTAACAAAGCAAATCAATATTGACTTTTTATTTAAAAATTTTGTATCATTTTAATCAATTTTTCATTTAATGAAAACAATGACATTAAAATAAAGTATGATAAATTAGATCAAATCATCGAATGTAATCGCTTGATAGCCAACATTTTCTTTTTTCAAATCCTCAAACACTAGATATTGTCGGGATGTTGATATTCCAAGTTTAGCTTCAATCGCCTTTTGAATGAGAGCCGAAGATTTTTTATTCTCATCACGAGAAATTTTACCAATGCTCGATAAAGTACAAATGGCTGCCGGTTGATCGTCTGCACCTGTATTTTTTATCATTATTAAAAAGAATAAATTTATTTTAGGATCAGAATAATTCAGTAAAATTGAACGAACCCCAACTCAAATTGGCATCACTATGGATCATAACAACAACATAGCTTTCTGGTTTTTTCAATGCTTGTGCAACGATTTTGACCATATCTTTTGTAAAATTAGCGTCAACTTTTGAACTAGGCAAATTCGTTCGAATGATTAAGGTCGGCATTTTGAATCAGTTATGAGATTTGCAAAATTCTTTTAAATCAAAATTGTATACTTCAAAGAACACTAATCTCCGATTACTAAAATGATACGTCGATTGACTAAAATTTCGAAATTCGCTCATGACTATTTTAACCAAAAAATGAGTAGTGGTTAGAATAGAAATTTAAAATATATTCCCGGTTTTCATCCATCATGTTATTAAAATAGAATTATATAAATGACAAATATAAATGGGTAAATAATGGAATAATTAAGCCAATCCGGCTGGTTTAAAAGAATAAACAACATTTTGGCAAATGACCAGAATAAAAATAACGTGATCTATAAAAAAAATAATGTGCTCTAACAATCAAAGGGAAGTCTCTTCTTGATGATCAACCGATGTAAGGGAATAACCATCCGCTTTACGACGAAGAAAGAAATATAAGATATCTGCTTGAGCCATTACATCGATAGTGGATGCTGTAAACAGGTCCGTATTGATCATTAATGGGGTAATATTAGGCGTAATTTGATTAGGATTGCCACTAAATCCCATCATTTGTTGATGACTTGCAGCGGCTGATGAAGATCCACCGATGGAATTCTTACTGCTCGATGATGTTTGACCTAATGCTGATGTAGATGATGAAGTGGTTGTAGATGATGAATTAGTTCGTAACATCGTTGGTCCAAATACAGTTGCCAGATTATTTAATGACATTTTATTATCCTCTTCAAAATGATTAACCAATACTAAATGTTCGATCAATTTGATTACTGTCGAATGATTCGGTTCAACTAGTTTCGCTAATAATGATGTCATTTTCATTTCTTTTTCTTCAGGATTTTTCAAATCTAATTTTTCGTTAAATTCAGTTAGAATTGAAGAACAATAAATGATCATATTTCATACCTCTGGCTTCGAAATATTGTTGATACATATCATTGGTGAACAATGATTCGGGCAATTCTCGAAGATATAGTTTTAACAGACCAGTCACCGAATGTATATCCGTTTCTCTAATTAGATAACATGCCTCACGTGGATCTGAATAATAAAAATTCAATTAAATTTTTATTGTTGATTCAAAATAAAATCTTACTTGTTTCGAATGCTTTTTTAAGCTTTTGAACTTCACTTGAAAGACCAGAAACACGATAAATACCTACTTCACGAAGGCCACGACGTTCTACTTCTAATATACAGCTTAAAATCAAATATGGAACGGTACTTTTTTCTTTTCTATTTTTTTAGATTAGTTAGCGGTTAATTTCAAAAGTTCAGATAATTTTTTTAATTGATAAAAACTTACTTGCAAACTTGACTAATGCTAACACCAAATGAACCATAGATTTTATTTGGTGGTATTGTTTCCATAATCGAATTCCATGGAATGAAACGTGTTTCAAAACACAATGTATACTGTGAAAAAATGAATAAAAATGAATTGCCATCAATATAGGTATCAATTAAAACTTACATCACCGATTTGAATTTCCGACATTTTCGGCTCCGAACTTGTACAAGAAGCAGTCAATTCGAAAATTGCTTTACCCTTAAATTGATGGTATCGATTTTCATCATCATTTTTATGGTTATTATCATTTATTTGTTGTTGCTGTTGATGATGATTTGAATGTTTTTCATACAACAAAAATCGAACAATTTGCGAGCCTTCTAATTCGATTAAAAATTCTTGACACCGATTTTGTTTTTGTACAAAATCACTCATCAGATAACGGGCGACTGCTCGTTTAAAATAATGACCAAATGAATCTGTTTCGATTACGATGAATAGATCGGTATGGTAATGAAAATTCGCCAGATCGATTAAACGCATTTGCAGATCACCATATCGAAGCGTTTCATCTTTATTCGAACGTAACAGGAATGAACCACAATTGACGTTAATGCTTTTTCGACAAGATTCAATCCATTTTTGTAAAACATGTATGTTTGCATGTTCATCAGATGATGCATTCTGTTGTAACGTTTTGATTGCATCAATCCAACAATTTCGTTCATATTCTGACGATAAAAAGAATGTATAACATTTACTTGGATTATTCTTTACACGGAATGAGAATTTAAGCTGAGGCAAATATAGGCTTAATTCGGATTCCAATTCAGATATTTTCTTTCGTAATCGATCCGATTGTTTCGTATGACCTTTTCGTTTTTCTTCAATATACAGATCAAGCCTTGCGGAAAACGCTCTTGATTTGAGGCTTGATATAAGATTAGCAGTAGTTTGAAGATCTTTGGATTCTTTTTCCAATTCATGTTGGTTCGATTGGTTACTATTACTATTATTACTACTATTCAGTGTATGCTGCACGGATGATGATGATGAGGAAGAGGACTGTGGTTGAGTGACTGGAAATGAATGTGATGATTCAGATGAATTGGTTAGATTTGAAAGATTAGGAATTGAATCCAAAACGATATCGCTGAGCATTTGAAAAAATCGTAATTCAAATGTAAACTTTTGCCTTTAAGAAAAAAAAATGAAAAAAAACTATTTCGGACAAAAAAAAATTACTTACTTGGACGAAGCTTTATATTTGGCTGATACGATCACATCGTTGAATAGGAATAAATGTCGCAATTTACGACGATCTCCACTTTCTATGATGAAACTTTCTTTAACTAAACGACGTTTGAATTTATCGTGTGTCTGATGACAAGGAAAAATAAAGTGATTCAATAAAACATAGGCTAAAAAAGGATTGAAACTCACCATGAATAATCGTCGCGCGGCATCTAGATTTAAATCATTGAAAAACTTTTGATTTAATCTCAATGCATTTTTGAGCAATTGTTGATCATCTTCGTTTTCTGTGTATTTGAGCAAATCATGTAAAACCAATGCATTTTTTTGTAAACGAGCAACTGGTTCATGTAACATATCTAAAAAAATTTCACAAATTCCTCAGTTGAATGACAAATAAAAATTTTCTGGTTACTTACCAACAAGATTGCTAAATTGAACATGAGCGGATGCTAATTTGATAGACTAACAAGCAAAACGACAAAAAAATAATTAGCGAAAATTTTGCTTTTATTGCCTTACCTTGATAATGTCAAAGAAGCGTGAATTATTAGCACTACAACGATTAGCCGTTTCAATTGCTTTCGAATAATTGCGTAAAAAATCTGCATACACAGGTAATTGTTCAGCTAATCGATTGAACAATTCACCAATCGATTGTTTCCCAATAAATTTTGCGGTTACTTTCGAATCAGCCATCATAGGTGAATGTCGTAATTTAAAACCATGTACAACTTTTTTCAATCCAGCAAGGAATGCATTATGTATATCATATAAATCAGCAATCCTATAGAATATGGATTCTATATCCTCTGTAGATATGAGGGCATTATCACTTTTGGATGCTGATTCGAATGCTTTACGATATTTGTTTAATGTGTTTAAGCAATCCAGATAGATAGTTTCACTATCAATTATACTGCGTACAATACTCCATTGCATTTGTTGTGATTGTTCAGATTCAATCGTAAAAGACTTATTAATGGTCATACATTTGTTGTTTTCATCAATCAAATTTTCAACATTAATATTATTTTTTACAGGCGATTTCAATGATCCTTGATGTTCAAATTTTGTTGATATGGATTTTACATCTCGGTCCAATGAATCGTCTGAAGTATCAATGGAATCAAAATTATCTGTTATGGTCCCGGTTGTTGTTTTAGCTGCATTTTCATGATTGATAATATCTGTGAATGCATAGAAATCCGTTTCTAATGCAATGGTTGAAGGTGACGAAGTGGATGGAATATTTTTCGGCAGTGGCGATGATGAAGATCCATCCATCAACAAATTAAAATCCGACCCATCACTATAGGTAGAATTTTCATCCTTTTCACTTGATAAAGTATCCTGTGCTGAATTATTTGATGTTTGAGTAGTGTGTTTGGAGAAATTGAATTCTTTATCACGCATTGAAGGTGGTGGTGTGAATGTCGACATTATACTATTAGATGAATAATTAGATTCTATATTATTGGATTCTTTATTTAATAATTTTGCGTTTCGAAGTCGAAGACTCGATGAAGATGAAGTACTATTCGTCGCACCAATTGAATTTAACGAACGTTTTGCAGCACTATTTGCAGGAATTTGAAACTGGTTCAATATGTTCTCACTTGATCCAAAATTATCATAATCTGATGAAGATTTTATACTTGAAAAATTTTCATTTTCATTCTCTGATTCTTCTACATTTAAACCAGTAGAGGATATCTTTCGATTACCAGTTGATGATACACGAGATGAAACTGGTATGTTCGAAATGGAACGACCAACAGAATTTTTGCGTAAAAAATAATCAATATTAACATAATTGGAAAGTTCATCTGTTGATGATGATCTGCTCAACATTTCCTGACTAGAGGTTTCCATCTCTTCGTCATTACTTGTTAAATTATGTTCATTAGTTCGATTATCACAATTTTTATTTGTTTTTTCATTAATGGCGTCATCATCATGTTCAATGCTATCAGAATCATCAGGTGCTACGGTATCGTAGATATTATTATAATCTGAAAGTTCTGTTTCATCTGTTCTTTTGATCATGTTACGATTTGATTCGGTCGATGGTGATGATGGAATATTTGATTCGAGGCTAAATGTTCGCATATATGGTGCTTTATTCTGATTATTAGTTGGTGTTGATTTTTTATTAAATCTTTTGTTGTTTATCTTATTGGAATCAATTTCATGTTTTTGTTCGATTCGTTGTAATGGGCCGTTGAATTTTCTTTGGAATTGAGATCGATTGCAATGAGATGAAGATGATGGTTTCGATTTAGTTGTTGTTGTCGTTGCTGTTGTAAGACTTTCGCTTTTAGTCAATTGTGATTGTTGATTTGGTGATGATGACAATGGTTTCGAAGTAGCTGATGTTTCAATATTGTTTATACTGTTATTGCTATGGCTATTCATTGATTTGTTGGGCAATTTTGGTTTCCTTGGTGGTGTGGGTGGCCGTTTCTTTGCTGCTCAATTTAAACAGGAGAAAAAAAAATTCAATGATAAACATTGATATTCAATAAACTGAATTTCATACACACCTTTATCAAGTGTAGATTTTTGTGCCTCCAGAGTATTCGAATATATTGGTTCGGGTACTGTTTTGGCTGTATGTTGTTGAAGATCCATTTCGATTTCGTTGTGATGGGCATTTCCATTGCCATCATCATTAACATCATTGTTTTCCACAGCTGCTGTTACTAATGATGATGATGATGACGATGTAGGTGAAGTTTTATTTGGGGAAATTTTTTGAATTTCGCCATAAGCGCTATCATTCAATGTTATCACAGTGACATATTGCGATGATGATGGATTTGCAGTGACATCAACGGAAGTGTTCAACATCATAGTATCATCACTAATTGATATTTCATTATTTTTTCCAATATTATTGGATCTAGGATGATCATGTTGTTTTGATTCTTTATCATGATGATTAATAATTTCTTCCAAAAATTTAATGGTAAATTTACAACGATTCAATTCTCTACTTAATTTTTGGATATGATTTTTTTGGTCATCAAGTAAATTTCTGGCTTGATTTAATGAATCAAGTTGATCGAATGGTAACATCGATTCAGGATAAAGTCCAATAAATTCATGTTTGAATCTTTCGAATGCAACATTGATGAAATGATCATTTGCATTGAATGATTCTTCCGAAGAATCGGCCATATGGTCATCGGTAAGAGATTGTTCTTTTTGTTGTTCAAATTGAGATACACGTTTCTTTATGGAATATGATGATGATGATGATGATAATGATGTATTGGTCGATTTTTTGGGCATCCTTATTTATTTAAACTTATTATAAATTAAAATCATATTTACAAAACCACAGTAAACAAAAAAAATGATATAAATTTCCTGAGATGATTATTTGATCATGATCGTTATTCGATGATTCATTTTATGATGGATGTTGAAAAACGATTTGAATCGGTTTGATTTTTTTTTTTTTTTTTTTTTTTTGAATAAATATTTTTTAAGGCAGATTACTCACATTGATTCAATTATTTTATTTGCAAGTATATTTGAGTAATCGATACATACAGAAAAAAAAAATTTTTCGTTTCCAGTCATCATATAAATAAACAAACATAATTTAAATGTAATAATTTTATGGTTGCCATATGAACCATTTTAATCAATATATTTGATGAATGATGATAAGATTGAGATGAGAAAGAATGAAAGAAATTTTTTTTTTTGTTATTATTTTCGATATAGATCATGAAACAAAAATTTACGTCATCCAAAATACAAAATTATTTTTTTCTTTTTAAAATAATTATCAACTCTTTTTTTTCTGGATTTTTTTTTCCGTGTATCATTGAGCGGTGAATGAAGAATTTGTTCGAATGAATCACCATCGAACATTCATCATTCGAATTTGACGATTATTACACTCGAAATTAGATAATTGCTTTCCAATGATGATGATGATGATAATTGTTTTTTGTTTTTTCAATCTTCGTTCAATCAATCAATCAATCAATCAATCATTGGCGTTCCATTTGGAAAAAAAGGGGAGAGATCTTCATTTTTTTATATGTTAATCTTTTTTATTATGACAAAATATCAAAGATCAATGACGTGCAACACTTGATTTGACGAGTCACATATATACAAAAAAAAAATCATATATTGGGCCGTAGAAAATGTACAACAGTTAGCAGCTTGGACACTGCAACAGGACACATACGGCAACTAGCAGCCGTACCTTGATATCACGATCTATGAATTCTCTATTTACAAATTAATTTACGAAAGAAAAATATACGAAAACGTTATCTTTGAATATAGCAGAAAAATATATTGAAACACTCAATGCTAAATCGAAAAAATGGGATAAATTGATTTGATTTTATTGATACCGCTGGCCTGTCATTCTGTTTATTGAATAAAAGATAATATTACGGGCGCGTGTTTATATTGATGATGTTAATATTTTTATAAATGTTCTCCTGCCATCAATCATTGTTTTGAAATATCGTCATAGAGTTACTGCAGTTTCTTTTTCTTATTTATGTGATTAGAAATCCGAATGATAAGAACATTAGCTCAATAAGTTTCAGTTCAATTTTACTTTCTATTGATTGATAAAAAAAATTTACCATGGAAAACGAAATGAAATGTTCGGCTCTACATCGCCGATATAATGATGATGGCTATGCAACAAAGACTAGCATCGAACAGGTAAATGTATTGTTTTTTTTGTTGTTGATAAATTTGACATCATTATTATTTAGATGCGTGTTGAAAAATCTGTCGAACATCTTTATGATGTTTTTTTTGAACAGGATTATAATGATGATGAATCCACCAACAAAATGTAAGTTTTAATAATTTTTTTTTACAGTAAAAATTTATACGTGTTTAGAATTTTGTTACGAGCTGAACATATAGAATATCTCAAAAATGGCCTATTCAAACCTTTGGATCATAATTTTTTCGTATTGGATACTTCACGTTCATGGATGGTCTATTGGATTAGTTTGTCCTTGAATTTATTGGGTGAATCTGATTATCTAAGTATGTGTCACTGTCATTAAATTGAACATTTTCCTTTTCAACTTTTTTTTTCTGCTATCGTAGAAGAAAACAGTCTCAAAATAACTAGTTTTCTACGAAATTGTGAATCACCACATGGCGGATATGGCGGTGGTCCAGGACAAGAACCACATCTGGCCGCAACATATGCTGCTGTTAATGCCATAGTTACTATTGGTAATGAAATTGCCTTTGATTCGTTGAATCGTGTTGCAATCGAAAAATTTTTGCGCCGTATGCAACAATCAGATGGTTCATTTACCTTACATGAATCCGGTGAAGTTGATATCAGGTTTATAATGAAAAAATTTTTTATTTGAAAAGAAGCTCATTTAAAACCTTTTATATAGGGGTGCTTATTGCGCTTTGTCCGTCGCTAAATTGTTGCACATTCCAACGCATCCGGAATCCGATCTTTTTCGTGGCACAGCCGATTGGATTCTTTCATGTCAAACATATGAAGGTGGATTTGGTGCTGCACCTGATCATGAAGCTCATGGTGGTTATACATTTTGTGGTGTTGCAGGATTAGCTTTGCTCGATCAACTTGATCATTGTGATTTAGACGCTTTAATGAGATGGACAGCTAATCGACAGCTTTCATTTGAAGGTGGATTCAGTGGACGTACAAATAAACTGGTCGATGGTTGTTATTCATTTTGGAACGGTGCCGTCTTACCGATTATACAGAGTTGGAGAGCACAAAAAAGTAATTTCTATATCAATTCGATATAATTTATTAGCATTGATGATTTATTAATTTGAATTTAGATCTAATGGTATCACCAGATCATTGGCTATTTGATCAGGAAGCATTACAAGAATATGTATTGATTTGTTGTCAAAATAAACCCGGTGGTGGCCTGGTCGATAAACCGGGAAAAAATCGAGATTTTTATCATACATGCTATACTCTATCTGGTTTATCCATAGCTCAAAATTCTTTCAATAGTCGAATAGTTATCGGTGTTTCCGATAATTTTGTGGTGAGTTATGAAATAATTTATTCCAGATTAGTTGTTAATTTTTTTCTTTGAATTTGCTATAGGAAACAATTCATCCGGTATTCAATGTACCATGTCAATCCTTAGAATCATTACGTGAATATCTTAAAAGAATGGATAATCAAGAAGAATTGAAATAAACATTTATTATCTGATTGATCAATTTAAAAATGTACACTATTTTATTTTTATATGAAAAGAATATCTTTTTCCATTTAAAGATCATTTCGTACTTTAAACCCAGGACCATATGGTTTTGATGTTAATGAAGTTAAACCACCTGCAGGTTCACAAGAAAAACGTCCACTTTGTTTGGTTGGACCTGGTTTAGGTTTACGGCCAGCTTTCAATTCACTGATGATGTGTTTGACATCTTCGCGTGTCAAATCTTCATAATAATCATCGTTGACTGATAATACTGGTGCATTGACACAAGCACCCGCACATTCAACTTCATTTACGGTGAAATTAGGATCACCTTTGCAAAATTCTTTACAAGCTTCGAGAATTTCTTCCGATCCTCGTAACATACATGGTGTAGTCGTGCAAACTTGAACATGATATTTACCCACGGGTGTTCGATTAAACATTGTGTAGAATGTTGCCACTTCATATACACGCATTCGTGGCATACCAATATAATCGGCAACATAGTTCATCGCTTTCAATGGAAGCCATCCTATATTTTTAAATAATGATTTAATTATCAACAAAGAATACTGATAAAATAATTACCGTATTGACGTTGAGCAAGATCTAATAGCGGAATAGCAGCGGCACATCGATATTCAGCAGGATAATTTTTCAGAATAGCTTCAGCTCGCTAATGAAAGGGTGATGATCAAAAATAATGTTGATACTTTCATTCTATTTTACCTTTTTGTTGACATCGGTAAATTCGAATAATTCTGCATCAGGATCGGTGTCACGATGTACAAACAATGCATCGCTCAATGAACGCCGTGCTTGCGCCATTTGCAATGATGATGTTTGAAAAATTTTTGGCAACAAATTCTGTAACCGTACCAACATATTGTTCAAGATTTTCTTTTTGATCAAAACAAATTGACTATCAACAAAAATAACAACTGATGTTGATGATGGCCAACGCAGACGATTCACCTTTAGTGCACAAGATGAGGGAAAACTTTTCAAAAACTTACGAAACATTTCTATTGTAAAAAAAATTCGGGAAACTTTTTAAAATTGGAATTTTTTTTTTTGTAATTCTGCTTTTAGGATTTTCATTCGATTTTTCGATATCGAATTCATTTCACTTTTAAGATTTTTTATTTTTACAATTTTTAAAATGTTTTTTTTTTGAAAAAAATTCTATTTTGTCTATGTTGATTTATGAAGACATTCGATTCGTTTTTGTTTGCCAAGATTAATAGCTTTTTCGAACACATTGCAATAATAGCTAATTGATTGGATTGAATCATCATTACCCGGTACTGGATATGTTATTAAACAAGGATCAGTATTTGTATCAACAACACCGATTGTTGGGATCATCATTTTTGCTGCTTCTCTAATGGCTGGATGAGTTTCAAATATATTATTCAATGTACTAATAAAGATGACTAAATCAGGTAGTCGAGTGACAGATTCAAAAAAAGTAGTCGAATCAGTGAACGTTCCGATTTTCCATTCACGACAATGTGAATATTCGCCGCAATTTTTTGCTGTTTGTTCCACTAGATGTCCAGTCTAAAAAATAAAAATTGAAATAATATATCGATAAACGATGATTACTGATTACAGACCGAAGCGGATTTATGTATGAACAAAATGATGCCATTACGAAAAGCAATATGGGCAGCAAAATTTAGAGCTTCTTGGAGTAAGTGAACGGTTTGATCCAGATCAATAATTAGATGACCGAGACGTGAGCCAAATATGTATGGTTTCATATAAGGATTGAGAGTTCCTTCTTTATGGCCCATATATAATCGTGCATCAAACATTTCCTTTACATTTATCAATTGCTTCACATTAAAATAGTCTTTTTCAAGCAATGATTTCTGACATTGTTGCTCATGATACGTATGATTAAGATCACCATCATTAGTCATATTCAATGTGGTCGATTGGGTGCTTAAGAATTTGTTTGAATTTTGCCATTGATTACATCGAGAAGTACGAAGCAATGGAAAAAATCCTTAAAAATAAAATTATATTATACATTGTTTAATCGTTTATTTTACTTCTAAACTGACCTCTTGCAAGCTTTTGAAGCATTTTGTTATCAAAGAATTTATTGTATTTGAAAATAATTTCCTAAATTAAAATCGAATTAATAAATTTCATACATGTGACTTGTCAAACGGATATATTCATCGACGACGTTATCAAATAATTTGAAAAAAATTCTGTTCTCCTTATGAAAAATATGAATTGACTTGAAATTTATTTTATTCACGATGCTGAAATAATAAAAAACTAGTGATGATCAATGGGAAACAAATTTCAATGGCGGGATAGGTTAAGATTTACAACAACAAAAAAAAATAAATATTATTAATAATGACCAACATTATAATGACCGGCCATCAATGGTTCAGGATAATAATGATTAGCCATTGCTGGCAAATATGAAGCATGTTGAATACTGTATGAAGCGGCCATTGGATGTGCCAAAGCTTTAGCATAAACTGGTTCAGCAGCAGCATAAACTGGAGCAGCAGCATAGACTGGACCATGTTCCATTAATGGAAGCGGAGCCATTGGGACTGGACCTGGAGCTATGTACAATTTTATCGTTCAATCACAAATGTGTAATTAAGAATATTTTTACTTACCATGACCACCGTAGGTAAGCGAGGTAGCGGCTGGATCTTGTTTTGGATCAGTTCCCGGTTCATTAGTTGAAATTGAAGCACGGAAACCATGAGCATCGGCAATATATTCAACAATACGCATACGACCATCAGCATCTCGAAGACCATATGAACCGACCTGATAACCTGGTCCTCCTTTTTCTTTACGGAATGTACCACCATGGGCATGATCTTCATTATAACCGAATGCATAATTTCCATAACCCTATACAATTGAACAAATCGGATTAATGATTTATTAAGAATAAAAATAATTGATAACGAACATCATCATGTCGTTGAACGGCTGAAGCACCAGTATTGACTAAACCATGATATGGCATTGCACTGACAGCAGCCACAAAACCGAAAACAATGAGGAATTTCATTTTTTTTTGTTTTGTTTGTAATAGCCGATAATCTAACTGTCTAATAAATTTACACTGAACACAAACACTTGTTAATAATTCAAAGTTATGCTGATTGAACGATTGCTAATATTCGTATGATCGACATTTATCGAAATGTATTGAGAATTTATACGACCATTCGATACAAATAAAACAATCTCTATTATCGATGTTTGTGTGTGTGTGTGTGCATGCTTCACCTGTGTTGCTCTACATCAAGATCCGTCGATCCAAAAAAAAAAAAAAATCATGTCTATTTCAACGAATTTTTTCGGTCGTTCCAACTTTCGTCGTTCCAACACATCTCTTTTCTCAATTTGAAATCATAATTTTCGATTTTTTTTGACGAAAATTGGACGTAGTCAAAAGACGAAAGAAAAAAAATCAATCCTGTCAACATTTCTTTTTGGGCCTTACACATTAGACAACGTCAAAACAAAAGTCAAGGTTTTGAATGGTTGGTCCAATGTGTATGATAACACAGGCGAAAACGCCTATTATCATTCACATAAAGACGACAACTACGATGAAAAAAATGCATGAATCAATTAATGATAATAAATATTTTTGATTATTCATCCAACTATAATCATGGTCATTTTTATAACTAAAATAATAATAATAATACAAATATTCATATCTAAATCCGACTAAAAAAATCAGCATTTTATCAATCAGATTATAATTATTATTACACCATTTTCTATCTGTCAAATCTGATAAATTTTATAATAGTGTTAATTTGGATCAATTTTTTTGTTTTTTTGTTTTGTTTTTTGTTTATAATCATCTAAGAATAGTGTTTATAATTTTAATTGAACTAGATTTAGAAATGAAGAAAAAAAATGTTTGTTTTATATTTAAATAATGGAGCAAAGTTGTGGCCAGATTTTGTAACCATCAATTCAAATTTATCAAAATTATTGATTTTTTGGGAGTTGTCATTGTCGCCTCAAGACATTATTTTTAAAAGTAAAACAAGATCGAATCAAATTATCAAATATCTATTATTATCAAAGATAACTATTTATTTATTTGAGTAACCTTGATTTTTTTGTTTGTTTGTGGGGGAATCTTATCTGTAATTTTTAAAATATATAAAAAAAACCGATAAGATTCGATAATCGTTCTATAGAATAAATTAATCGTTTAAATTCATTACAATCACTAATACCAGGCAAACAACATCTGAAATATCTGCTTTTTAAAGCTTATAAGTATGGTGAAAAAAAAAACTTTCCATCAACTTTTTGGATTCATGGGAAAAATCAATTTTTTTTTGCATAAAATTGAAGAAAAAAGAAATTACCGGAAGCTTTAGGGCTAGCCATCATTCAATTGTGCTTGGTGATTGTCTTTTTTTGTTGTTGTTGTTGTTGTTGTTTAGACATTATTTGTCAAGCCATTTATGATGGACAGGCATTTAGCTGATCAATCAATTAATCATGTCAGTCAAAAATCATGGTAACTGTCATTTAATAGGAAATCTCAATAAACAATATCCATATTTCAATCAATTATCCAATGAATATTTTGTTCTATTTCCCAACCCCGAAAAAAAAATTTTTTTTTTCCATAATCCTTCAATTTATGTCTGTTTGATGATGATAGAACAACATATCATAAACGTGAAAATAAGGTAGAATCCAAAAAAAAAATGGATTGTAGCGCTCTCTAGCGACTGTACATAAATTGGCTTGAAGTTTTTCTTTTTTTGATGGCCGAGTGTTTATATCTGTCTATACATAACCAGTTGCCCGAAATACTATTGTGGTCATTTGACAGTTGATATCAATCAACTATAGAATCATATTATCACTTTAAAACGATCAATCGATCACAGCATTAGTTTTTTGCAATTGTTTTTTTTTTGATTGAATTTAATTTGCCATATAAAGACAAAAAAAATAGTCATTTAAAGTGAATTGTTGTTTCATCTTGTCTAAAGATCAATAATAGAACGAAGAAAACGAACGTGAAGACGTGATTCGTGTTTTGGTGCAACACGACGATTGTCTTAAATCACGCGTTGATGAACGCCTTTGTTAACCAAACTATATTTTAATAAAACAACATTATTGGACACAAATTTGGATCAATTTGATCACGATGCCAGGAACTATTTTAGAGAATTTGTCCAATCGAAAATTGATTGTCGTTTTGTCAATTATTTTTCTCATACAAACAATTTCATTTTTGATCGGTGCATTTATTGGTAAGTATCCATATTGAAAAAAAAACATTTGCGAATAAACAAAAAAAATCTTTCGCAAACAAATCTATTAAATGAAAAATCAATTTATTAGCACCAGCTCCATCAAGTCCCGAGCAATATATAGCCATACAATGTATACCTGAAAATTCGAATGAATTCAGTATTCCACGTGATCATGATGGTCATCGAAAAAATTGTCGTCAACCTGAATCACATGAACAAAAGTAAGTATTTGGATTGGAAAATGAAAATTTTTGAAGATTCAACATCAAAAGATCATTGAACAAGAAGCGATTTTTTTCGAAAGTTTATTTTTTTCCATACTGCCAAACAATCTGATCTGATATATTTGCCATTCCCTAATTTTCACAATTTGCTCATAATTTCGATATTGTTGTGTGTGTGTGTGATTGACTCAAAAATCCATATTCAAATCGATCACCAATTTTGAACGATTGGAATTTATGTATGTTATATATTTTTTTTGTTGGCAAGTCAAAGATTATACAACAACAATCAATGGTCTTTTTGTGTTTTGGGTGTAACATATTTGACGCCCAATGACCGTGATGATGATGATGGCCATTACCGTTTGATATGTGTGTTTTCGAATAAATCTCAAACACAAATCGTGGTCGTCAAATTTAAACTAAAAAACATTACTTATTACTTATTTTCACTGTCTGCCACATTTGGATCAGTTTTATTTTATTTGTTTCTTTTCAGTTACATCTTTTCCAGTTTCGCCAACATTTTTCTTTTTCTTTTTTTTTTGATCTTGATTTGATTTTATTTATTATGTAAATTTTTAATGTGTTTAAATGAATGATCCTGTTTTGTGTGTGTGTGTTTGTTACAATTTGATTTGAATTGGTCATAATTCTGAATTTGCATTCTGATTACTTACTTTATAAAAAATTTATTGTCTATAGTTTAGTTTAGCTAAGTTTTTTCCTTTGTAGGTATTTTGACATATTTGATGATGATGATGATGATGATGGATTGAATTTAAGGTTTGTTTCAGTTTGTTTTGAATTAAAAATTGACAAAAAAAAATTTTTTGCTGCTGCCAGGTGTAATGACAATGTTATTGTTTTGTTAATATCCGATTTTTTTTTGTTTCTCTCGTTCCTGATCACGTGGGTGAAAATTTTGTTTGTGGTCAAAACGAAAAATCGAATGATTGTCAATCATTTCATATGTGTGAATTGAATTGAAAATCAATTGCTTTCATTATTATGTTATAAAAGCAACAAATTATTGCTATTAATTGATTTTGTTTTTGTAATATGTTATGCAATGATCTTATTGATTTGATCAATTTAAATTAGGCCGATCGATAATTGAACACACGTGTGTGTGTGTGTAAGAGTTTGAACATAATATAAAATGTTTAATGTATATTTTTCAAATTAGGATTGTCCAATAATCAATGGTTGATCAATCAATCAAATGTGTACATATTTTAAGATATATAAAAAATGCATTGTTTAGAATTTTGAATTATAATTGGATCTATTGTTATGTAAACAAACAAAATAATAATAATGGAACGGATTTCTCGTTTTTTTTTTCAATATCAGTTTTTGTTGTTGTTGTTGTTGTTATCTCTTCAAGGTCACACGGGCAAAAATAAATACTATATTTTTCTATAATTACCTATAATTTTTTTCAAAAAAATCTTTGTTTTCTTTTGTTTTCAGTAACATAACATTTGCATTTCAAATGCCTTTACCACGTGGCGGTTTACAGCTAGATTATTCACGATGGATGCAAAATTTATTGACATTAATTGTTCCAGATGTTCTTTATGATACACGACTTTCGAATAGTGGAAATGCTGATCAATCGGATCAAGATCAACATATCAATGCTACCGTTATGATGGATGTACGATTGGCTGTGAAAAATATTGGTGACAAAGATTGGAAATTATATTATCATCGATCGAATCTTAAACGTACGGTTACATGTCATATTGAAGGACATAAGGTGAATTTTAATGTTTGATTAAAATGATTAATTATTGAAAAATGAATCTTTTGGCCATAATAGAGAAAACAGGGCATCAATTATGATTGTGATTTAATACAATTGTTTGAATTACAATCATTGTATTATGATTTCTATCTAATCAACTTACAGTTCATCGCTAATGGTAATTATTAATTTTTTCCTTTTGTTTATGCTTGCATGATTATCATTACTGTATGTTTGTTTTTTTATATGTGAATGTAGAAAAATCCGAAAATTTTGGCTTTTTAAATAATCTTTCATTGGTTGCCATCCATCAAAATGGTGGCTTTACAAAAATATGGCTATCATTGAAATCAGTATTTTTCATCATTACTTTATTGACTTTTATATGGTATTTAAATCGAATTCAACAATTGAAACGCGATACAAATCTATTGGAAAAATGTCTCATCCTATTGGGCTTTGGAATTACACAATTGAATGTGCCAATCGAATTTTTAAATCTAGTTATGGATATGGAATTTATGTCGTTTCTTTGCGATATACGTCAAGGCATTTTTCATTGTTCATTGTTGATCTTTTGGATAATATTTATTGGCGAACATTTATTGGTATGTAAATGATGTACGAATAGCACATTTGATTTGATTTTTATTTCAAACTGACCATGTTCTGTGTGTTTATGTAGGACGATGTAAGCCGTGTCGGTTTATCATCATATTACAAACAACTTGCTATAATTCTTATAGCCTACATTTCATTGTTTGTATTTGAATCATCTGAACGTGGTATACAGGTGATAGATCCATTTTATTCGATATGGGAAGTGGATTCTAATTTTGCCATGATATTCATTACAATCACCGTATTGGCAGCTATTAGCTATTTCTTTTTTCTCACCTATCATCTTTGGTATGTCACCATTATAAAACTTGTCCATCTCACTCGATATTTTTTATTGGATTAGGCTTGCATTTCGCAACATATCGACAAAACAACAAAGTCTTCCATCGATGCCGACCGCCCGTCGATTGATCTATCAGGGAGTAATCTTTCGTTTTAAATTTCTCCTAATAGCTACTTTTGTTTGTGCCACATGTACAATCATTGCTTACATTATGGGACAGGTTTGTTTGAAAAAAAATCTTAATATTGAATCATATAGCTCACAATTTTCTCAATCTATTGTCTTGAAAAGGTATCGGAAGATCAATGGTATTGGGATGATCAACGATCATTTCTCAATTCATTGCAATGGTCTAGTGCCATGTTTACAACTGTGTTTGCTCTTTGGAATTGCTATGTCATGACATTGTTGATTCTATATGCTCCATCTCATAAGGGCGTAAGTTTAATTATAACTATCGTCGAATATTGCATTCTAATCTATTTTTTCGATATTAATAACAAAAAGATGGACAGTTCCGATACGGATGAAATGTCGGTCGAATTCACACGATTAACTGATAATGATCTGAATGATGGACAAGCACGAATCAATTATTCGGGTATCAGCGGACGCCGTCAAAATCCTAATCCAAAACCTCAATATGAAATGTCTTTATTACAGGAATTGGCCACTAAACGCAACATAAGCTAAATGCTGATCTCTTTTTTTTCGAAATAGACAACACAATTGATTTATCGATTGTTTTCTTTATGTAAATAATGCCTAGCATATTTGTGCCAGTATTATTATCTTTTATTTAGAAATGTATTCGACATATATAGTCTTATATATGACCTAAAAGACAATGTGATTCCAAGTTCACAATTTTCACTAATTATTATTATTATTATTTTTTTTTTTTTTGATAATCAATGCCAAAGAATAATAAAAATTACAAATTAATTTTTAAAAGAAAAAGATTTTGATTTTGATTACATTATTTGTGAATACTCTTTGACTAATGTAAAGTTCGAAAATTCGAACATGTTTTGCTGTGGCATGGCTTTATTATTGTATTAATTGTTTGAATTTGTTTATTGGTTGATATCAACAAAATTATCATGGGTAAATATACATTGGAACAGCGTGAAAAAATCGTTGAAATCTATCAAGAACATAAATCATTTGCTAAAACACGAGAAATATGTCGACAATTATTTGGCGATGAAATGGTTCCGAATTATATAACTATTAAACGTTATTTGGAAAAAATTGAACAATTTGGCGATCTTAAGGATCAACCTCAATGGATTTGGGTTAGATGTAATGGCCGTTATAAACAAAAAAGATATAAACCTAAGAAAAAGAAAATTGTCAAATCAAAAGGTCAAAAATCTCGAAAAACTGGGAAATAACCGAATTCGTTAATTTAACCAAGAATTTCATTAATTCGCAATATAATCAAAGCAATTTTTTTTGTTGAAATTTTGAATCTCTTTTTTCTTTGTTCAATTAATTTACGCTAAATAGAGATGTTATAAATTAATAAAATTCTTTTATAAACATCATCTGAAATTAACATGTTTACATTTGTTGAATTGAAATGAATTTTTTAAATGAAAAACTTTTTTTTTGTCAATTATAATAATGATTATGATAACAATTTTGGCATTTTTGTTTTGTTTTGTTTTGTTTGCTGATGATCTTTTCTAAATAAAACAGAATCCAGAATATTCTTTTCGGAAAACTTGAACTCGCAATCATCTCGAGAAAAAGCAAAAAAATAAGAAAAAAGTTTTGAAAATTTATGAATGTTTGATTTTATGATTGCATTCATTGCATTCGTAAACAGTAAATTAAGATTTTAAGAAAAAAAGTTCCAATTTTTTTTTATTCATAATATTTTCCTTTGTTGAAGTTCATTTATGCTATACACAAGTTTTTCTGTTTCGATGATGATGATGATGATGATCAAATTGGATAATTCAATCGAAGAGGCTTGAAGCCATTTGTCCCCGAAATGAAAGTAATGGCATTAAGCAAAACCAAAACAAAAAAAAACGTAAACCAAGCAGGAAAATACTTTGCAATCGCAAAACGAAAAAATTTTTGTTTCCCGTTCACATCATGTGATTTTTTTGAAAAAAAAAAATGAAAACCAACTGACAAACTTAAAATTCAAACACATAAACCAATTTTATGAACTAATCAAAAGAAAAAACTAAACAACAACAACAAACTAGCCTTGATTATGTAATGGATTTTTTTGTTTTTTCTTTCTTGTGTACAAAGTTTACAATCTAGTGATGGTTAACATGATCTCATGAGTGTTGTCTTAAGAAATGATTGGGCTTTCATTGACGAACAAAACAAAGTCAAATCATAACCAATATTTCAATCCCAATTTGCAAAAAAAAAAAAAAAAAAAAATATTTTCTTCTTCTTCCAAAATTAACGAACAGGATGGGCATTAGCAACAAAACAGAAAAAAATGATTGAATATCTTGGAACATTTTTTTTTTCGTTGTTGAATTTCTCTACCCCATTTCTATGTTTGATGGCTAATGAAGATTCTTGGCTTTTAATCTAAGTTTGTTTTTTTTTATTTTTGCTAATTTAAATGTTAATGAATGATGAGCCCATCATCATCATCATCATCATCATCGTTATCAACAACTTTTGGGAAAACCGATAGTATCCGATATGTTCCGAACAAATCAAACATATAATGTTGTGTAAATATATACATCCATCCAATGAGAATAAGAGAGAGAGAGAGGAAAGAAAATATATTCTCATCACGGATATTTGAATCATAATGTAGCTTGGAAACTTTATTCGATATCAAAATCAATCCAATATATGTCGGTTATCATCAAGAGATTAGAATTTCTTCAAAAAAAAAGTTTGGCTTAGGAAATTCAAACTTTATCCATGGCAATATATACAGAGAGTCAATTTCATAATACTTTTACTTTTTGTTTGTTTGTACGTAGATATCCGGCAAAAAAAAAAAATTATTATTTGCTTGATTGTGTTGATGACGGTGTGTGTGTGTGTGTTGATTAAAGTTATACCCCAGAAAAAAACCACATGGCAAATGCAAAATAATGTTTGATTAGATTGAATGATTTTTAATTAACAAACAAACAAACAAACAAACACCAATCACTTTAAAACATTATAATGGCTACAGTCAAAAGTTAACAACAGCAAACAGCAAACAGCAATCTCAACATCGTTAAGTGGTTGGATTTTTGAATATTTTATTTCCAATCATGATGACGCCAATCTGCGCCGATGAAACATTTTAATCAAGAATCAATCGTTTGATCATGGCTAGAATGTACACATATATATAAAAAGGAAATTTTTTGGATCATTCAGAATTTATTCTTTAGTTTTTATTGGTTTTTTAAACATTGATCATAGTGATCTTTAAGTAAATCGTATTTAAGAAATTTTCTGTTTCCTATGAGCATTTAAAAAAACTTTTCTTTCTTTCTGTTGTTGGTGTACGTGCTGAATTTCATTTTATATTTGCTTGATTGTATCATTTTTTTTTTTTTTTGACATTTTTTCGAGGTCTGTTTAATTTCTTTGTTTTTTTTTGTTTTTGGTTTGTTTGTTTTCCATTGGAAACAACAATCATAATAATTTTGACAAAATAATAATGATAATGAAGATCGACACACCTTGATTTATAAATTATAGAAAATAATTTTAGAATTCAGGATCTGGAAATTACAAGTTTGAAAAACGATTTTTTTTTTGTTTCCATTTCCAAAATTATTATAATTCTAATTTAAATTTTGAATCATTTTTCTTATTCTTGTTTCTAGTGAGAAGAAAAATTCATTGACAGATTCGAAACAAAAATAAAAACAGAAACAACAATGATTATGGCAAACAATAATAATACTAATAATCGACAACAACATCAACAACAACAACAATCAAAATCATCGATACCGATTAAATTTTTTATTACACAGCTAATCATTTTGTTGATCATTGCTACTGTACAAACAAATGGATCACAAAAATTTGTACCAAATGGTCGATATGGACGACGATCTGATTTACCACCATTATCATCAATAAATAATAATCCATCATCATCATATGATATCAATCAATTTTTTTCGGATGCCGATATATTGGCCATGAATCAAGGTAAACAATGGGAAAAAAAATTGATTTTTTTTTTTGATCAAAAAAAAAACAATCAATTTTCTATTAGATGCTGAAAACATGTTAATGTTGATGACGATGATGCGAATGAATGGACCACCACAATCAACGATGGATATTAATTGGTCAGCAAATCTTATCAAACAACTTTGGCATCTTTGTGAAATGAACGAGGACAAAATAATCATGAATCGTTGTTTACGAAGGTATTCTATATACCAATTTTTAAATTATTCGTTATATTGTTTTAATATTGTCTTTGGCTTGTGTTTTTTTGTTTTGTTTTGTCCATTAGCATACCAATAATTAAGATGATCTTGATGAAATCTGCTGCTACTGCTGCTGCAAAAGATCGTACATTCATGTCAGAAATTGATCCACAGTCACAAATATTACAACAGACATTGAAACATCAACAACAACAACAACAGCAACAAGGACAAGATCAAGATCGTCAATAATTACTTAAAGAGCTTTATGTTTGACGGATCCTATTTATATGAATCAAATTTAACACACACACACACCCACATACTTATAAAATCCTAACACAAAAACATGTTGAAACAAACTAAATCCCGAAATGTTTTTTTTTGTTCCACTAAAAACTGGTCATCATCATCATCATCGTCATAGTCGACATTAACAACATCTGTAGTGTAATAATAATGAATAATATTCTTTTGGTTTTTGGTTCTGTATTCACCCAAAATTCAGAATTCAGAATTATCAATTGTCATCATCAATCATTTGCATATTCGTAGCCATTATTAGCAACAAAAAAAACAAACGAAAAATATACTTTAATTTTAATTGAAAAAAAATGAATGAAATTGTTTGTTTTTTTTGAAAAAATGTCCTTGCATATTCATTTTTTTTGTTTTGTTTTTTTCACTAATATTGTTATATGATCAAAATGGGAAAAAAAAAGAAAGAATAAACCTTAAACACTTTGGTCAATAACACAACGACAACACGTGAGTGTGGATGAATGAATGAAACGTGCTTGCATTCATTGATTCATTGAATGATTTCATTTCATTTCATTTTTTGGGCGAGCGATTCAACAAAAAAAGAAAAATAAATTATCAATTTATGGCCAATAATAATAATAAACTGTTATTAAAAAATTATTGGTGTCTACTCTGCTTTTGTAACCTTTTATAAACAAACGAACAAATCCGATTTTCATTTTCATTTCATTCATTTTTTTTTAATTATGAGGGCCAACTGAATTAATATTTTTGTTTTGTTTTGTTTTGTTTGATTGTTTGCCCCTTTACTTTTTTTTCTCAAATCACATTTGTCTTCAGACATCAAATTGATTCAATTTTTGTTGTTGTTGTTGTTGGAATTAAACAAAACAAAATCAGGATTAATACAAGGTTGTATCGATTAGTTGCATCATTTTTTTTTCTCGAAAAATTCAAAAATAATAATTGTTCAAATAGCGAATTTGTTTGCCAACAGATGGCATTCAAACGGATGTGTAGAACATATATGAAACACAAATCGATTTTTACAATTATTTTTTTTCGAAGAAATCTAATCAAAAAATGGGATCGATCTGAATGTCGTCTAAATCAAATGGTAACTGTATATTATATGAATCATTAAACACAGTCTCTCTCTCTCTCGGATACTAATTGTGTTCATATGAAATAAATTTCGTCAAATGACCAATTTTGCGAAATCAACGCCATAAACAAAAATATTCATTACAATCGATATGGTACAATCAATTTTAGATCGATACAATCGATCATTTTGGTTATTGTTTTGCTAATTTTTGTTTTCCTGTTTTGTTTGGTCTTGATTGTTTTCATTTGGTTACTTATTCTTCTTTTGGATGACTAATAATAATGAAAACAAAGCTAAATTGTATCCAGTAAAATGATGGTGCAATGATCTTTTCAATATTTATTATTATTATTATCAACATGATGATGATGATGATAATGATTGTGCCAAATTATGGTTAACCAATAATGATAGTTAAATCCCTATACAACTTTTACATTGAATCCTTGAAATGATCGTTTGGTTTTTTTGGGCGGCGATCCAAGTGGTGCAATACCACTCTTTTTCTCTCGCTGTGGATGATATATTAATGGTATAAACACACACGATACCCCCACATCTATCTTTGAAACTAAATCAAATTGATTGAGAAACAGAAAACAAACGAAAAATTCTTTCTTTTTGATTCTTGCAGCGCCAAATTCTTCTTTCTCTCTCCCTTTTCCTATCATCTATTATTGTCACCCTGATTACACGATTCTTGGTTGCCATAACTAAATTCTATAGACATACATACATAAAATTCAATGAATATTTTATATATGTTATCAATGATGAAACAACAAACAGAATATTTCAGCCTAAACATTTCAACATGTAGAGAAAGTGGTATACTCGAATATAAATGAACAATTTTTACCTATCGGTTTTTTTTGTTCCCATTTGTGTTGTTTGTGTGTTCTGGTTTTTTTTTCTTCTTGATTCAATAACGACAGATTAAATAATAATAATCATCATCATCTTTCTCTGCTTTTTTCTATCTCTCTCTATATCTCTAAATACCTGAATTTACCAAAGTGATTTATCTTTTTATTCAAACGTTGCCGTGGCTACAGGTCGTTGTCGTCTTTATCTAAAATGACGAAAAAGAAACCACACGATTGAATCATCACCCACACACTGAACTAATGCATGCCGATATGACAACAAACAAACAAACGAAAAAAAAACATAACTTGTTGTTACCTGATTGGTTTCTATTCTTTTATTTTTTCATCATCATCATCATCATCATTATCGGTGTATAATGGTGGTTTTTCTTCATAATGAAAAAAAATTTTTCCAAACCAACAAGTTCAATGAGAATTTGACCGATAAAATTTGATCCTTTACTTTTGGTCATAATGGGAAAGAATCGTAATAATTCCTTTATTTTTCTGCATACTCGAACATAATTTAATCATTATGATGATGACCTTTAAACTTTTTTTTTTGCAATCCTTCCATTTATTATTATTATCATTATTGATTGATTATGATAAGAATAATGATTTCGCTATCATATTGCTTTTAATCTTCAAGGATCATGATCGATGATGATCAATCTTACCATACTTTATCATTGATTTTTTTTTGTTTTGTTTTCAATGAATATTGATATCATGATGTTATGATATGATCGTTTTCATAAATAATTCGTATGACAATGATAATTTCTGGTTACAATGTGCAGCTATTTATAAAAAAAATTGTGATTGTGTAATCAGAAATATATACAAAAAAAAATCGACAATCCGAGGACAATTGGCTGCCATACAACAACAACAACAACGATCATCACAATGATGACGACGACGACATCAGGTTGTTGTTTTGCTTACACTGTATGGATCCAGTCTGGTTTTGATTTTTTTTTTTGTTTTGTTTTGTTTTCTTCTTCTGTTGATCATAACTCTTCGGTCGTTGGTTGTGGTATTTTGCCTTGAAGAATATCGACAAATATACATTATATAAGGCTACTACCAACTACCACCAACAAAAACAACATCAACGAAGAATGAACTTTTAATGTCAATCCTCTTCATCATCATCATCTCAGATGTTTTTTTGTTGTTGTTATTATCATTCGTTGTTTCCATTTTTAAAATAACATCTTTTTTTGTTGTTGTTTGGTTGTGGTGTTGCGCATCAATCAACCTTATATATCACTTATAAACTTTTCTTGTGTCCTTGTGTTTGGTGGATATTTGTGTTGCTCATATTGATTGAATTCTTCCGAAAAAAAGAGCATCAGAAAACTGATTGAACATTTAATTAAAATTTTTCAATAAAATTTGTGATTGAATTTGGTTTTTTTTTATTTTGTTGTAATCCATATAGATCTATTCATACAAGTGTCTGTGTTTGTGTAATTTTTTTTCAAACAGAATCAATCAAACAAACGAAGTGTTAATGTGAAATAAATTTTTGTTTGATCATCCTTATTGTTTTTTGTTTCGTTGTTTTCTGTTACCTTTCAATGATAAATTCCTTGAATGCAAACAAACAAAAAAAAAAGACATCAACAAATAGTGAATGAATGGTGGAAAATTTTCTTTCTTTCAAAAACAATATCAATAAAAAAAAAGGTAGGTTATCATATGACGATTTGTAGTTGATTGATTACGTAATCTCAATCTATGATTGAGATATTGATGATGAAATATATATATAGATGATCCAGGATTTAAGAAACCAATACTACGAATGTTTTATTATTATTATTATTATATTAATGATGATGCAACAAGTAAAAAAATAGGGGCTAATCATAAAAATATATACAAAAAATAAAAGTAGTAAAGTAATAAAGACTTTTGGATAAATTTATGGACATTGGATTGCAATTTTGAATATTGAATAGCGATAGGATTGTGCTGGCCCTGTACAACAACAACAATCATTTTCAATCAAAAATCAATTATAATAGCAAAACGATGATTATGATATTTTGCCCTCATAATTTTATTATTATGATTATCATTCATTTTTATAATATGCAAAACCCTTTTACTTGAAAAAAAAGTCTAACAATAAAATTGCCAAATATAATATTGAATGCAACAAAGCTTGTTATCTTTTGAATGAAACAGAATATTAACTAAATCGATTGATTGATTGAATTTGATTCATTTAATTTTTTTTAAAAATTTAATTTCACTCTTATTTTTCAACAACAACAACAACGAAAAAAATTTTTAGCAATTTGATAATTTATAATATCATGATGAAAATTTTAAAAAAATGTTTATGAAATAAAATTAGAAAAATTTCCTTTTTTTGGAAAACTATACAAAAATTGAAAAAAAAATTTGAAAAAAATAACGAGAATATTCTTGTGTGTTTGTATGGACTATAAAATGGTAAATGCACCAATTTTTTTACCGATGTAATAATGGCAGTGGCAATATCCGAATTCAAAATACGGTGAATTCGAATCCATTTTGGTGTTTGTTTGTTTGTTTTTGAATGTGTTTAGGGTTTATTTTGTTTTTTTTGGTGATCAATTTGGAATGCAATTTTTTTAGGTTTTTTTTGATCTGAATTTTGGTTTTATTTAGAAAATCATAGTTGAGCATGTTGTTTATTTCACTTAATAGTGTCCAGGCAAGCCATAACCTGCTTTAGCATAACCATAACCAGCCAATGGAGCGGCCAATGGTGCGGCAAGTGAAGCATGTTGAGTTGATACTGAATATGATGAAGCGATTGGCAAACCGTGGGCAACTGGGGCAGCATACAATGGAGCAGCGTGCACTGGAGCAGCGTGCAATGGAGCGGCCAACAATGGAGCAGCGTGCAATGGAGCAGCAGCGAGGGCTGGACCAGCGACGACACCAGCTAAATCAAATCAATCATAATTCTGTTGAAGCAACTTGTAAAAGGCAAATAAATAAATTTCACTTACCATGGCTACCGGTCAATGAAGTTGCAGCTGGATCTTGTTTTGGATCGGTACCTGGTTCATTGGTTTGAACTGAAGCTCGGAAACCATGAGCATCGGCAACATAGTTGACAACACGCACACGGCCATCAGCATCACGAAGACCGTATGAACCAGATTGATAACCTGGACCACCTTTTTCTTTACGGAAGGTACCACCAGTAGCGTGATCTTCATTGTAACCGAAAGCATAGTTACCATGACCCTTTTTATTGCCATTTTAAGAAAGAAAGAAAAAACGATATTATTGCACGAATCATTAGATTTGGTAGATTTGATTTAATAGGATTTTAATCCATGTTCACACAAGACACTGCACACAATAAAAATCGCTGTTGGAACACAAAAAAAAACTTACATCATCTGATCGGCTAACAGCTGAAGCACCAGTGTTGACCAAACCAGCATATGGGACAGCGCTGGCAGCAGCGACCAATGTAGCGAAAACAATGAAGAATTTCATTTTCGGTTTTTTTTTTGTTTTGTTTAAAAAACTGACTTATAATTATTGAATTAATTCAAATCAATTGATATCGATGCGATCAAATTGTCGCCTCTATTTATACCTGGCTGATTTTATTTCGGATTTTCAAATTGTTTCATAGCAAAAAAAAAAGGTTGGCCACACGTCAATTTAAAGAGTATATCAAAATAATAAATGAAAATCGCTTCCAATCTAACTGACCATTCTATTTTGCTTCTTCTTTTTTTTCTATAATGCTTCTGTTTATACATCTGTATCTATTTCTGAAGTTTTTTTTTTGGAACCTCATTGTGGAACATTTTATACATCTACATCTAATTTCTAATGGGTGGCTGGTGTGTGTGTGTGTAAGTATGGTTATGCCTATAGGGCAGCAAATAAGCAATGAAAAAAAAGAAAGAAAAAAAAATTATTCGATTCAAATTTGTATATGGGATCAATCATAATTTTTTAGAATCAATTGGCTCAATCCAATAATAATGAGTCAAGGTTAAAAGACAAAAAAAAAGTTATATTTATATTCATATGGGAGATATATATACAAGGAAAGATGAGATTTTTGTTGTTGTTGTTTTTTTTGGGAGGCAAACCTATAATACAATTGTTATGGAATTTTTTTTTTCGTTGAATTTTTTGACAATAGCCAAAATGACTAGCCTTTTTTTCTTCTTTTCCAACATTGATCATAATTTTTTTCTGTTGAATGTTTTTTGTTTAAATTTACATTGAAAAAACAAAATTAATTCTAATGAATTTATTTTAGCTACATTGAACAGATGCATAAAATAGACGAACAAACATACCGAAGATATGAATGAAAATGGACACTGTGTGTATGTTTTTTCCCCCTGAGATTGACATTGTTGTTGTTGTTTTTTTTCGTTAGTTTGAATAATTGATTTGGACATTGGTCAGTCAGTCAATTTATTGATAGTGGTGACAAGCTATAATATTAATACACGAAAAAACTAAGATTGATAAATGAACAGAACGTAAATTATAATAATCTCAGTTTGATGATGCTATTTTCAAAACAAAGCAAAACATTTCATTTTAACAATTGAAATTGATAATAATAATAATAATTGCTGTTGTTGCTTTAATATATTCTAAACATAGGTGTGTTTCGACTTGGAAATGTCTGTTGTTTTTTTTTCAACTTATCGATTGGCCAATAATATTTTTTTTGACGAAAGCAAAATCTTGTTGTGAAACCAATAAATGATAAATATAAACTTGATCTTGCTGTTCTTATTGTTCCATAACAGATGGAAATGTTTGATTGATTTTTTTTTTTGGAGGTGGAAAATTAACACATTTTTCTTTTCCCCCATAATTTATTCTTTGAAATAGATAATTATCTATCTAGATATCCATTTTTGAATATCCCAATCGATATTGCTCAAAATACCCCAAATAAAAACGCCAAAAAATCAATCCATTATCATTCGATTGCAATGGACATTTTTTAAACGTTTTGTTGAAATTTTCTATATTTCTTTTTTGCTCTATCATTTTGCTGAATTTTAATCTAATTAGCTTTAGGGCTGAATTTCTATCCCTCCAAAAAAAAAAACAGAACGTGTGACGACAAACGGACTACTGTGTTTTGCCCAATTAACAACAAAAAAAAACATTCAATGAAAAAAAATGATGCAAAAAACAGTGATAATGAAATGAAAATCTACAAGTAGCTATTTATGGAGTTGATGTTTGCAAAAAAAAAAGTTTCATTAAAATTTCAAAGTCTAATTGCTCATTTTTCCCACATAATAATAGTGATGAATTGAATATTTTTCTATCTTTCTGTTGAAAAAATTCTGTTATTATTTCGATTCTCAATTTTGAAATAAAATTTTACAATAATTAATTCGTCCGTGTTGAGATTTACATTGATTATCGTAAGAATTTATTTATAAAAATTCTTCAAGGACATTATGTTTGATCTCCTTTTTTTTTGTTGTTGTTCTTGAATCGATCGTTGAATAAAACAACGAAAAAACAATTGTCCATTTTTGTTTATATGTGTGCATGTGTGTTTGTTTGTTTGGAAAAACATTCTTATTATCATATATCGAATTAAATTAGAGTTTTTCTTTGCATCATTTTCATATCTTCTATACATATAATGTGTACTTGGAACAACAACGAAAAAAATTGATCAATTTTCAAACACGTTTCAATCTTTTTTTTCATCCTCTTGTCAATTTTCTCTTCGTTTTTTTTGATCCATAATATTGATATATTTTTCTTTCGATTCAAATCTCAATGGGATTGCCATTTTCAAAGACTATTTTGATTATAACGTTGTAGATCAGAAAAAAAAATATGTCCATCAATTTTTGTTGTTGCTGTTGGTCGAGTACAAATTAACAAACTGATTTGATGAATGATTTTTTTATTTATTTAGATTTTTTCAATATATTAATTAAATCTTAGTTGAAAACATTTCAATATAATCAAGCAAACAAACAAATATTCAAATAACTTTTTTTCTGATGGAAATTTGATCCATTTTTTTGGTTCATCTCAAATGAATTGCAAAAATGCAGCAAACAAATTCATTAATTAGAATTCTGAAATTAAAAATCTCAAAAACATAATTTATGAATTTAAAATTGATGATGGATAGAAACCAGCACTGTCAAATGCTAAAATGGCTACTGATACTGTCCTTACCATGATAATGTTGATGATCAAATCCATTTTGAATGAATCCTTGATAATCATCATCATCATCATCAATGATATGATTATTCACTAATAACTGTGTGTTGTTTGTACGTGTATCGTTCAATTTCATGTTGGCCAAATTGTCCTTTTTCTTCTGATGATTTTATGCAATCGAATAAAATCGATCAATTTTTGAATCGAGTTTATTTTTCATTTTTTCTTTTTCTTTGGAAAAGTATATAATTGGATTTCTGACATTTTTTTTGACTCATTCGAATCAATGATCAATAAAATTCAAAATAATATCAAGATTGGCCTTAATCGATCAATCAATACAATCATCGAATTCAAGGGTATATATTTTTTTTTGTCATGATCTTTGATGAAAGAAATGATGAATTTCAATTTTTTTTTATTTCCATTTTAATTCGGTTTTTGACCAATAGATGGCAAACGAATAGCAAGGAATTTTTAAAAATTTATTTTTCAAAGGGCGCGGAAACAAAATTCAAATTTTTTTTTTCAAACGATATGCTTCGTTTCATTCCTGTTTGTGATTGTATAAACGTCGTTTCTATTCATATGTAACCTTGACGATGATAATTTTGTCTTTATGATTGCTCGATGTTGTTTTCCTGGCCATTTTAAAACCAAAATGATAAGTTTTTACTGTGGTTAAGCATCAACTCTATCAAAGAATTAATTTTAACAAATTCTTTTTTGATTTGACCAGAAGCAAACTATTACAATCATATATGACCTCAATTAACCTTAATGTATGTAAATATTATATGGGCGTAAACTTTACGTTTTACTTTCACTCTATATAGTTATAGTTATGAAGATAAATAAGCTATTTGGAACCGAATTGAATTCCAAGGCCAACGACCATACAATGGATTGATAATGTTTTGTGTGATGTGTGTGTGAGTGTTAATAGAAGTAGTGGAGTTAGGTCACAGTGCAAATTTAGTGCTTGGCAACAACTTTTTAAATAAAAAAAAATGTCCATGGTCGTATCCAAATATAACTTTTTTTTTTTTGTTTGTTTCCATTATAAAAGAGTAAGTCATTCATTGAAAATATATTTTGTCTTGTTTTTGTAATAATGGAACAGCTGACATGATGAGGATGATGCCATTTTATCAATGAATTGAAACTATATAATGTTTCATTTATAACAGAATTTTAAGATTGAATCCAAACATTCGATTGAATTATCAATCAATTCATGCTTTTCCACCCTATGAATACAGAAAAAATTTCTTCCTATTACATTAAAAATATCGTAAATTTAGAGAAAGGAAATGAATGATTGTATAAATGGTATATAAACCCTTATATATTGATGTTTGAGTATTTAAAAAAAACAAAAATGATGTCTGTATATAACAAATACACAGTATGTGTTTGTTTCCATTGATAATACCTATACACCATTTAAAAAAACGAAGGATAACTTTCATTATTTTTTTTGCAAATCTGTTTGTTGTCTGCTCGTATTAAATACACGAACAAATTTTTTTCTGATCACATGCATGATGATGCTCAAATCATCATCATCATCAATTGAACAAACAGATAAAATATCCATTGGTTTTTTTTTCTGTTTTTCTGTTGTTTGTTCCATCACACATTACTCGTATACGTAATATCTTTAAGGTTTGTGTAATATACGTATAATATAAGTGTGTATACATGGTATATATTGCTCATCATCATCATCACACAAAAATAACTCACTCAAATCTTACTCTATCCCAAAAACGAAAAATATCTTTCCAATACAGAAAATAGCAGCAGCAGAAGCAGCAGCAGAACAACAACAGCAGTAGCACCAAAAAGATACGCGATTGTTCCACAGATTTTTTTTTTTACTAATTCTGACTTTTTGTTTTGTTTTGTTTTGTTTTGTTGTGGTCTATTTGAAATCGAAAGTTATTGCAACAAATTTGATAACTGTTTTTTTTGTTTTGTTTTTGGTGTGATGAATTGGTGAATATTATAATAACTGCTGCTATATGTAGAGGATAAATTGAATTTTAGCCATTCAGATTAAATTGTTTGTTTGTGATGAGCTGCTGCTGCTGATAATGATGATTGTTTATTAACAACAACAACAATTCACATTCGAATTTGATCAATGATGATGATGATGATTCAATGGATTATATTGGATTCTAGATAAACTTCAAATTATCAATTTTCGTATTTTGTGAGTTTTCTTATATATGATTCTTATTTATTTATTCAAAAAAATTTTTTCACCACAAAACGAGTTTTTTTTGTTGTTCCATTTTTATTCGAAAAAAAAAGTTTATCACGTAGCAGAATAACATCTTTTTTCAGTTTTTTTAGTTGATTATAATCTCCATGACTATTACAAAGATAATGAATCACAAAAAAAAGATATGATAACAAAAAACAATGTACCTGTTTTCATTATTAGAGATATGAGTTGAGCAAAAAGAATCGATAATGATGATGATGATGATGAAATTCGTTCGATAAATATCAATTTTTTGTTTCTTTACAAACGATAATTTTATAGCGACAAGTCTTTCAATCAATTTACTGATTACCAAATTGTTTTAAAGAATTCGGAAATCATTTTTTTTTTGAACAAAAAAAATAGAACAAAACAAATTATCTGATCTATAGATACGCATCTATTGGCACGTTGTATGTGAATAAGACGGATTTTTTAAATGTTTTGATTGTCGTCTTTTTTTTCAGTTTTTGTTTGTTTCGTCGTGCGATTGCGATATAATAATTTCTGCACAAGAAACAGATAGACAGGCTATAGCTACGTTTTTTGTTTTGTTTGTCTTTCTCTTTTCACAATGTTTTGTTTATGGCACACACATCTTACACTATTCAATACTTCTCTCTCTCTCTCTCTCTCTCTCTCGCATTTTCTGCATGTATATGTGTATGGTATGTGTTTGTATGTAATAATGTATGTTTGATCGTCACAAATAATTTGCTGCTCCATGACGAGTTGTTCATACTCATTCAGATTCATTTGTTATTGATTTTCTTTTTTTTTCGATTTACAATTCTATTTTATTTTTTTTTTAATTCTTGAATTTAAAAAAACCAAAAAAAAAAATTTTGGTTCCAAATAATATTTTGGCCTTGATCATTTGTTTCCAAAATCAGCTGTAAAAGACAAACAGCTGTACAATAGTTTAGTATTTTTTTTTATGTTAAACTTGACCTTTTATTCATATTTCTAATATCATTTTCTTTTTGATTTATTAATTTTTCTTTTACATTTTTCATATAGATTTGAAGCCTAAATTTTGTTTTCTGCCTCTACAATCATTACCGGATTTCATTGGTAATTTATTTATCCAAAAATTTTCTTTAAAAAAAATAATCTCAATTCATAATTAGGTTTTCCTTTTGGTCATTTTCTACGTTTAGAATCTTTGAATCACTCTTCATTCCAACTATAATCCCTATAATTAAATCAACCCCCCAACTTGGCTATTTAAATTTTTTCATTTCTTTCTTTTTCGTCGTCTTTAATCATCGATCAATCGATAGTCAGATTAATTGTCGACGAAAATCAGTTATCGAATAACTCAGCAAATCTGTTTCGAACACTGGCCTCCTCGACGGAATCGGAATCGGGTTCAGGTGGAGTTACATCTCCTCCTCCGAGGAAGAGACTCCGTCTGTTCCCTCAACAACATCAACAATATCATCATCAACAACAAGCCCAGAACGTCGCGCAATCATTCGTCGAAGCTAAAGCCGAAGAAGAAGGACAAATAACAGGAAGAGCGACCACCTCCGCAGCCCTCGCCACCACCGTAGCAGCTATAACCACCAACGTTAGTATCAGCAGTGTACAAACACAATCTCAACAGCAACAATCATCGTCATTGTTAAGAAGAAATCAACCACAAGCATCTACAAGCAGTAACAATATGCATTCATTTGGCGTAACCAATGGCTCTGGTCATGAAGAGCAATCATCATCATCGTCTTCCAATACAACACCATTGGAATCAAATGGTCTTTTCATCGCTAATGGTGGTGATGTACAAACCAATGGAGCTGGTAGCGGTAGTGGAGGTGGTCAAGGTGGAAACAATGTTGCTGGTGGTACAGGAATGGCCAGTAATGGTAATAGCAATATTAGCAATGGTAATACGGCTGAATCTTCAAATGGTGTGTCCAACAATTATACCAATGGATCAGCCAACAACAATGATGATGATGATCTAGATGGATATGAAGACGGTCCTTATATGAATGGTAATGCTCATCGTAAACAACCACCTAATCGAAAAAATAAAGCATTTGTTCCTCGATCACCGAGTGAATTTGACATTATTCGACTGATTGGCCAACAATTGTGTATCATGGGCTTGGAGTAAGTTTTGATTACGAATAAATCTCAATTAATCCCCAACTAATCACATATTTGTTCAAATCATTAGTCAAACTGTCGAACAATTGATTAAAGAATCTGGATGTCGACTTGATCATCCCACTGCAGCTAAATTTCGTTCATACGTCATGAATGGTCAATGGGAAAAGGTAAGCATTTTTAAAAATTGAATTGTTAATAATTTACAATACATTCGTCAGGCGGATACAACGCTTAAAGAATTACAAAATTATCTTGTAAATCCTAAACATTTAGTGGTAAGTTTAATACATTATTTATTATTTATTGATCTAAAATGATTTTAAATGTTAATTGTAGAAGATGAAATTTTTACTTTTGGAACAAAAATATCTTGAATGTATTGAAGATGGTCGTGAAATAGATGCTGTTCATTGTTTACAAAATGAAATAACACAGCTCAAATATAATATGGGAAAATTGCCAACCATATGCAGGTAATCACTGACATATAATTAGTTTTAAGTAAATTTTCTTATAATTTTTGTATCGTATAAAGTTATCTCTTCATGAATTCCAAAGAAGAACTAAGACGTGTCGCCAATTGGGATGGTAAAGGACACGTATCACGATCGAAATTGATGGAAAAACTACAAAGTAAGCCTATATAATGAAATAGTTCAATGTTCATTGTATTTTTTTAAAATAGATTTTCTTCCGGCAACCATAATGTTACCTCCTAGACGATTACAATCTCTATTGAATCAAGCAATTGAATTTCAAAAAGAACGTTGTCCATACCATAATATTAAAGTTGAGAATGGCCTCGATGATTTTTCACTTCTTGTAGATCATCTATGCTGCAAGTATGTCCTTTTTATTAACATTTTCATTCCGGATTTTATATATCCAATTTTTTTCAAGGGATGATTTGCCCAGTGAAACTTTACAAATATTAACTGAACATAAAGATGAAGTATGGTTCTGTCGATTTTCGAACGATGGAACTCGTTTAGCCACTGGTTCCAAAGATGGCAATATTACCATTTGGACCATTGATCCTGTATGTATTACGCACTTATTATAATAAACCTATTATGACCATTATGTTTTGTAGGAAACTTTCCAATTGACATTAAAATATACACTTATTGGCCATACATTTGGTGTTGCATATTTGGCCTGGAGTCCAGATGATCATTATCTTTTAGCTCTAGGTCCGGAAGAGAGTTCAGAATTTTGGCTGTGGGACACTCATGTAAGTTCTTATGTCGATTTATTTTTCAACAATTCATATTGATTATTTCTTTTGATTTTGATAGACTGGAACATTGAAAACAAAAAGTTGCCATTCGAATGACGATAGTTTGATTGCATGCGCTTGGCATAAAGATGGCAAAAAATTCATTGCTGGTGGTACGCGTGGTCAATTTTATCAAATTGTATGTGAAAACTATAGGACACTAATTTTGATCTTTATCATGAGCAATTATATGTTTTTTTATAGGATCTGAATGGAACTGTAATCGATTCTTGGGAAGGTGTTCGTGTCATGTGTTTGGCATATAAGAATGATGGCAAAACTGTCCTAGCGGCCGATACTCATCATCGGATACGTGGCTATAATTTTGAAGATCTTACAGACTTTAATGTGTAAATAATCCATTTTATTTATGAACTTGACATTTTGATTTTAATTTGTGTTTGTTTAATGGTAGATTGAAAGAAGATCATTCCATAATGTCTTTCGTATGTGATGAAAGTGGCCGACTAGCATTAATAAATATTGAGAATCAAGGTGTACATTTATGGGATATAGAAGATCGAATTCTTCTTCGAAAATTTCAAGGCATCACACAAGGTTTATATACGATTCATTCATGTTTTGGTGGTGTGGATCAATTGTTTGTTGCCAGTGGTAGTGAAGGTATTATCTATCTTTGTTAAAAGAATGATTTTGATTAATTCTTGTTTTTGGCTAGATAACAAAGTCTACATTTGGCATTTGAAGCGTGAACATCCAATTTCCGTGCTGAAAGGCCATACACGTACGGTAAATTGTGTTCATTGGAATCCACGTTATCCGCATTTGTTGGCTAGTGCTTCTGATGATACTACTGTGCGAATTTGGTGCGCCAAACATCGTAATCAACATCACCATAACCAAGCCAACAATAGCGTCAATAATAACAATCATCATAGCAGCAGCAGTAATAATAATAATCATAACCGTGATTCAATCAGCTTAAACAATCTGGCTGCCAATAACAGAAACACCTCGTCGGCTTCGTCGTCGACCATTCAGCCACCAACATCATCTTCAGGTCATCAAGTCACAACAACTATGATGAGTAATAATGAAACGACAAGCATCTCGATACTTCCTACGATATCAAGCATATTAACGACAACACCCTCATCACAGCAATCACTATCATTATCGTCGATTCGACTTGCCACATACGTCTCATCACCATCTCCATCCGCCTCATCGAATAACACGACCATCAACACTTCAACCACATCATCATTATCATCATCTTCGATCAGCAATCCTCATCATGCACATCATCCAAACATTTGTTCATCATCACCATCAATATCACATCCTTTGTCTAACATTTCATTGATACAACATCAATCAAGTGGTCGTATGGTCATTACGACTGGATCATCGATGACCGCCGATGGTAGTAATAGTAATAATTGTAATAACCAAATTCAACAACCATCCACCTCAACAACGTCGTCATCACCTCAGAGTGGTGGCACCCAAAGGCGTACCAATACATCTTTGACATTCTATGTGTCATCATCTGATCAATCTCAATTCAATCAAAATCTTGTTGGGGCTTTGGATGCAGCACCATCATCGCCAACCAATCTTCCACCTCCGCCACTACCACCTTCTTCGGCATTGACATCTCATGGCGAACAGCAGCAACAACAAGCTTCTGCTTCAAGTGATGATTCATCTACATCTTCATCATCGACAACATCACCATCATCCTCTTCATCATCAACAACGGCTAGTTCATCGAATATTGGGAGAATATAAAGTCAGCTAATATCGTTGGTAAATAAAGGCCGCAGAAAAATCATAATACGAACTATTGATACTATTCGGTCAACATTCATAGGTTATTTAATAAATTCAAATACAAGTCAAGACAAAGACAATTGCAATGATCCAGAGAGAAAAAAAATTTGTTCTACGATTCAGTGCCTAAAAAAATTTTTCATTTAAAATTGTTCGCTAACAATTGGGAAAAATATTTTCATTCAACATTTTCACATCATTATTATTCATCATGTTTGGCGTTGTTCTCTTTCGTTTTTTTTTGTGTGTACGTGTACAATTGCACATTCTATTCACCCACCTACATGATAATAAAACTTGTGCAAGTGGATGCGCATCAAAAGTGTTGTAAGAAATCAACAATTTCGTATATAAACGAATTGTATCATTCGAATATAAACTGTGAAAAATACCAATTTTATTTACATGATGATCGATTGTTTAATAATAATCTCAAATCCAATATAATCATATATGATGATTTGATTGTTGATTGTAAGAATAAATAAGATAAAAAACTACAAAAACAAAACAAAATTCCCAAAATCAGGGAGATATTTTTTTTTGGATTAATAAATTTCTTTGTTGTATATAAATTTGAAATAACATTATACACATAAACACACACATACACCATACACTAATTGGATGGACAATTGTTGATGAATAGCAGATAGTTTTTTGTTTGTGCGATTCTTGTTTTGTAAATATTTTTTCACAAAAAAATTACACATGAAAATATATTTAGTTCGATTAATTAATGTTGACGATGACAATGTGTGTGTGTGTGAGTAAACAGCAATAGCAGTTTGTTTTTTCTCCTGTCTTCTTTCAAAAGTGTCAAAAGATGATGATAATGATCATGAATAATTTGTATTGAATTTTGAAAAAAATTCAAATTCTTTTAGCTGAATGCAAATCAAAGGAAGAAAAATAATAGGTAAAACGAAACCATCACTTGTTATTTAATCCATATTAATGATATTATATAATATATATTTTGGCCAAGAAAGATATTAATAATAAAAAAACAATTTCAAAAATATTAATTTTTAAAAATATTCAATTTTATTATCATTTCCACCCTTTTGTGTTTTGGGTTGTGTTAGCTTGATTAACATTCATTGGTTTTTTTTATTTAAAAATTTTGCCTTGGTTGAATTTTTTACCATCGAATTTACCTTCCCAGCTAAAATATTCGTTCACCATCAATTTTGTTTTTTCGTCATCTGGATTCAATTTTTTCCATTCATATGATTCATAATCGATTGTCCAATCTTCACTTAGCTATTGTTCAAAAGGATAAAATCATATTCGATTAAAATTTGAAAAAAAATGTTTTCAACTTACAGGAAAGGCAAGCTCATGTCCACGCCAAACCCATATACCCGAAATGGTACTATTATTATCTTCACCAAACAAGATCATACTGGAAAAAGCATTCTTTCGCATACGATCCAAACGTTGAAACATACCAGAAATAAGGTTACAGCTCATAAAAACCTTTGTCAACTCTTGTGGATATTTGTATTCACAATACCAAATTGAGTAATTTTCTTTGTCAAATTTTTCCCAAAAATATGGAATCGATTTAACTTCTGGGTTGTTTGAATAAAAACGTTTAAAATCATCAAAATCGAATTTGCCTTTCGGAAATTTTTCGAATGGATCTTTGGGTTTTGGCATAGCAGGCATAAGATCATCACCGGCATCATCTTCAACTGGCACTTCTTTTTCTTTCTTCGGTTCCTTTTTTTCTTTTTTCGGTTTGGCTTCAGTTTTCTGTGAAACCTGTTTGACAGCAGTACACAATTCGACCTTGCCAATGACATCTGCAAATTGTTTTTGATTAATCAATGTCATAAAATATCTGTTTACATTGCCATATTGGTCGCGAATTGATGGCTCCAATACATATCGATACAATGGTAACAATGTTACAGCCATACAAATATCAGCCAAAGTGATACGTTCGCCAACCAAATATGTTCGAGTCAATAAGTAATCATTCAACATTTTCATTAAATTTTTCACCTGATTTTTTGCTGGCTCCAATGTCTTTGAGAAAAACATTAAAATTAAGATTAATATGAAATTTAAAAAATAATTAATTCCTACCTGTTTAGAATTGGAACAACCAGTTGCTGGTAAAACCCAGGCAAAAACTGCTGGCCATAAATCTGTGGAAGAAAAGCTAACCCATTGCAGCACTTGAGATTGTAATGATTCATCGTTACCACCACGTAATTGAGCATTCGAAAGATAATAAGCGATGGCATTACTTTCGAAAAGATTTACATTGGATGTTTCCAATGCTGGAACCTAAAACGTAATTAACAAATGAATCACGATAAGTTGTCACTAAAAAATCTTATTTTATCTTACATGACCAAAAAATTTCTGTGGACATGATTTACCGGATTCGGTTGTTATAACCGAAACTGATTTACCGCTGTATTTACTGGCAATCAATGCCTTATATGCACGATAATTATCTTCGTTACTGTATAATTTCTATTTCGATTTAATACAAAAATATTAAATATACACCGTTTTTCAACAAGAGAAAATTAAAAAAAAACTTACACTCATGATAATGATGAAAAATGTTTTTTTTTGTCACAAAAGATGCAAACAAATCGTTAGATGAAAATGTTTGAAGCGTTTATTGTTAGATGCTAATGAAAATCAACGACGGAAACCGGCTTACAATAAAAGAAAGCTTTAAATGAAATGATCATAAAGACACAGCGTGACTGCAATTGAGCTGAGTGAGAAAACTCACATTCATTTATAAAAGAACAGCGTTTTTTTTCAGACACGTTGACATCATTAAAATTGCCAACCGTTCATGAACAAAGTTACAAAAATTTCTCTTTAAACCCTAAAATATTTTATTCATTCAATTTGATAGTCATCGTTTGAATGTAAAATGTATTTGTCATTATTTATTTATCAAACAAAAGGATTTTGATAATGATCCGATCGATAAGATAAGATTTATAAATAGGATTGCGATAGCAATAGAAGGAATTGATGATACTGAAGAAAAAAATTGAAAAAAAAATCTTTCTCTCATTTTCAAACGCATGCGCTTTTACGATCATAGTATT